AGAAAGAAAGAAAGAAAGAAAGAAAGAAAGAAAGAAAGAAAGAAAGAAAGAAAGAAAGAAAGAAAGAAAGAAAGAAAGAAAGAAAGAAAGAAAGAAAGGGCAAAAGCAGTCCCGGCTCTCAAGGAGCAAACAGCTTAATGGATAAATGCAAGTGACTACATACAAACAAGACATACACGAGATCACCTGGATATCATCTCAGAGAAAAGGTATTAATATTAACTAAGGGGATTGAGAGATACTTCTTGCAGAAGTGAGACTTTAACTGAAGCATGAAAGAAGCAAAGAGGTGCAAGTGAGGAAAGAGGGAATTCCAGTCTGGGGGACAGGCAGTGCAAATAGAGATTGGGGGGATGGAATGTGTGAGAGGCAGTAAGCAGACCAGAGTCACTGGACCCACTGGATCCTAGGGTGTGTGAATGGGAATTAGGTATAAGAAGACTGGTAAGGCAGAAGGGGGCAGAGCCAAAATGGCAGAGTACTGGGACCCAGGTGAACTCTTCCAACATTCCCATCCAAACAACTTTAAAATACACCCCAAATCAAATTTTGGAGTGGCAGAGTCAACAAAAGGTGACAGTGAGATGTTTTTTCCAACTTAGGAGGTCAGCAGTAAAGGTTTGTGATATGGTAGCGGGGGCCAGTGGGCATTAGAGCCAGCTGTTACAGCAGCAGCAGTAGCAGCTTTTGGAGCTCTCAGTCCAGAGATGGTAAGGGGGTTTGGATAACCGTTCAGAAAGAGAATACAGGCTGGAACTGGGACTTTGGTGGTGCTAATTGGCAACTCCCTTGTCCAATAGGCAGTTCTGGGTTGCAGTTCCAAGATGGAGACAAACATTTGTGATCAGTCACAAGGGAGCAGGAGATAAAGTCAAGAAATAGACTGGAATAATGGGCAAACAACAAAAAAAGAACTTGACCATTAAAAGTTAGTCCAGTGGCAGGGAAGACCAAGACATAAACTCAGAAGAATGCAATAATGTGAAAAAGCTGCAAGCAAAGTCTCAAAGAAAAATGCTAATTGGATGCAAGCACAACAAGAATTTCTGGAAGAGTTTAAAGAAAAGAAGAGTGGTAGAGTTAAAATTGGGAAAAGAAATGAGAGTGATATAAGAAAATTATGAAAAGAGAATAAACAGCTTGGTCAAAGAGACACAAAATACTGAAGAAAATAACACCTTAAAAAAAAGAAGAAACTGAAAAACTGATTAAATAACTCCTTAAAAAGCAGAATTAGCCAAATTAAAAAAGAGGTAATTAAAAATTAGAATTGGGCTAGTGGAAGCTAACAATTCCATGAGACATCAAGAAACAATGAAACAAAATCAAACAATGGGAAAAATAGAAGAAAATGTGAAGTATCTCATTGGAAAAACAGCTGACCTGGAAAATAGATTGAGGAGAGATAATTTAATAATTATTAAACTCCCTGAAAACCATGATCAAAAAAGCACCCAGACATCAAGAAATTGTCAAGAAAAAACTGATGCAAAGTGAAGAGAGAAGAACCAGAACATCATTGTGCATAGTAACAGAAATGTTGTAATGATGATCAACTGTGAAAGACTTGGCTTCTCTGATCAATACAGTGATTCAAGATAATTTCAAAGGACTCATGATAAAGAAAATGTTATCCACTACCAGAGAGAGAACTGATCAAATCTGAGTGCCCTTTGAAGTATAATTTTCTTACTCTTTTTTTTCCAATATGGCTATTATGGAAATATGTTTTGCATGATTTCGCATGTATATTGTTATTTTGCTTGCCTTCTCAGTAGGTGTGGGAAGGTGTGGGAGAGAAGGAGAGAATTTGGAACTCAAATTAAAGAGAAAAGAATGTCACAAATAATTTTTTAAAAAGAAAATAAAATTTAATTAAAAAAGAAGACTGGCAAGATAGGAAGGGACTAGATCATAAAAGGCTTTGGATATCAAACAAAAGATTTTATATTTGATGCTGGAAGGAAAGGAAAGAAAAAAGAGCCTCTGGAATTGTTGAATTAGGGGAGGGAGACATGATCAGAGTTACATTTCAGGAAGACTACTGTGCCAAGTTGTCTCAAACATGCAGTTGTGATTAGAGTGGCTACTTTTAGCCTGGTTGTTTGATGTATGATGAAGGTGCTGTGACCATGTAACTATATTCAAACAGTCTGACTGGATTTAGAAAATAGGAATAACAGTCCTCCATATGAAAATAGTCAATGTATTTTCCCATGGTGTTTGTTTTACTTAGAATCCTAAAATTGACAGTTTTTCTGAGGCTGGCCATAAACCGGACCACATCAAGGGGAATCTGGAGTTCAGAAACGTTCACTTCTCTTATCCTTCCCGAGCTGATGTCAAGGTACTGTAAGTCAAATGAAGAGGCATTTCTGTCTGAGAACTGATTGCTTAATTGTGTGAATATAATTACGTTTAATATTTTTATTTGAAGTTTTTTTAACTCATTGAACATTTTTTTAACACATTCACTTAACGTTTTAAGAAATTCAAGTCTGCTGGGCTGTCTATTGGAGTGATATAATGGATGTTTCTTTTTCCTGTGTAGATTTTAAAGGGCCTCAACCTCAAGGTTAACAGTGGACAAACAGTAGCCTTGGTTGGTAACAGTGGCTGTGGGAAAAGTACAACTGTTCAGTTGATACAGAGACTGTATGACCCTCTGGAAGGCACGGTAAGACCCCTGAATGAGGTTTCCTTTTGCAAAAAGCTTTGTATGAAGCACTTTTTTCTATAGTGACAGAGAGCACCAAGTATACTTATCTTGTTTGGGAAAGGTGTCATGATAGTACAATCAGTAGAGTTATTTCATTTTCATAGTTTGTGGTGGCTAAGTGGTTTCATGGATAGAATGCTGGATTTAGAGTCAGGAAGACCCCAGTTCAAATCCTGTCTTGGACACTTAGTAACTATATGACCATAGGCAACTTACTTAACCTCTCTGTGCTTCAGTTTCCTCATCTGTAAAATGGGGATACTGATAGCACTACCTCTCAGGGTTGCTGTGAGGATCACATGAGAATGTTTGCAAAAACACTTTTCAAATGTTAACTGCTATATGCATTAGGCACCTGGGTGGCACAGTGGATAGAGCACCAGGCCTGGAGTCAGGAAGTCCTGAGTTCAAATCCAGCCTCAGACGCTTGCTAGCTGTGTGACCCTAGACAAGTCATTTAACCCTGTTTACCTCAGTTTCCTCATCTGTAAAATGAGCTGGAGAAGGAAGCGGCAAACCACTCCAGTATCTTTGTCAAGAAAACTCCAAATGGGGTCATGAAGAGTTGGACCCAACTGAAAATGCCTGGACAACAAGATGCTACATAAATTATTTACCCAGGACATTCAGGAGCCATAGAATCTTGTTTCAGTCCCTTTTCCATACCAGTCCAGCTCTATATCTCACCACCCCTGCCATTCACACTGCCTGGGATGATCTGCTTCGTCCGGCCAATGGGTATCTGGACAAAATTTGCAGGCAGTTTGTTGATCGGTGATAATGCTATTAGAGCTACAGCTAGGGCAGCTAGGTTGATAGAAGTCTCAGCTGTCTTTAATACTGGGGATGTTTATAGGGACAATAAAGATGGACTCCTACGGAACAGATCATGGAACTCAATTTAACAATCCAGGCACAGCCTGGTTTTTTGTTGTTGCTGTTCATTCCCTAACCGAGAAAACAAAAACCAAAAACCAAAAACCAACAGAATTTTCTCTCTGACTAACAAAGACCCTTTCTTGCTTGAAAACATTGCTCCTGTGCATGTTGAGATGTCCCGGACTGACTGAGGGTGGTGTGATGGGCCTCTGTCAGAGCTGGCATTTCTCAGTTGTCAATTTCAGGTTTTAGGACACTGACATTTTGGTTTCTTTCAGATCAGCATTGATGGGCAAGATATTCGAACTCTAAATGTGAGGTATCTGAGGGAAATAATCGGAGTCGTGAGTCAGGAACCGGTGCTGTTTGCCACCACAATTGCTGAAAACATTCGCTATGGCAGGGAAGACGCCACGATGGATGAGGTCAAGAAAGCCGTCAAAGATGCCAATGCCTATGAGTTCATCATGAAACTACCAGAGGTAAAGGGATGGATGGTGGAATCATTTTTTAAATGTATTTATTCATTTAGGACCAGATAATTGGCACAATAGGTAGAGTGCTGGCCCTAGAGTCAAGAAAACCTGAGTTCCAATCCAACCTCAGATACTTACTAGCTGCGTGACCCTAGGCAAGGCACTTAACTTTTGTCTGCCTTAGTTTCCTCATCTGTAAAATGGGGATAATCATAGCACCTACTTTGCAGCATTATTGGAAAGATCTAATGAAATAATATCTGAAATGTGCTTAGCACAATGCCTGGCACATAGTAAATGCTATATAAATGTTAGTTATCATCATTATCATTATCATCATCATTATTATTGTTGTTGTTGTTATTGTTATTGTTATTGTTATTACCTCCCAGAGTGGTTGTGAGGATTAAATGAGATATTTGTAAAGTGCATTGCAAACCTAAAGCTAAACATTAATGAGTGGACAAGATCCATTTTGTTTTAACCAACCAGAACCTTCCCAACCAACTCCCAGACCAAAAAATGAAACGAAACAAAACCAAAAAAACCCCTATAGTTACTAAAAACAGTTAAAGAAGACCTTGAGCAGTGATTTTTAAAAATCTGCATTTAACATAAGGCAGCTTAGTATTCTCTTTAGAGGTTAGAGATGTCTTGCTAAATAAATCAATAAAATTAATCTAGCCAAAGTCCCCAGACTTTGCATGGTACAAAATGATAGATTGGATCATGTTCTATTACTCTTTTACACGTGACAGGAATAGGACCTGGGCCTGTGATTTTACTGATATAGGGATTTCCTAGGTGAGGAAACTTCACCCACCAATGTGTGTTAGCACCTCCCCTATAACCTACAATGTTGGAGACTTGGAGGATCATAGTATAAATCAGAGGCAGGCCTTGAGCCCAGTTCTCCCACCTCCTGGCCTAATGCTGTTTCTATCACACTGCAATAAAGATAACTTCTCCTTTGAAAATTCATAATAGCTAGCATTTATAGCAAACCTCTTTACATATGGGATCTCCCCAAACCTTGTAAGTTTTGCTTATATTTGCTCTTCAAAACAACCCTGGGAGGTAGGGGTTATTATGATACCTATTTTCCAGATGAGGAAACTGAGGCTGAGAGAAGTGACTCGCTCAAGGTTACAGATATTAAGTGTCTGAGGTAGGATTTGAACTCAGGACTTCCTGATTCCAAGTCTGAACTCTCTCCCCTGTACCACCTTGCTGCTCCTTCAGCTGCTCTCTGTGTTAACAGAAATTTGACACTCTGGTTGGAGAAAGAGGGGCCCAGCTGAGTGGCGGTCAGAAGCAGAGGATAGCAATTGCTCGAGCTCTCATTCGGAATCCTAAGATCCTTCTGCTTGATGAGGCCACCTCAGCCTTGGATACCGAGAGTGAATTTGAGGTACAAGCAGCTCTGGATAAGGTCAGTACATCCCAAAGAACCCAAAATAAGCAGCATAAACTACCATGTAGGGAAAAAAAATAGCCTTGCTTTCTAAATCTGGATTGATAAACCAGTAAATGAGTGAAAAATGGGCTCCTCTTCTGATCCTCCATTTATCCCCCCATTCTGTCTCTGTACGCTCTTGCTGTTTTGAAAATTGAAGGTGCATGGGATGTGGGACTCGTTATTTCAGCAGTGAGGTCAATGTTGCAGATAGTGGGTTCGGTCCACTTTCAGCATTCCCCTAGGCTATTTATTTATGGGACTTCGGGGTCTACGTCCTAAGGTAACTGTTAAAATTAAAATGGAAAAGGGGGATGTCATAAGACATGCAGCGCCAATCTGCTTCAAAAAGGGCTGTACCTTTAAAAAGACCTGGGTGAAATGGATCACAGTCCGGGGTGGGGAACCTGTGGCCTTGGGGTCACATATGGTCCTCTAGGTTCTCAAGTTAGGTCCTTTGACTGAAGTTTGGATTCAGTCAAAGGGCCACACTTGAGGACTTAGAGGGCCGCATGTGGCCTCGAGGTCGCAAGTTCCCCACTCCTGGATTAAACAATCCTACGAGGAGGGCTAGCAGGAATCCTGAGAGCCACCCATTCATTTTGCACTTGAAGATGCTAAAATCAGGTGACTTGCCAGGGATCACATAGCTGGTAAGTTGTAGAGCTAGGAGTGAATACCAGGTCACCATGACAGCATATTGCATGATCTCCTCCTTCTGCCACTGTGGCGAGGAAAAGTGTCCGCCTCACTGGTCACGTGATTCCTTTGGTTTGGCCAAAGAAATGTTCATAGAAAGCACCTAAGCCTGGGGGTTTGCTGGGTCAGCTGGAACCAGCTAGGGAGAACCAATTATTAAATTTGCAGTATAAGCATTTATACCTCATCATCAAATGCCACAAATCAGGGCCTGATTGTCTAGACTTAAGAAAGTAATGGAGAAAATGTAATAATGCAAATTAAATTTTAAAGTGTGTCATGCTTACATCCCCTCCTCCATCCTGAGAGCTGGTTATTAAACATTTACCAGCATACCCCTGCCTAAACAGAAGGAAAGGATCGCTATTGATTGTATAAAAACACAAAATAGCAACCTTTGGTAGGTATGCTACAGCATTACAATGTCAGTCAACACTCATCCGTTAATTGTTTTGTTTGTTTGTTTTTGCTTTTGGGTGAGGCAATTGGGATTAAGTGATTTGTCTAGGGTCACACAGCTAGTAAGTGTCAAGTATCTGAGCCTGGATTTGAGCTCAGGTCTTCCTGACTCCAAGGCTAGAGCTCTATCCACTGCGCCACCTAGCTGCCCCAACACTCATCCATTAAGCACTTACTATGTGCCAAACCCTGTGCTAACATCTGGAGATCCAGATAAAGAAAAAAATGGTTCCTTATTTTCAAGGTGTTGTATTAGATAAAACACTGGAACTAGAGTTGGGAAGACCTGAGTTCAAGTCCAGCCTTAGATACTTAATAGCTGTGTGACCCTGAGCAAGTCACTTAATGGCTGCCTACCTCAGTTTCCTTATCTGTGACCATAGAGGAGAAAGCTCCAGCAGTTGGGGTGACTAGGAAAGGGATCCTGCAGAAAGTTAAGATTTGAAGGAGAGAAGCCAGGAGGAAGAGATGGGGGTGAGGCCAGCCTGGGTAAAGACACAGAGATAAGAAATGGAGGATGGTATGTAAGCACAGCAAGAAAGCCAGGACAGCTGGCTCATAGAGTACATGGAAGGGTGTGAAGTGCAAGAAGACTGAAGATCTTGAAATGACAAAGGGAGTCCTTTACATCTGATCCTGGGGGTAATAAGGAGGAGCCACTCGAGGTCTTGTAGGGAGGCGGCAGGGGGCAGACCTGGCGATACTTTAATGACATTGCATTGGAAGCTAAGTTGAGGATGGATTGTGCATTGGAGAGGGGAGAGACTTGAGGTGAGGCGACTGATTAGAAGTCTATTCCAACAGTCCAGGTGAGAGGTAGTGAAGGTTTGTGGTAGGATGGTGTCTGTGTTAGAAGAGAGAAAAGGGCATATATAAGAGATGTGAAGGTGGAAACAAAAGATTTGATATAGGGGGTGAAAGAAAGTCAGGGTCAATTAGCCTGGGTGACTGGAAGAAGGTGGAGCTCTTAACAGAAATGGGGAGGTTCAAAAGAGGGGAGAATTTTTGGGGAAAGATAATGAGTTCTGTTTGAGATGGGTTGTTTGAGATGCCTGACTGACATTTAGTTCAAGATATCTGTAAGGCGGTTGGTGTTGTGGTTTGGGAGCTCAGTAGGGTTGTATACATAGATTTCAGAATCGTCTGCATAAAGATCATTGAATCAATAGAGCTGGTGGGATCACCACACAACATAGTAGAGAGATCAGAGAGAAAAGGGCTCAGGACAGAGCTGTGGGAGATATCCTCGGTTAATGGATTTGATGTGGATTTGTGTCCAGCAAAGAAGACTGACCTGACAACAGATATGCACCAGTGTCTCAAACACAGAGAGGAGTCTCCAGAAGGTGAAGATGAGAAATGCCTTAGATAACCTCCTCTGCTAAGTCAGTTCTCTTGGCTATGTGGAAGTATTTTTTGCAGCAATTATATTGTCCTGTTAGAATGCAGTTCTTAAAAATAAAATGTTCTATAAAGCCTTAACTAAGATTTTGTATAGATGGGGTGATTAATTGAGAACATTGTGTGGCCCTTGGTACAGAATTCTGGGGCTTCATCAAGTAGTCAAGTCAATACTTGAGAAACTTACTTTTTGAGGAGATGATTAGCTCTATCTGCATGCGCCACTGATGCCTATCTGTGTCCTTGCTGTAGAATAAGAGATTACATTTCTATAGTGTTTTAAAGTTCACAAATCATTTTCCTCACAATAACCTTGTGAAGTGGTCAGTGTCAGACTTCTTATTTTTATTTTGCAGATGAGGGAGCCATGGTACAGGTAGATCAAATGATTTGTTCTTGGTCACAAAGCTACAAAAATTTCAGAGCTGGCCTCAGAATCCTTATTTCTAGATTCCAAACCCAGTTCTACTGCCACTGTTTGGAAAAGACTGCAGAGTAGGCTGTAATCCCGTCGTCCTGGGAGCTTATCTAGAGCCACTTTGAGCCAACATGCCAAGTGGGTAATCTTCAGCATGTATTTAGCCCCTCTAAGCCTCAGTTTCCTTGGCTGTAAAATGAGGAGATTGGACCAGATTGGAGGATCACAGAACTAGGCTTGAGACCATGTAATATGACCCCCTCATTTTATAGATGAGGAAACTGTTAAATCACTAACCTAGGATCACAGAGGAAATAATCATCAGAATTTGAACCCAGATTCTCTGACATCAGAAATGGTGCTCTGCCCACTAGGAGGTCTTATCCAATTATGAATTCTATGATTTTATGAATAGGTGTAATATAAGCATTTGCTATATCAATTAATAAGGAGCTAATGGTAACAAGTAGAATCAGAGAACTTCAAGTTTCTATCCATTATGATAAGGTGTAAATAATATTTTTTTGTAGTTCCTGTTAATGATAACTCTGGTACAAAGTGAACCTTTCATTCTTATAATTTCCTCTGTACCCCCCTCTTCCTTTTTCTCTTTCTCCCTCTCTCCTTTTTCCAGGCAAGAGAAGGTCGAACTACCATTGTGATAGCTCATCGTCTGTCTACAATCCGAAACGCAGATGTCATAGCCGGTTTTGAGGATGGGGTCATTACAGAACAAGGAAGCCACAGTGAGCTGATGAAAAGGGAAGGGGTTTACTTCAAACTTGTTAACATGCAGGTATTTCTTTTCTAGTAACTCCCTGCTTGATTTCTCTAAAGCATTCTGTAATTGATTCTATAAACCAGGAGCCGCATGCCGGTAGGTATATTCCAAATGGAATGCAGCAGATATGCCTTACTGGGAAATGATACCTAGTTAAAAGAAAAGAAGGATGGAGAAACTTAAAATATTGTACACCGTGATTAAAGTGGCTACTGACATACCTAAGATGATTAACAACAACAATAATAATATCTAGCATTTACATAATACTTTAACATATACAAATACTTTATAAATATCTTATTTGATCCTCACAAGAACCCTGGGAAGTAAAAGCTATTATTATCCCCATTTTTCAGATGAGGAACTGAGGCAGTTAGAGGTGAAGTGACCTGCCCAGGATCATACAGTTAATAAATGTCTGAGGCCAGATTTGAACTCAGATCTTCTAGACTCCAGGTACCTCACTCTACCCACTCTGATAACTAAGTGTCCCTAAAGATAACGATTTTACTGAAGACGGTGAATAAAGGAGAGTTGAAGGAAAACCAAGTTTTCTCCAAAAGTAAAAAAAAAAAATTATATACTTGTGTGTACATATGAGTGAGGTAGTGTGGCCTAGGAGACCAGTCTCAGAACCAGGAAGACATGGACTTTACTGGGGCTTCTGGCAAATAAAGCATGAAAAAGGCACAACCTCTCAGTGCCGAAGGGAAGTCTCAAAGACTCTTAACTTTCAGTACAAGTACTCTTTCTGCATTGGTAGAGAGGGCTTTCTCACACTGATGAAATCACAGTTCTAGGAAGAAAACATACACATACATACCCGCCCACCACATACATGTGTATAAAAGTATGGTGGCCTTCGGCTAAGCCTAAAATAGAGTGGGATCACTGTGCACCACAGTCAACCAAAACAACAAATATTTACTGCATGCCTACTACTGACAGTTAGAATAGCATTATGTAGTGTTTTGATGCTTATAAAAGCTTTACAAATGTTACCTCATTTGATCTGCTGTTTTTAAAACTCCATGCTAGGTGAGGAGGGAGACAGGAAGTTTAGGTAAGACAAAGTCCTCCGTGCCTAGATGAGATAGAGTTCTGTTCATAGAATGTACAGTCTTTATGGAGGGATGAGATACCAACACAGAAAGCTATAATACAGGGTATGTTAGGGGCTGGACCCGGTATGTCAAGGGTAGAGAGTAAGTCACTAAATCTTTCTTAACTTCAGGTTCCTTACCTTTAAATGAGTTAACAATAGTACCTACCTCACAGGATTGTTATAGGGATGAAATACAATAATATTTCAATACTTTGTAAATCTTAAAGTGCTACCTTAATGGTATTATTATTAGTAGTAGTAGTAGTAGTAGTAGTAGTAATATGTTGTCTTAAGATTCTGAGAGAGATCGTGTATTTATAGGGAAATCACTGAAAGTCCATGAAAAGTTAAAAAGACTCACTCAGTTCAGAGCTCCTTTAGTCTCTATCCTCATCCAGGTGTGCAAAGCAGTACCCATTACACCCCCTGGATGGTGACCATGCCTTATGGTTCAGTTTTCCCCAGCTGTAAAAGAGCTGAGAGAAAGAATATTTTTGTGAAAATATTCCCAAGCTATGTCTAACTTTTAGATTTCATGACGGCTGTGGGATATGTTTTGGAACCTGTAAATTGAAGGGCTTCCTAAAAACATGTGGCATTTTGAAAAATGACTCATCAAGACTTCCAGTGCACCAAAGGCATTTTTACCTTTCTGCACTTACATTAGTTGTTGTCTTTTGTTACTTTCTGAAGTTAAATTGGGAATCAGCCACTACATGTTGAGTAAATGTCAGTTCCTTTATCCATTTTATCTTCATTTTTAATGCCCAGTTTAAAATAAACATCTTATTGGAATTGAGTGGTTCTCAGTGGATTTATTTTAGTCTCTAAATCAGTAACTTCCTACGTGCCAGGCATTGTTCTAAGTTCTGAGGACACCAAGAAAGGCAGAAACCCAATCCATGCATTCTAGGACCTCACGTTCTAATGGAGAATACAATATGCAAATAACTAGGAACATACATGACACATACATATGTACATATATGGACATGTTGCAGGATAATCTCAGAGGGAACAGATGTTGGCAGGGCTAGGGTGTGCAGGAAAGGCCTCTTGTAGAAGGCAGGCTTTGAGCTGAGTTCTGAAGGAAGCCAGGAAAGCCAAGGGGCTGAAGGAAGGAGGGAGGGCATTCCAGGCACCAAGGACAGCCAGTGGAGAAATGCACCTTTGGGAGCTACAAGGAGGCTGGCATCACCAGTCTAGTGTTTGAAGATTACAAAGTGCATCCACATATATTAATTCCCTCCTTTGCTCCATATAGCAACATTTTAAGACTTGCAAATCTCATATGACACTTTGTAATCCTTACAGACCTAGAATGCTGGACTTGTAGCCAATAAGAACCCACCTCAGAAACTTACTGTATGGCCCTGGGCAAATCATTTAACATCTCTCAGATTCAGTTTCACCATCTGTAAATTGGGGATAATTATAGGTTGTCATGTGGATCAAATTAGATTACTATATATAAAAACTTTCAGCAAATCTTAAAGTGTGAGCCATTATTATTATTATATAAATTACTTATATTTTTGTTGTAAACATCTTTAGGATAGGGACTGTCTCACCTTTGTATTTATATTAGTACAGCGCTCATCACAAAGTAAGTATTTAATAAATGCTATTTCATTTATTCATCCATTTATTTATTATTAAGCTGACATTTGTAGAGTATTTTAAGGTTTACAACGCATTTTACCTACATTCTTTCATCCGATTCTTATAACGTCCCTGTTGAGATAGAGATTACAGATCTTATTAGCTTCTTTTTACAGATGAGGAAAGTATTAAAAGATTTATTTGCATGTGGTTTGCATGTGGGTCATGAGGTCAGATCTGAACCTAGGATTCTTCCCTGCCATGTTGCATGTATTTTTATCCCCATTTTATTTAAGGAGTAACTAAAGCTTGGACAAGGTAAGCAACTTCCCCAAGTGATGGAGGCAGAGCCCATATTAGAATTCAAATCAAGATTACACAACCAAAACCCTTTCATAGCTTTACTTTGTTTTTCTTTCAGACATCAGGATATCAGATTCAGTCAGAAGAATTTGAAGTTGAATTAAAAGATGAGAACATATCTGGGATGGCACCAAATGGCCTGAAATCACGACTTTTTAGGAATTCCACACACAAAAGTTTTAGAAATTCACGAAAGCATCAGAATAGCTTTGATGTGGCTCCAGAAGAGCTTGTAAGTTCATTACCTCCAGTTAAAAGTATAATGACAGCACTATTTGTAGAGTCTTTGGCCTCAGTAACTGTTAACCTAAGGGGTCTTAAACTTTTTTGTGTCATGGATACTTTGGACACTAGTGAAGCCTGTGGACCTACTCAGAAGAATGGCTTTATGTGCCTAAAATATAATATGTGGGATAAAAATGTAAACCAATTATACGGGGTGTCCCAAAAGTCTTAGCAAATTTTAAGATTTAATTTTTACTAAAATCAACTAAAATTTGATTTTTAAACAAGTTCATGGGCTCCTAACTCTGTGGCCTAGAGCTATCTTAAATTTTTTTATAAATTTTCAGAACGTTCAGACACAGAAGTTGAAAAACAAGCCTAGCATTTATGTTTGTGTTTTGGACAACAGATCTTTCCAATTCACTTTGTGCCTTGAGAATAAAATCAACATTGAATTGTTATAATTAATAATAATACTGATAGCAATATATTCATTTATATTGGATTGTAGACAGGTGTCATAGGGATTACTTTAGAAGAGACTTTATTCAGAGAACTTATTAATCACATTAAAAAACCTTAGACATAGCAAAAGTGTGTATTCTTGGAAATTCTCCATGGAGATTTGGGTTGTGTTATTAAAACAAAGTAAAGGCCTAGCCAGCTGTGACTCTGGGGATCATTAGTGAGTAGCACCCCAGGTAGGTGGGGCAAGCAGGAAAAGCAACTGCTTTGAGAGGTTGAACAAACAAATGGTCCCTATGGTCCAAAAAAACCATGGAGACCATAATCCAACCCACATGGACAGCCAGTGTTTTTCTGGACCCCAGCTTGACAGAATGCTACATGAACCTGTTGTTCTTCTCAGCCATATCCTGGGACTGGTTTCTTCCCTTCCCCCCAGCCTTTCATGACCTTTCCCTCCCCAAAATCCTTCAGATGGCTTGGCCATTAATTTTAACAGTCCTATGTTGTAAAGAAGTCATTCAGTAAGGAAGGTACATTTGTAATTTTCTTGGAGAAAACAGCCTCAAATACGTTCAAAATTCTGGTTTGGTTATCATTAGATAAAGATTGAGATGGTTTTCATCCTTATTTAGGCCAGAAAAACTCTCCCTACTAGAAATTTTTCAGCTCCATTGTTTTCTGTGGTATTTGTTGGGCCCCAAGTAGATGCCAAAATAATCATATCTGTTAAGCGTCCTCCCCCCTACTTAGGAGTTCTTGATCTTGGTCTCAAATTAGTGTATTTGTTTGGGAAGGAAATGAATTGCAATGATGGTCCAGCATCATCATTAAAAAGAAGAGAACTAATTCCACTTTTTTCTTGTCTTTGGTGGATTTTTTAGTCTTCACATTCAAAAAAATTCAGCAAGCATTTGTTAACTGTATCAATTAACTAGAATTTTTTTTTAGTACCTACTATGTGCCAAGCATTGTATTAGGTGTTAGACATAAAAAAAGGAAAACATTTGTCTTCAAAGAGCTTATATTTTAAAGAGGGAGATATGTGTGCATGCATATGTACATCTATATTAATATTATATACTTATATTGATATGTTTACAGTTATGTGCAAAAAGCGTGGAAGGCAGAAGCAAAGTAACCTTGCGAGAAAACACATTAGTATCTGGGGCTGGGGGGGGAGGCGTTGGGGAAGGTGGCATGGGAAACCAGGAAACCTCATGTAGAGCTGACTCTTGAAGGGAGCAAAGAATTCCAAAAGGTAGAAGTGGGGTGGCCAGTGCAAAGACATGGAAATAGGAGATGTGGACAAAAACATGGACAAAGACATAGAAACATCAAAAAAAGTTAATATGACTAAAGACAGGATTGGGCCAGGTTAGAAAGAGCTTTAAGTAAAAAAAGAGAGTTTATACTTGATCTTGGAGGGGAGTGACACGGTTGGACTCACTTTAGGAAAACCATTTTGGCAGCAGTGTGGAGAATGGATTGGATACAGGAACAATTTGAGGTGAATAGGCCAATTAAGGAGGTATAGGAAGAGTCCGGGCTAGAAGGTGATGAGGGCCTGATGAGGGTGGTGGTTGTATAAATGGACAGAAGGACAAAGACGCAAGAGGTGGTGTGGCAATAGAAACTACCAGATTTGGCAGCTGACTGAGTATGTGAGATGAGTAAAGGAGGAGTCGGAGATGGAAATCTGGATGTTTGGAAGGGTGATGGTGCCCTCCACAGAAAAAGGAGGTTCAAAAGAGGGGGGAATTGAAGGGAAAGATAATGAGTTCAGTTTTGAACATGTGAAATTTGAGATATTTGTGGGATAACCAATCTAATAGGCAATTGATGCTCTGAGACCAGAACCCTGGAGATAGGACTGTAATATAGATACGGGGATCTTCATTATTGAGATGATAATTCAGTCCTTGGGAAGTGAGATCTCACTGTAAATAAAGGCAGGGGAGAGGCAACCACCAGCCTGCCTCTACCTCAAAAGAGATTACTACAATAGAACGTAAGCTCTTTGAGGGCAAAGACTGCTTTACTTTTGTCTCTGTGTTCCTAGTGTCTAGCATGTAGTAGATGCTTAAGAAATGCTTGTTGAATTGAGTTGAATTGAATGTCAGAGATACTCCGAGACAGAGACTTTGGAGTTAAAAGAGGATTGTAAATCTGGAAAAAAATCAATGTTTTTTCATATTGATAGAGTATAAGAGACTTTAATATTACCCTTCTGTTTTTAGAAATGAGAAAACCAAGGTCTTGACTTGTCTGAGACCTTCAGAGAAAGAGATTCCATAGCTATCTTTGGAAACTTACCTATGATAAATAGATTCTATCATCAGAAAGTGCTTCTTAGTGTCTCACCTTCTTGATGAAATGTTCACCCATTCTCTCTTGTTCTGTTCTCAGCTGAGCTAGAAAAAAAAAACAAACCAAAGAACAGTTTACTTATATTTAGGACATCTTGTGCAGTTAGTGGGCATCTTTCTGCATCTCATCACCTATTACTGAAACACCTGATCCCATCTTAGACTCCTCAGTAGTATTGCAGTAGTCTTACTTATGCCTAGCCTTGAATTTGGCTAGCTATCCCCGAAGGTAATAAACTTGGCTCCTATATACCAACAACCTACTAGGCTCCTACAAACAACCTGATGATTCCAGGGCATTTGATCATAAAAAACTTATTCAGGACAGACACGAATAGAAAAAATTTACTGTGAGACAGAGACAGGATTAGTGTAGCCTAGATAGGGCTAGTATAGTATTTCCTTAGCCAATGTAATAAGGAATAGTTATCATCTATTGTTCATATAAAGCGTCGGCTTACTCTTCCCCTGGACAGTGGCTTTATTTCCTGGAAATCAAGTTCACAGAGCCAGTAGGGCAAGTTAGTGATTCACATATGCTGTAGTCATGACCCCAAGATTAGAGTGGCTGTCTTGCTTCTTTCCCCTCTTCCCTAACAAGCAGAACTCCAGATACTGGCAGTAATTTCTATCTCACCTAAGTTTGCAATTCCACTAATCCTGTGGCACCAGTACTTTGCTGTGTCAAAACAATTGCCTCTCCATTCCTCGGGAGAAATTTGTAAGCTGGAACTCCTCCTTCTGTGGCAGATGGTCCTTTGTGTCAAATGGCCCTCATACCCACAAACTCCAAGCCTGTTTAAGAACGCAAACACCTTTCCCTCTTTCCCTCTGCTTCTTAACTTCTTTCTCCAACCCGTTGTCCCTACTGGGTACCTTTCTGTACTGATTGATTCATCAATCTTCAGCATTTTGGGAAATCATGTATTTTCCTACCCTCACTCTCTTACCCTCTTACCTTGCTCCTCCATGCCTTAAAGGAGAGTGGGGAAGAGGGGAAAAAAGAAGTCACTGAAGAAGTCCCTTAACCCCTTATTGCCCTCAGCCAACTCTCTGAGACCGTAATTTGCAGAACAGTTCATTGGTAGAGGGTGTTTCCTCACAGGGAATTTCCCCTCCCAATGAAATCTCAGTTCTGGACACAAATAAACAAACACATTATTTTAGATGCTTTTTATTCCTTAACGGGAATGCCTGTGCTGCTTATATTCTCAACTATATTTTAAGTCCCTCGAGGTAGGGCCTATGTCATCCACTTCCAATCTTCCACAGCAATTATTATAGTGCTAGGCACACAGTAGGTGCTCAGCAAGTCATTGTTCTTTGATGGATGGTCCCAGCATGTGAATGCTCATTTTTGTGTTAAATAACTCTCTCTCTGGATTCTTCTGTGTTCTAGGACCCAGACGTGCCACCAGTATCTTTTCTCAAAGTCCTGAAGCTGAATAAAACAGAATGGCCTTACTTTGTGGTGGGAACCCTCTGTGCCATTGTCAATGGGGCCTTACAGCCAGCATTTTCCATAATATTTTCAGAGATGTTAGCAGTAAGTTTGAAAAAAATCAGGTAACATGTTAGTTTGTGTTAGTCCATCAGTTAGCTGCCTTTCATCCAAGCCTCAGTGACTGGATGTTGACCTAGTGGCTGAGTGGAAGTAGCTCCTTAACTTTCATTACATACAGTCCGTGATTTTATGTCTCTGCCCATTTGAAGAAAATGTCTTCAAGTGAAACAAAGCCAAATCTGAGTCCCTACAGAGAAGAGATTAGAGTGCCAGACTTTATGGACTATTGGAAGCTCAGAGCATTTATGCAACACCTTCTATGTGCTAGGCACTAAGCAAGGCGCTTGGGATTTAAAGACAAAAAAATTAAACAGTCTTTGCCTTCAAGGAGTTTATATTCTAGTGAGAGGACAGGGGAAACAATAATAACATAGTAATAATAATAATAATGACTTGTATTTACATAGTGCTTTAAGGATTGAAAAGTATTTGTATTAGATTATTAAATCTATCTTGGATAAGATTAAATTTATAGATAGAATTTAGGTAAAACTTATAGATTAGACTTATCATGGATAACTTATCATAGATAATTAAACACAAAATGTGGAAGTAATTGGGGGACATACTAACAACTAGGAAGGTGACATTTGAGCTGAAAAAGCTCCTAGAATTTTGGAATGATAGAAAGTTCATCATCATCATCATCATAGCCAGCAGTTTTTATAGCACTTTAAGGTTTGCAAAGTGCTTTATATAGTTATTTCATTTGATACAGTAATCCCATGTGGCAGGCCAATTATTAACCCATTTTACAGATGAGGAAACTGAAGTAGACAGAGATTAAGTGGCTTGCTCAGTGTCACACAGCTAGTAAGTGTCTGAGGCAGGATTGGAACTCAAGACCTTCCGACTTCAAACCCAGCACCCAGTCTACTGTGTCACCTTGATGCCGTAAAGAATGATGCTAATGATAATAAATAACAACTTGCATTTATATAATACATTAAAGTTTACAAAGAACCTTTAAATAACATTTAATAACCTTGGATTAATTGAATAAACTGAGCTTAAATTGGATTAGGCATATGGTAGATAGCATGCTGGTTTTGGGGTCAAGAAAACCCAGGGTGAGGGCAGCTACATGGCACAGTGGCTAGAGTCCACTGGAGTCAGGAGGACCTGAGTGCAAATTTGACCTCAGACACTTGACACTAGCTTCGTGACTCTGGGCAAATCACTTAACCCCAATTGCCTCACAAAAACAAACAAACAAACAAAAAAGAAAACCCAGGGTTAGATCTAGCCTTCTACACATACTGGCTGTGTGAATGAGTAAATCAGTTGGCCTTGAAGTGTCCCAGATGGCTCTCTAAACCTCTAAAGCATGGGGTGATTACTTATCTGCCTCCATAGAGGAAGTTCCCTCATCAACTTTAAAGGCCATCAAATCCAACCCCCTCAATTTACAGGTGATGAAATTGTGACCCAGAGACATGAAATACTTATCCAAGTGTGCCCAAGGTGACATAGGCAGTAAAGTTGATTCCAAATTCATGGTGCTTTCCCGGCCACCATTCTGACTGTCTACATCGGGAGTTTTCTCTACAGCTTTGAAACCGAAGGCCTAAACAACAACAAAAGGTTATGTTACTCCAAAACCACTTCACTGTTTATTAAACACATGATTTAGGGGTCTAGTTTCTGATATGTGTCCCCAGTATCACTGTTTAGAGCAGGAAAAAACAAACAAACAAAAAAACAAAACAGAAGGAAAATCACCTAATCCAAGTGGGTTTCTTCCTTGCTCTTCTATAGATTTTTGGACCAGGGGATGATGAAGTGAAACAACAGAAGTGCGATATGTTCTCCTTGCTGTTTTTAGGGCTTGGAATTCTTTCTTTCTTTACTTTTTTCCTCCAGGTAGGTGCCCATCCACCTCTTACTTTGCTTCCAAATATTTACATGCATTATGAGCCAGCCATAAAACCAAGCAGCCCTTTAAAATCCTTCAGGCTAACTGAAATCACAAAATGCCTTTAGATGCAGGCTCTGAGTACTTGGAATGTTCAGCCTTAGTCCTAGAGAATAGATAATTAGCCATACATCCCTTCTCTCAGCAGAGAGGTGGGGGACTGCAGGAGCAGAGAGAGACAGAGAGAGAGACAGTGTATGCGGTCCAACCTGGTCACAAATATCTTGGTGGTTTTGCTTAATTTTGTTGTTGTTATGGCAGAGGGATTCAGTGCTGGGAGGTGGTGGCTCCATATGGAACTAGGTATGGTATAAAAACAAAAGTCATCCAATATACCTCCCTCCAGCCTTTGTGGTGAGTGGTGTACTATGGGAACAAAGCTCTAAATGTAACAGCAGACTTGGTGGATTGTTGATTAGTTTTGTAAATCTTTATTTTTTTTTAATTAAAATTTATCATAAGGGATGGTTCTCTGGGGGGGTGAAGGAGGAGGGATATATTAGAGAGTGAAGGTGATATAAAAAAGAAAGATAATTTTTAGAAATAATAATTAAGGAATACAAAGGTCATTGGACAAGTTTTTTTTATTATTATTATTATTTTAAATGCAAACAAGCTTCTTAAAGGTAGGAAAACTTGCATGGCCTAAAGGTGGTACTCAGATGTTTACTCCGGGGCTTTGCTACTTATAATTTTAAGAGAGTTGCCTGGGGAACTGAGGGGGCAAATGACCTGTACAAGGGTCACATAGCCAGTATGTGTCAGAGGCAGGGGTTGAATCTGAGTCTTTATGACTCTGACTCATCCTGTCTTATTTTCTGACTACTGACTCATCCTTTCTTATTCTTACTAAAAATGGTACCTAGCATAAAATGAAATCTCTCTATGCAGAAGTATTTAAAATGGGTCAGACAATAAACATTGGGAACATTTTGGGTGAGACCAAGCCCCCCGGAGAAGATCAACTCAGCAGCCTTTCAAGGTGTGCTCTAGGCCTGAGATTCTGTTACAACCTTGAGACTTGAGGATATGTGAACACTCAATTCGAACACCATTAGGAGCAACTAGAGACTATTGTTTTAAGATAATGACTAATTTGGATCTTTACTGATGGTAGAATTCTTCTAAAAAACAAAGCAGAAATCCCCAAAGTGGACCAGAATTCTCTTGGATGGTGAAAGTTTTATGTAGGTGTTTGCATCTGAGAAGTTTATGCCTGAGGCCTGAGGAAGATGGAAAATAACAATGGTGCCCTTTTTCTTTTCTTCTCAATCAGGGCTTCACATTTGGTAAAGCTGGGGAGATCCTTACAACAAGACTTCGATTCATGGCTTTTAAGGCAATGCTAAGACAGGTATTTATTTCTCTCTTGCTTTTTAGATTCAGTCTTCCATTCTTTGGGTTTGCTGAGGCTGAGATTCCTTCTGCACAGACTTAACATACCCCCAAATATACCTCTCCTAGACCATTTACACTATTGATGTGTGTATATATATGTGGAGGGGGGGAGTATAAGTTAAAATGAGAAAAATAGATTCTCTGAACTTGGTAGATTCAAGTTAACAACATTTTCAAGACAAGAACCATCTTGTACCCCAGGGGCCTCATTAGAAGTTTTATTAAGATCTGTGACTTAAAATACAATAGTCAGGTAGCAAATTAGTTTTAAAAATGCTCAGCTTTGCAAATTGACCTACTCACTACCTTTTCCTCCCACCTCCACTATACAACCAAAGAAAGAGAAAACTCCAGGACTAGAAAAAACTACTATATTAGTGGCCACAATGGGATCATAGCTGTATAGTGTGAAGGAACCTTAGGAACCATCTTGTCCAACACTCTCATTTTACAGATGAGGAAACCGAGGCCCAAAGTAGTTAAATGATTTGACCAAGTCACTCAGATAGTAAGTGAGAGAGCTAGAATTGGAATTCAGATCTTGTGATGCCAAGTTCGTTGTTCCAAGTTCAATGTTCTTCTCCCTTTGAAGGCAGGCCAGCTAACTGCTGGTAAAACTTCTACTTAGGAGTGATGCTTCCCAAGCCCAAGGAGTATGTTCAGTATCGGCTGAACCCTCACCCTTCTCCCAAATTAGTCTGGGTTACTCTTTCTCGAGCCAGCATCGAGGGTATACGTAGATTGTAGAATGGCAATGGGAACTTTGAGTATATCCCACATGGTCAAAACTTGACACTTACAATCTTCCATGACCAAACTAAGCATGTGTCCAATATGTGCATACTGTTCTTGCTCGTAAGGGTTGAGAATCGTTGTTGGTGTTGTTTGGGGAGTGGGGAGCATTACTTAACTATTTCAGGAGTGCAGAGGCAATATGATATAATGGATAGATTGCCAGTCTTGGAGTCATGAAAAACTGGATTCAAATCCTGCCTCTGCCAAATTCTGGCTTTGTGACCTCGTACAAGTTATTTAATCTCTTCGTGCCCCAGGTAATATTCCAAGATGTTACAAGTGAATAGCCCGGCAACATTAGCGTTGAAAGTTCCCATGCTAGGGGTTCCCTACACTAGTGAAATCACAGGACAGGACCAATACATTCTTTTCAAGATTTAAAGGATATTGTTTGGCTTTGTTATAGGACATGAGTTGGTTTGATGATCCTAAGAACAGTACTGGTGCACTTTCGACAAGACTTGCAACTGATGCTTCCCAAGTCCAAGGAGTATGTAACCTATTCTCTGCTGACGTATCTCTCACCTTTGATATAGCTGGAAATCAATTTGCAGTAGGACGTTCACTTTTGGGGTGATTTCTCTAGCAGTCCATCTTTTCAGGGAATGTTGACGTAATGGATGTTTTTAATATTTGCCATTTTAATTCAATTCAACCAATATTTATAAAATGTTAGGTGCTTGGGATACATAAAACAGGAAACATTCCTTGCCCCCAAGGAGCTTGCATTCTACTAGAGAGTAAAGCAGGCACACAACTAGGTAAATAGAAATCATACACAGAGTAATACAAGGTAAATTTCTCTTATCACTACGCAAATTCCTTTAAATCTACTGATTTAAAGTAGCATGTTTTCAGTCCATTGATATCCTCCTGGTGGACCAGAATCAGTGAATTTCAAAAAGGGAGCTATTTAATTGGGATAAAGGTAAAGTCCCACATTTGAGTTTAAAAAAAAAAACTATCTGCACAAGATAGAGAAGAAATGATTAGAAAACAATTCCTATGAAGAAAAGCTGATAACTAAACCTGATAAACATGATAGCTAACTGCAAATCACTCTGGACTTGGAGTAAGAAAGACCTGAGCTCAGATCACGCCTCAACCACTTGCTAGCTATGTGATCCTGGATGCATCACTTGGGTGAGTCACTTAACAACTTCTTGGTGCCTCAGTTTCCCTATCTGAAAAATGGGGATAATACTAGTCACCTAGCTCCCAGGTTGTTGTGAGGATTAAATGAATTAATATATACAAAGTCAAAGTCCTTTGCAAGCCTTAAAACTCTAAATAAATGCTGTTGTTGTTATTATCACTATCATTATTAATAGGATTCAACGGTCTGATGTGGCAAATGAAAAATACTAATGCAAGCTTAGATTGCATTAATTGGAAGTGTTCAAAATTAGAGAAGTAACCTGAAGTAGTGTGCCAAGTTGTGAGTGCAACATCTTAAGAAAGAATTTGACTAATCAGAACCAGTTCAAAGGAGGGTGGCCAGGATGAGGAAGGAAGTAGAAACCATGCCATATGACCTTTAACTGAAGAAACTGTGTATTTTCAGCCAGGAGAAAGGAAGGATGTATAGCAATGTATTCAGTGCCCTCAGACAACTAGAACTAGATGTTCCATGGATATCTTAAGCTCAACAAGAAGAAGACTGAACTCATTACCTTTCCCCTAAATCTTTCCCTCTTTGGAATTTCCTTATTATTTTTGAGGCTACCCCTGTCCTTCTAGTCATCCAAGGTGGCCACATACGTGCCATCCCATTCCTCATTCTAATTTGTTGATTTTCAATTCATTCACATCTCTTGTGTATGTCCCCATCTCTCCTCAGACACATCCACCTCCCTGGTACAGGCCCTCATCACCTCACACCTGAACTGTTGCAATAAGTTAAGTCTCTCCTCACTGGTCTTTCCTCTGCTCAGCTGCCAAAGTGATCTTCTTAGAGCACAGATCTGACCATGTCACTCCTGATTCAATAAATTCCATTTACTCCCTGTCACCTCCAGGATCAATTATAAAATCTTCTGGTGTTCAAAGCCTTCATAACCTTGCCCTTCTCCCACCTTTCCAAATCTCCTTATATCTCCACCTACTCTGTGATCCAGTAACACTGGTTTTCTTGCTGTTTCTTGCACAAGACACTGCATCTCCCAACTCAATGCATTGGCTGTTCTCCATTCCTGGAATTCTTTCCCTCCTCATCTCTGCTTCCTGGTTTTCCTCATTTCCTTCAAGTCTCAACTAAAATGGCAGCTCCTACAGAAAACCTTTCCCAAATCCCCGTTAATCCCAATACCTTCTCTCTGATGATCTCCTTCAGTTTATCCTGTATATAGCTTGTTAGTGAATAATGGTTTACATGCTGTCTCTTCCATAGACTGCGAGCTTCTTCAGAGTTGGGACAGTATTTTTGCCTTTCTTTGTATCCCCAGTGCTTAGCACAATGCCTGACACATACTTATTGACTGACTAGCTCAAATATTTCAAATTGCTTATCCTCAGATATCAGTGTTGGACAATCCAGGGAGGCATATGTGAGCCAACATGAGGAAAATATTCCTGTTGATTAGAGCTGTCCAAAAATGGAATGGGTTCCCTTCCTTTCTAGGTAGTGGGTTTTCCATGATTGGAGGCACTCAAGCAGAGATTGGATCCATCATTACTTATCAGGGATGTCATAGAAGGGATTCATGCCTTGGTCTTCATTGAACGAGATATTCTCTGAGGTTATCTCACTCCAATATTCTATGATGCTCTGAGTTTATCCCTTGATAGAAGATACTGGCTGCTTTTTCATCCCATCCATAAGAAGAGAGGCAAGAGACTAGAATGAGAGTTTAAGGGAGTAGGAGTGAAACGACCAGAGCCACTGATGTAGTATCATGTTTGGGGGTCCTTTGTAAAGAAAGTAAGCAAGCGTCAGAGGAGATGTAGAATCTATCCACTCAGGCATTCATGCATACAGAGTCATCTTCAGCTCATCCCTCTCTCTAACATACAGCCCCCTCCCTATTCTACCTCCCATATATGGTCATTTGCTGTGTCTTGCCAGTTTTAGTTCCTCTAAATCCTTTATGAGCAGCTAGGTGGCGAAGTGCTTAGAACACTGGGCTTGGAATCAGGAAGACCCATCTTCATGAGTTCAAATCCAGCCTCAGAGACTTACTGTGTGACCCTGGGTAAGTCACTTAATCCTGTTTGCCTCTGTTTCCTCATCTGCAAAATGAGCTGGAGAAGGAAATGGCAAACCCCTCCAGTATCTTTCCCAAGAAAACCCTAAATGGGGTCATGAAATATCAGATACAAATGAAGAGACTAAAACAACAACAACCTTCATGTTCATCCCCTGTTCTCCATTCACCCTCTGAGCCTTCATTACCTTGTGCCTGGAGTATTAGAGTAACCTCCTTATCAGCCCCTAGTATCTATTCTCTTTCTTCTCTGATCCATCTTCCACAAAGCTGCCAATTTGTTGGGGCAGCTAGGTGGTGCAGTGAATAGAGCACTGGCACTGAAGTCAGGAGGACCTGAGTTCAAATCTGACCTCAGACCAAACACTTGACACTTACTAGCTGTGTGACCCTGAGCAAGTCACTTAACCCCAATTGCCTAAAAAAAAGAAAAAGAAAAAAAAAAGAATTCACTTTGAGGTGATAATATAGTAGAAAGTCTGTAGATTCTTTCGGGGGGGGGCAGCTCGGTGGCACAGTGGATAGAGCACCGACCATGAAGTCAGGAGGACCTGAGTTCAAATCTGGCCTCAAACCAAGCACTTGACACTTACTAGCTGTGTGACCCTGGGCAAGTCACTTAACCACAATTGCCTAAAAAAAAAAAAAAAGCATCCTCCTTTCTAGGGTGCAGCTAGGTGGTACAGTGGATAGAGCATAGGCCCTGAAGTCAGGAGGACCTGATTTCAAATCCGGCCTCAGCCACATAACATTACTAGCTATGTGACTCTGGGCAAGTCACTTAACCTCCAATTGCCTCACCAAAAAAAAAAAAAAAGCTGCCAATTTGATATTCCTAAAGCACAGGTATGACTATGTTCCTCCCCTCCTTGAGAATAATAATAGCTAGTAATAGCTAACATTTATGTAGTGTTTACTATGTACCAGGCATTAAGCTAAGTGCTTTACAAATATTATCTCATTTGATCCTTGTAACTACCCTGGGAGGTAGGTGCTATTATCATCTTTATTTTACAGATGAGGAAACTGAGGCAAACAGTTTAAGTGACTTGCCCAAGGTCACACAGCTAGTAAGTGGCCAGAGTCATATTTGAACTCGGATTTTCCTAACTATAGGCCTCACGCTCTATCCACTGCTCCACCCTAGCTGCCCTGTATCTCCAGTAGACTATCGCCTCCAAAGATAAAATGCAAAATTCAGGGCTTATTATTTAGAGAGTTTCACAATCTGACTTCAACCTAACTTTCTGGTCTAATCTCAGATTATTCCTCCCACTCTTCACCTTCCCCCCACCTCCCCCCCCCACATACTAGGTAAACCATCCATATTCTAGTCAAACTGGTTTACTTGTTCTTTTTAAAGGCAGTCTATACCTCTCCATGCTTCTTATCAGCTGTCCCCCATACCTACAATTGGTTCCTCCTTTTTCTGTCACTTAGAAGCCCTTGTTTACTTTATGACTTAGCTCAAATGTCTTCTCCTACTTGAAGACTTTCCTGATATCCACAGTTGTTAGAGCTATCCACCCACCTGTGACCTTCCACAACTGAAGTTACTTTGAATTTATTTGAGTGATCATCTCCAATTTTTCCTGTATATTATAGCTTGATTATATCTTGTATTTACTTAATTTATATAATTGTTTATATTTTATACTTACTTACGTATGTCCATGCTATCTTCCCTGAGTAGGATGTTAGTTCCTCTTTAGCTTTTGTCTTTGTATGTCTTTGCACCTAGTACCCGGCATGTACTTGGGGCGGGGCTAAGAAATGCTTGTTGAATAAATCAATCAGATGCTTGCTTCTTTCCTTTTCAGGCCACAGGTAGCAGGCTGGCTTTGATTGCTCAGAACACAGCAAACCTTGGGACTGGGATAATCATATCATTTGTATACGGTTGGCAATTAACCCTTTTGCTATTATCAGTTGTTCCAATCATTGCTGTATCAGGAATCGTTGAAATGAAAATGTTGGCTGGAAATGCTAAAAGAGACAAGAAGGAAATAGAAGTTGCTGGAAAGGTGAGTTTGATGAAAGTTCATGTGATTTGTGCAAATATCTTTTGGAAACTTGCTATTGAGTCTTGGTAATGGCTAATTATAATTTATGAAGAGTCCATTACTTTGAATGATGTTATTTATTGCAATCAACAGTGACTGAAGTGATACATATGTATAAGGTTTCTATGTAATCCACAAGTCTCTGATGGTTTTATTCCCTATTCCTGAGCTATACTTTCAAATATATATTTTTACCATTCTTACCAATTCCCACCATTGAATTGTACTATACTATATGTTGCTTTAATTCAGAAGATCTTAGGAATTCTTTGATGGATTTCTCTTCTTCTTCATCTTCTTCAGTGGATGATGATGCATAAGTGACCATTATTTTTCTAGTGCTCTTTTTTGCCAACACTTAAGTATTACATAATGAAATTTAGCATTGTTGGGGTCAGGCTAGGAACTGGACCTGTTACTTCACTGGTGTACGGAGCTTCTTCCATCAATGCATGTCAGTATTTTCTTGCAAATTAGTCTTACAGAGTTGCTCAGGAACACCAAGAGGTTAAGTGATTTGCCCAAGGTCCCAAGAGCACACAGCCAAGTATGTATCAGAGTTGGGACTTAGGTCCTGACTCCAAGGCCACTTTCTATAAATATACGATGGTACCCTCCCTTTCTGTATGGTTTGGAATTTGTGTGTATGTGTGTGTGTGTATGTATGTTGTGTACATGTAATTTTTGTGTGTATCTATACAGATCTAAACACACACGAGATAAATAGATGCATACATACACACACATGCATACATACACACACTAGATAAATAGATACATACATACACACACACACACACACACACACACACACACAATGTGAAGTAAAGGGTTGATTTGACTCTGGTAGGGGCAATCAATCAACTTACTATAGGGTAATTCAGACCAAAGCTGAATCTTCAGAGTGCCTTAATTATACCATTTCATCTAACCTGCATCTAGCACAGTGCCTGGCATGCCATAAATGCTTAACCAATGCTTGCTGAGTTGAATTGAATCCTGAAGGGGATCTGGGAGTGGGGAGAGATATGGATGTGAGTCCAAGAAGGGAGGAATCCTAGGAGTGAGAGAAAGAAACTGGTGCCAAAGAGATGCAGGAGAGAAAACCCTACCCCTGAAGTAGCAAAGCATAGGAAGGTGGCAAGGGGCCAAGGCTGCTAGAATCTGAAGGCGAGTCTGGAAGAGGCTTTTAAAATTCTTATCAATGCAGGAAGACAGGAGAGGTGAAAAATGGCTGACAACTGGATTCAGATTAAGACAACAGCTTCAAGCCTCTATTTGGCTTGGGACTTTCATAGGAAGCTGTTAAGTACATCTAAGATAGTTGAGCTCCATAGTGTAATTCCCCAGGAAAATATCAGAAGACTAGTATGTATAAATACATAAAGACTCTCTTAGGAGTCCCTAGAGAAGTGAAAAGGCCTAGCCAACAGATAATTTGTAGGCTGACTGTCCTGGAATCCGTTAAGAATAGAGGACTGCTATTCAGGAATGGAGTACATGGCTGTCGTTGTATTGATCTGAAGAGAATATGCTCAGTTTTTCTACCAGTGAAAAATAACCAATCCACATACAAAGGAACAGTTCCAGACTTTCAAAACTCAAGCATCACCTGGTCAAATTCTTGCCTGATGAACTGTTACTGATAAACCCAGGGCCTGTCCAGTGTTAAGGGTCCTCCTCCATCTCCTGAAAGTCATTCTTCCTGACTATAGCATTTTCTGTGGATCTGTGTCCCCAAACTTCAAAATCTGGTTTAGTTTGAATTTTAATTTTTGGATTGTGAATCTGTGATTTTGTCACTGTAGAGAATTTCTGTTCATCTGTATAGGCCACCAATTTACCTGTAACTCACCAATCTTAAGGGTCACCTGAAGCCCTGAGAGGTTGTGATTTGTCCATAGTCACAAAGCTGATATTGTGTCAAAGGTGAGATTTAAACACGTCTTCCTGAATCCAGGTAAAGTCTTCTATCCAGTATCACAAGCTACTCTAGGCCAAAATTATGATAATTAATTATAGCAGTGTAAATCAGTTGTCTCTTTTTATCCATACCAGTTATTTTTTTTAAGTCTTTCAAGCTTTTGCTGAACATTGAGAACTAGCTTGAGGAAAAGAGTTCAACCTTTGGGTTTATACCAGAAAACAAACACATAACAGGAATCGTTGACATAGCCTTAAAATCTGTGTTTTTTTTAAAAAAACAAACAACTATTTAATGCTGCTACTAATTAGTGTTAACTCCTAATAATAGTATTCCCTATTAGAACTGGATAAAGCATTAGACTTGGAGTCAGGAAGAATTGAATTGGGATCCTGCCTCAGATACCTATTATGTGACCCTGGTTCTCTATGCCTCAATTTCCTCATCTGTAAAATGGGAATAATAATGCCTGTCTCTTAGGGTTATATTGGGAAGGTAAAATGAGAGACTGTATGAAAAATGTTGTGCAAGCCTTAAAGCATTATATTAAATGTTGTTGTTCAGTCATGTCTGACTCACTGTGACCCCATTTGGGGTTTTCTTGGCAAAGATACTAGAGTAGTTTGCCATTTCCTTCTCTAGTTCATTTTACAGATGAGGAAACTGAGGCAAACAGGGTGAAGTGACTTGCCCAGGGTCACACAGCTAGTACATGTCCGAGGCAGGATTTGAACTCAAGTCTTCCTGACTCCAGGCTCACTGCTTCATCCATTGTGTCACCTAGAATCAAAGGATTTGGATTCAAATGTTGCCTCTAACACTTCCTCACCTTGGGCAAGTGATTTAGACATTCTGGGCATAGTTTCCTTAGCTGTAAAATGAAGCACTTTTCATGTTACTTAATTCGGAGCCCATCCAGAGCACATATTAATCCCATTTTACTGGTGATGAATCTCAGGCTCCCTTGATTAAGTCCCTCACCTAATAGAGAACAGAGCCAGGGTTGCAATCCAGATCTCCTAACTCCAAGACCAAAATTCATTGCACTGCACTACAAATGAATTAGTTGAATTGAATGAATTCAACTGATTTCCGCCCCCCCCCCCCCCCCACACACACAAGGGCCAGCCTGCACAGAGCTGAAAGATTATTTAGCCTTGCCCTTAGGGAGTTTTCTCTTCTGGAGCCTCTCCTGATCCTACTTATCAGCTGTGTGGCCTGGAGGATATCTTTTAACCTTCTAAGAAGGTGTGGGGAACCTTCGGGTTCAAGGCCACATGCAGGCCCTCTAGGTCCTCAAGTGCAGCCCTTTGACTGAATCCAAAATTCTAAGTTCTGTTCTGATACTTACTTCTGCTAAGGTTTGGACAGGTTATAGTTTACATTTGATAAAAAGAGTTTCCTCACTAATGAAATCATAGATCTTTGACTTGTTAAAATATTACTATGATAGTAAAATAATAAAGCTGTTAATTTTATATTAATAATATTTATAAAAGGCAGTATGGTGTGGTGGGCAAAAGGTCCCCTTTGGAGTCAGGTAGACCTCGATTCAATTTTCTGCCTCTTATACACAGTAGCTTTTGGGACTGTAGCCAGGTCACTTAACCTCTCGAAGTTCTAGGGAACTCTCTAAATTTCTGGTCTGTGTGTGTGAGTGTGAGAGTTCCTTTACCAAGAGTTCCCTATAAAATCACAGGTACAGACTAATAATAATAATAATTTATAATATAGGACAATATGCTGTAGTGTAGTATTATGTCTTCTAATGTTGTATAATTTCTTCTAATAATTCTAATGATTTCTTCTAATTCTTCTAATTATCTTCTAATGATCTGGTCTGTGTTACAGATTGCAACAGAGGCAATAGACAACATAAGGACAGTTGTGTCCTTGACCCAAGAAAGGAAATTTGAATCAATGTATGGAGAAAATTTGAATGGGCCCTACAGGTAATAAATAAACACAAGACTCTTAGTAAGTAAGTGCCTGAGTTTTGCTTAAAAAGGGGTGAATCAATATTGAATTAATGTCCTGCACATTATATTTCTTCAGATGCTGGAGTAATGATACTGGAATCCGGCCTCAGATACCTACTATGTAACCCTGATTCTCTATGCCTCAGTCTCCTCATCTGTAAAATGGGAATGATACCTATCTCTTGGAGTTATATTGGGAAGGTGAAATGAGAGACTATATGAAAAATATTGAACATTATATTTCTTTAAACAGTGTAGTAATGATAAGGATGTGAGGCATTATATAAACAGGTAGATTTTTAAAAGATTTTTTAAAAACATTTAACAGGAGACAATATGATGAAAGTAAGAGCTGTGGATTACTACTCAGGAAATCCAGGATTGGGACCTACCTCTACCCCTGCTACTTACTAGTCATTTGATCTTGGACAAATAATTTAACCTTACTAAGCCTCAGTTTCCCATATGTAAAATATAATAATAATGATAAATACATACTATATTATGTATAGCATATATAATAATATAATACACAAAATAATAATAATACTAAAAGTGATAATAACACTTGAATTTCCTAGCTCACAGGGTGATTATAAGGATAATGCTATCTCATGCTTAAATCCTGAAATGTTATATAAATGCATCAGGAAAGGAAGGATTCTGTAATCAAGAGGTAGCAAAGAACTGAATAATGATTTGTTTTTTGAGTTTGGATGGTGTGTGTACTCCATCTGGGCAATTCAGAGCAGAAATTAACATTGGATAACTGGTCATCTTCATTCTGGCTAAGCAGACTTCATCGAAGGTGGCTCATATTCTTTGGCAAATTTAAATCTTTCATTCTGCAGGAAAAGAGTGGCTCGAAAGTCTAAACCATTATAGCTATGAAGATTCCTAGGTTTAGATATCAGTTTATTTGAATAATTCCATTCATCAAGCATTTGTTATATGCTAGGCATTGGGAACGCAGATAAAGGCAAAAGTCTTCATCAACAAGGAGCATTAAAAGTCATCTTCCTAAGTAGCTTATTATTTAGTAAAAGAGAAGAGACAAGTACACAAATAGCCTTATAAAAATTAAAATGAAGGAGGTAAAAAGTGCTATGAGTTCAAATCAGGGAGGAGTCTTTAGCACATAGGGAATAGGAGGGGCTTCCTGGAGAATGTATCTGCAGTAGTGCCTAACTTACCAATCTGAAACGTCTTAAAAAAACAATGAATTTAACTTCCTATGACTTGTCCCGGGGAAGCTAGATAGTGCAGTGGATAGAGCACTAGGCCTGGAGTCAGGAAGACTCATCTTTGAGTTCAAATCTAGTCTCAGACACTAGCTATATGACCCTGGGCAAGTCATTGAACTTCTGCTTGCCTCGTATTCCTCATCTATAAAATGAGCTGGAGGAGGAAATGGCAAACCACTCCAGTGTCTTTGCCAAGAAAACCCCAAATGGGGTCATGAAGCATTTGGATACGATTGAACAATGGCTTGTTTATGATGAAGCTATGGTGATTTTAGTAGTCATTGTTTCTAAAGCTCTCTTTGAAATAAGGTGTTCTAAAATTTTTCAGAAAATAATTTCAAGCTTACTGTATATAGTTTCTGCAATCTACCTTCACCCTCTTTTTTGAAATCAATTCATTTCCTAGATGCTTCCCTCATTAATGTTATATGCCCATAAGACTATAAACTCTACTCATTTTCACCGTAGCATATTTTTAGACATTCAACAATTCAGTTCTTCAAATATTTGACATCCTACTATATGTGAAATGTAGTACTAGTTGCTGAGGAAGCTATAAAAATAAAAAAAATCCACAGTTCCTGCCTTTAAAGAGTTTATAACCTAGAAAAGATGTTCTTAATCTGAGGATTGGGGAACCTGTTTTTTAAAAAATAGTTTGATAATTGTATTTCAATATAATTAGTTTCCTTTTGGAATCCTATATACAAGGGAATGAGTGTTTTTTTAAGCTCTTTCTATGTACCAAGCCCAGTGCTGAGTGCTTTACAAATATTATCTCATTGTATTTATTTATTATTTCATTTTATTTCATGCATTTAAAAACATTATTCTGAGAAGGGATCTGTAAGTGTCACAACACTGCCAAAGGAGTTCATGACATGGAAAAGATTAAGAGCTTTTCATCTGGAATAATGTAGCTGAACACATACCACACCCAACAGGGAACCTCAGTTACTAAGGTTCCTAAATACACTTCCTTAGTGTCAGGGACAGCATTATTCTGGTGACAGTTTCTTATCTTTTCTGTTGAGCAATGGAGCATGTCCACAAATTCTGGTGTCCATTTGAAATTTGATCTTAAAAATTACACCTGTTTTCTAGTCTGATTAAGGAACACTGGGAAATTGACACTTTGCACTATAATGTTGACCCAAAACATGTTCCAGAATTTAAAACAACTCATTTTTACGTGGTGCTTTAAAGTTTACAAATTAATGGGAGCTTTTAATTTTTAGGCCATGAGGGACTTCTAGTTTGTACCTATGGGCAGATGCATCTGTGGTTCTGATATTTTTATCTTTAAGACATTCATTTTGAAAAGAAAATCTGTAGATGTTTGAGTCAAGAAGTCCATACATTAATGGGAATTAAATTTCAAGCCTAAACTTGACATTGTCTTTTCAGTGTTTGTTTGTTTGTTTGTTTTCTGCCACATGTCAGGGTTACTGAATATCCATTGATATTTCTATGTAGGTCAGTCCTCAGAATTTCATGGGTCATAGAGTTAGAGTTAGAAGATACCCCAATATCTGATCCAGGGGCAGCTAGGTGGTACAGCATGATAGAGCATCAACTCTGGAGCCAGGAGGACCTGCGTTCAAATCCAACCTCAAACACTTGACACTAGCTGTGTGACCCGGGGCAAGTCACTTAACCCTGATTGCCTTGCACCCCCCCCCCCAAAAAAGTCATCTAGTCCAACATAAGTTGAACTAGGATGTAGAATTGGAAGGTATCTAAGAGGTCATACATTTAATGCTGGCTGTCAAATTGAAGGTCATTTTACAAAGGAAGAAACTAGGGGCTAGAGATGTTAAATGATTTACTCAGGCTCACAGCTAGTTTGTAGCAGAGCCAGAATTCAAACCTGGGTCCCTCTCATTTAAATCTTTATATTATCTTGTTAAGGAAGAAAAATGAGGCAGATGTTATAAACAAACTTTTTTTGGTCTTCCTTTTCAGAAATTCTGTGCGGAAAGCCCACATCTATGGAATCACTTTTAGCATTTCCCAGGCCTTTATGTATTTTTCTTATGCTGGTTGTTTTCGATTTGGTGCTTATCTAGTAGTGAATGGACACATGCGTTTTCGAGATGTTATTCTGTGAGTATCTTTAAATTTTCTTTTAGGCTATTCTGTACCAGGGTTTTAGACAGCACTGCTGTCTTAGGTTTAGAAGTTTCTCTTTTGTAAATAGAGAGGATCTTTGGCAAGAAACACTTCAATTGAAGGAGTTTTTAAATAGAAAATGAAGTCTTTTGCTATGATAATTGTTATTAGCATGTGGGAGATGCTATGGAAGAAACCACAGTTTGGAAGTTAGGGTCCTTGGAATCTTAGAGATAAAAGCAGTCTTAGAGGTAGATCATTTAGTCCAATCCTCTGTCCGGTGTAGGAATCCTCTCTACAAAATCCCTCACAGGCAATCATCCCCAGTCTCTGACTCCAAGGCGACCTCCAAGGCAACTAATTCCAACATGGGGTGGTTTGAATTGTTAAAAAGTTCTTCCATACATTAAACTGAGATCAGCTGTCCTGTAATTTCTACCCACGGGTCCTAGTTCTGCTCTCTGGAAGTATGCAGTAATCTAATCCTTCTTATAGATGACAACTTTTTGGATGTTTGAAAATAGATATCAAGTACCTGCTCCATGTCTACTTTCCTGTCCCACCCTCGCCTTTTTCCCACCTCCAGATGCTAAGAAAAGCAGAAACAAAATGGAGTAACAGAGAGTGTGCTGGATTTGGCATCAGCAAGATTTCATTTTAGTCCCATTTCTGATACTTAGTAGCCAAGTGACCATGGCCAAGCGACTTGGCCTCTATGAAACTCAGACAACTATCTAAAAAGTTGAGACAATATAGAAAATGAGTAGCAGGGAGTGACCATGTCACCACAGTGGTCTTTGATGTATTGACAATCATCTTCCCCTAATGAATTTTTTGTAGGCCAATTATCACCAATTCCTTCAACTGTTCCTTATATGACATGGCTTTGAGTCCTGCCTAGATCCTATACACATACTCTGATTTTTCCTTGCCCTTCTTAGTACTTTCAAGACACTGAAGGGCCACTGGAACCCCTGCTTCCTTTGTTCTGGAGACTGGGCTTTTCTTCATTAAGATGACACTAGTTTCTTTAGGATCCATTAATTCACATTGGGCTTGCATTCACCCAACATCTATCTCCAAGTCTTTTTCATATTAACTATGTTTATTGTAGGTCTTTTCCTTCCTATAGTTTTAAAGTTGTGTAAAATTTCTTTGCCCCAACGACATTTATGTCCTATTAGTTTGAGCCCATCACTCCAACATGTTAAGAACTTTTTGGATACTGATTCTTTCATTGAATATATTCACTATCTTCTCAGGTTTGTGTCTTTAGTAAATTTGATCAGCACAGTAGTGTGGTACAGTGAGTGAAGAGAGCACTGGATTTGGGGTCATTAGAGATATAGATTCTGATTTTGCCTCTAACACTTTCTGGGCAAGTCATTTAACTTTTCTGACCCTCACTTTCCTCATTTCAAAAAAGGAGATTATAATACCTATAGTACTTACCTCGTAAGGCTCTTGTAAGGAACAACTGAGTGGGTATGCGAAGGGATTTGCAATCCTTAAAAAGCTATATAAGTGTTATTGCTATTACTATTGTGTCATCATCAGAGGCAATGGTAAAGCAGTCAAACAGACCAGAGCTAAGAAGAGAACTGGGCAGCATGCCTCTAGAGAATTCCTTCTAGTTTTGTGGTTCCTATTTTTCCCCCCAAATATTAGGACCTCTTTTTAACATCAAAATATAGGACCTCTACAGGGGTTGTCCTGTAAGTATTTCTAAAATGTTCAATGGCAAAAAAGAGTATGAATTAATTTAGCAATGCTTTTAAGGAAGTTTATAACAGCATCTAAATACATTTGAAAAATAATGAAATGCATAAATGTATGATACACTATTTAGTCTCTACTGAAATATATTTGTTTATTATACTGAGTCACACTGCATATTTTTGGAATTAAATAAAAAATATGATGTGGATGTGACCCTGTTTTCTAGAAGCTGGTAGATCAAAAGCTATAACAGGTTCTATCATGCTAAGAAGGTTTTGGATATAATCCAGATGCCACATTATATTTGCTGTTCAAAGATCAGGCTAGCTAAGTACAAAAAGTCTCACTACAGTAGGTTAACCACTGGGTGTTAAGTTATTTGGCCATGTCAACCCATGAAACTAAGAAAAAACACAAAATATGCCTTAGTCCTATGTGAGCTCTTGCTGTTTCTAGAAGCAATGGTTGTAGAGTTACAGGAAAAGGGACAGATGGTGCTAAGAATCACCAAGTTTTAAAACTGGCTATAAACATGTAAAAATGGATTTAAATCTGTATCATTGGAGGAAGAACCCACTTTGGCTAGATCATAAATCCATCAGAGTATTACAATATTAATATTAAGTTAACTGTTGGTGCTGAAGATGTAAAATACTTGTCCAGGGACCAATAAGTTGACATATTATGGAACTGAATCATATCAATATTGATAGTTCATCTATAAATGAAATCAGAAGATTTAAAGAAGTTAACCAAATGGAAGTATGGCTCAAATATTCTTCTTGGAGAGTCAAATAAGATTTTGGTAGAGTTGGCCTTATTATAGGTTTAAAGGGAATATCGCTTCTTAGAATACTCAGTCATCTCACATTGTAGTGCTCATGATGAGTATAGGGTTAGTTCAAAGCCTTGGAGGTTTGTGGGCACACACATTTGAATATGAAAGGTAGGAGTCTGTAATAAAAGATTTTACAGGGCAATAGCCCTATAGCAGCCACACTTAGTCTTTTTTGTTCTTGCTTCCCTATATTTGTTCATTTGCATGGCAAAATCCATAGGATCTTGGTAGTGAAGTGGATCTCAAAGTCCAGCTTTCATACCACTTACCACCAAATCCAAACAGTTAAGACAAAATCTTTAGCCTGAAGACACTGTCTAGTTTTCCTTTGAGACCCTTAACTAGGTGTGACAGATTGTATCTTTGGCCATAGACTGAAAAAGCTATTCACCTAAGCTTATCAGGGAGAGGCTTTCTAGTCACTGCAATGAAGAAGATAGGAACCAGAACAGCCAGTACATGTCCTGGAACAGATGAAGCCCAGAAGCTGGTCACAGAGAGAAGCTCCATATTCACATACTCTGTGAAGGATCCCAGCAGCAACTACAAGACCAGCAGAGCAATGCCTAGTAGTGATGAACTACCCAGAAGAAATTAGAACCATATGATGGTATCACCAGAGGACATCAGCAGCCCTACAGTTTTGGAGGTGTGAGTTGCCCTAGCAACATGTATGTCCCTACGTTTGTTTGCCCCACACATGTCCCTGGCCATGTCACACATGGCTTCCTGGTGTGTGCCTCTTCATGCATGTTCCCTGGCCACACTTGTTTACTATGTGTGTACACTTCATGCATGGTTCATGATCATGTATATTCCTTCCATGTGTGCCTTCTTTGCATGTACTCTGGCCAGGGTACACACTTAAGTGCACATTTTCCCTAGGCATGTCCACTCTTCCCATTGATGGCTTGTGTATTTGTGAGCAAATGTGTTCCAGGTTTATGGGGGAAAGTTCTATTACTACTTGAATTACTATTCTATTTCATTAAATGCCTTTTGTTTTGAAAAAAAATGTGTCCTCTAGCTGTTTAATAAAAAGTAAGTATATCAGGCATGAGCTCATGAAATATGACTTTGAGAGGATGCAGACCCACATAGTATCTTGAACCTGGGTACAGATTTTCTGTGGGGCCTATAGCCAAGAAAGAGTATCCCAGGTGTTAACATGAATATGAGCAGAGAGACCTATTTCTAGATAATTGAAGATTATATATTAGTAACTGTTGCAGAAGATAATAAATTTTTAAAAATTCTAAGAAGAGTTTGATTTTTAAAAATTCCAAATTAAATATATATATATATATCTCCTAATATTTGATGACATCAGTGTGAAGATGGACAAAGAGGAGAATGATTAAAATGTTAGAAAATATGACTGAATCAAGAAATGAAAGTCTCATTTAAACAAACTACTGCTGCAGAAAAAAAAAATAGAAATGGATAAAGGACAGACTTAGACATTGAGTTTACCATTTCCTACATAAGTTCAAGTGACATAAAGAAAGCAGCCAAAAGAGCCTAGAAACCACCTCAAACAGAAAAGATTTTATCTCCTTGCCAAGTGGCAACATATGCCAGTCAAGGGCCATGGTGGTTTAGAGTTTAAAGTTGTTTGTAAAATTTTACAAACAAGGAGAGTAAAAGATTATGAACAACATAGTCCTATGAAACCATGAGTAGGTGAAGGATGTAGGATCTAATTTCATATTTCTCAATGTGTTATATTTTCTCAATGAGGAAATAGAAATGATACTAAAGAAAACATAAGTGGGGAAAAACAGCTAAACCAGACAAAGTATATGTTGAAGATACCTCTGCCAGAAATGACGTAAGGATACTGAGGATATTGATGCTCAATATATTCAACTGAATTAATTACGTAGATATATATCAAGATACTAGCATGTGCAAGGCATCAGGCTAGGCTCTAGGGATACAGAAACCAGTCCCTGTCCTCAAGGAACTTGTATTCTACAAAATGGACACAGAGAAATCAATACAAGATCATTTGAGGTAAGAGAAAGTACTGTCAACAGAAGGGGATCAAGGAAGTCTTCACATAAGAGGTGGTGTCTGGCCTTGAAGGAATAGAAAGGTTCCAAAAGACAGAGAGAAAGGAAAGAGTGCATTTCAGCAAAGGAAATTAAGAGATAGAATGCCAAGTTTGAGAAACAACAAGTAAGTCAGTTTGGCTAGAATACGGGGTGTTTAAAGGGGAATAATATGTAATAAATCTCTAAATGTCATTTGAAACCAGTTTGTGAGTGACTTTCAATGCCAAGCTGAGGAGCTCGTTTTATCTTTGAGGCAATCAATAGGGAACCATTGGAGATTTTGAGTCAGATTTGTGCTTTTGGAAGATTTTTTTTTTGGCAGCTTGTGTGAACTATGGCTTAGCAAAAGGTTAGTAGAAGTAGGGAGACCAATTGGGATCCTAGTCAATAGCCCAGAATAGATTAACCCACATGCCTACTTTCTCATCTTTACAAAATAGGAGAATAATTTGTAAATGTTATCTAAGACATACTTGATTAAAAAAAAAACATGAGATGGGAACAGATAGTCCTTTGCAAACCATATCCTACAGAAGATGACATTTTTAAGAGTCATACATTTGACTGAAAGTTACAGACAATCCAAGGTACCACTCTACCTACAGTTTGTTGACTATAAAAAGCATTGGTTTGATGGAGCAAATGCAGCTTTAAAGGTCATCTAATAAAGTGTCTCCTAATGTGCGTTTTAAAATTATCTAAGATTTCTTGATAAATACAGTCACAAATAGTTTTGATCAGTAAAATCAACAGAGGAATGAAAGAGGGAAATATATGTTCACCAAAGGTGTCTGAGACTATCATGAGGACACAACCCAAATGAAAATGAGATTCCCTATAGATAATTAAGCAATCAACAAGCATTTATTAGGCATTTTCTATGTGTCAAGCATTGTGCTAAGCACTGGGGATAAAAAGAAAGGCCAAAACATGGACGCTGACCTCAAGGAGGTCCTATTCTAATGGGAGAGATAATGTGTAAATATATGTGTATATATTTACACACATATATATAAATATATATATATACACAGAGTAAATGATAAATAACTTCAGAGGAGAAGGCACTAGTAGCTGGGAGGACTCAGAAAGGACTGCTATAGTTCTCTAGAAGTTCCTGTTTACAGGTGATAAATGATATTATGCTGATTGCATTGTTTCAAACATTGAAGAGGCTCCTAAATGAATTCCATCATCTCTAAAAGAATTTGATTCAGCGCTCTACACAGGAAAAGCCAAGCGGATGAAGAATTTTCTCTTCTTTAGACCATGATATGAAATTGGATACACACCCCATAGATTGAGTCCATCAATACATTTTCCTTGGATAGATGCTGAAGAGAGTGAACTGAGCCAGTACTGAATAGGAGGAAGAGAGAAAAATGGATATCATATAAAAAATTACATAGTACTTTCAGCAATCCCAGTCTTCTCTCTGAAAAAAAAAATCCCATCTTTTCAACACAAATGTTCTTGTATTTATACTATATGGATGTGAAACGCTGAGAAATCAAAGTTGCAGATCACCCTAAAGACAATAGCAAGACTCATGGTGAGTGTAGATAAGTCAGTCTAGCATATTAGTCACCACAATGATTTGGTCACACCAAGTTGCATAAAAAAATATCATCATGGAGATAAATGACCAAAAAAAGGAAGTTGGGTAGGTTGTGAAGGAAGAATGAGGGGTAACAACTAGATCCCCAGGGTCTGCATTGGACTGTATTTACTGTCTGTAATTTCCAGCATTTTTGGAAAAATTATTAGATTCACCAGTCAGCATTCTTCTGATGCCTCTCCTGTTCTCCATGATTCCTCAAAGATTACCAAGAATAATAAGGTGATTACAACCAAAAGTTCTTTCTGAACTCCTGGAATTGAATTTGTTTGTTTCGAAGATATACTTTGTTACTATCTCATCATCTATCTTGAATTCAGTCTACCCTTTCCAACATGAAGATTCTTCTCCTTGATACAAAGATTGAAGTAAGATGGGATTAGAGGAATTTGGCTTTCTCTGTTACCATTACATCATGCATCTGTCTCAACCGAGAGACCTCTCCTTTCCTCGTTTGTCTTCTTTCCCTCAAACATAGGTTAAAATGCCCTTTTTTATTATCATTTTTTTTCACAAGTCTTGTCTTGTCCAAAGGCGTTCACTTTCATTTTGCTATTCCAAGAGTTCTGCCTTTCTTTCATATTCATCCTTGCTTTTTTGTCCTTCCTTCCCTCATTTGTATCCATCCTTTAAAAATCTGGGCTCATTGGAAGAGGCCCTGTGCAATCTCATTGATCTTTTGTGATGTCTCTCCCCTTTCCTTCCTCATCACCATCTTTTCCAACTGTGTCATCAGAATTTCACATTTGGAGAACCTCCCATTCTTTTCTGAAACATTTTCCCATTTTACAGCCATTGTCCATAGCGGTCATATTTCTCATTATGTGAACTTTTTGAAATCTGCTTTCCAAAAGTTTAAGGAATATGCCTAACCATGTCAAGTACTCCTTTCTTTTTCTATCATGAATTCTAAGATGACACGGTCACTTTCTCCAGTGGTTCTTTTTGTATCTACTTTACCAACTAGTTTGCCTTTCTTCATCAGAATTGAGTACAAGATAGCAGTTGGCTGTGTGTTTGTAGTCAAAACCCAACCACTATGTGATTCATTCTCCCCATCCATGAATTTCCACAATAAACAATCCAATTTGTTGAAGTTAATTGATAATGAACCTAATTCCTCAATACAAAAGCTACTATCTAATCATAAGTGAAAGATATTGGGAAGCTGCACCGACTATTAGAAATTAGTGGGAACCTAAAGGAAAGGAGAAAGGGGTAGGGAGAAAAAACTCAACTCAGGCAGTGGACTCAAACCTCTTCCTTTTATTTCTGTATTATTGGTGTTTGAAAGGGAATTTCGGAGAATTATAATGTACACAGAATAGTAAAGGCAAATCATAAAATGAGCTGGGTGTTAGTAGGCTGGTCATTTGGGGGATATTCATAAATGTAAGTAGGAAGAGTAGAGATTTTACAAGCTAAATCAATTTTGTTTGGTCCTACAGAATTTGAAAAACTGTTTGTAAGACTGATCTGACATTATCCACCTATACTTGTTCCAGGGTATTTTCCGCCATTGTTTTTGGGGCCATGGCCTTAGGACACGCTAGTTCATTTGCTCCAGACTATGCTAAAGCCAAGTTGTCAGCAGCCCACTTATTTATGTTGTTCGAAAGAGAGCCTCTCATAGACAGCTACAGTGAAGCAGGACTGAAGCCTGTAAGTTCTTGAATGCTTAACCATTGTTTATGTTTTATTTTGTTTTGTTTTCTAGAAGTTGACTTATTGTTTGGAGACACAGTGATACTCTCTGCTAGTTTTAATCAGAGAGTCATAGGACCATATTATTTAGACCTGGAAGGAGCCTTAGAGATCATTTAGGACAATTCCATCCTTTTACAGATGAGGAAACTGAGGCAAAGAAAGAAAGTCTTGCCCAAGGTCACACAGGTAGTAAAACTGACATTCAAACCCAAGTCCTCTAACACTGAATTCATTGCTCTTTCCACTATGCCTTGTCAATTGCTATAATTTTTTATGAAAATTAAAAATGATTTGCTAGAGGTTGTTATACATTTAGTTCACCTTACACTAGACATTTCATATTTTGTTTGCATTCCAAGTAAGTTCATAACCAACAAAGCCACAACATGTGAATTAGTCCCCAAAGAGGCAACAACAGGTTTTCTTCATTATCGAGGTAGAAACGTTACCTGAGAGCCAAGTGAAGAGTTCACTAAAATACTGTCCAGGGTTTTTTGGCAGTGCAAGCTCCCTGGCTGAAATCCTCCCATCTAATGCAAAAGACGGGCACATTTTGGAAGTGAATTATTTCTATTAAAATTGCTCATCGTTATTATGGACAAATGAGTTAAGAATCACTCATGTAAGTTACTTATACATAGTTATTAATAGCTCCCAACATGTTTAGTCTTCTGTGGAGAGATTTATAGTGTAAAAAGACATAGTTTGGGAAGATTATTTAAAAGTTGGAACACATTCAGAGAAGAATCAGCAGGATGGTAAGTGGACTGTTAAACTATGCCTTTTCAGGATGGTTTGGAAGAAAGGGATGCGTGGCCTAGAGAAGACGTAGGGAGGGGGAACGTGAGTACTATCTTTAAGTATTTGAAGGTATCTTATATGGGATATTTATTTAATTGACCTTAGAGAGAAAAAGAAGTAACAAATAGAGAAACACTTTTGGTTTCACATGAAAAAAAAAAAGTTCCCAGCCATTGTAGTGGTCCCAAAGTGGAATGAGTTGTCACCGTGGTACTGAGATAGTGAGGCCGAATGGCTACCTTTCAAAAAGTTACAGAAAGGATTTCTACAGGTCAAAGTTGAATGATATGGTATCTAAGGTTCCTTCCAACTCGAGATTCTGTGATCCTGACTCAAGTATCGCTTGAGAAGAAGTTGAGGAAGACTTGTTTACTGGATGCTTTGGGGCAATTATTGACCTCTTTCCAACTACCCAGGCTCCATGGACTCACTTCAAGGAAGGTCTGGCAGCCTGAAGATAAAGCCAGAAGCAGCTGCTAAATCTGAAAGCCTTTGAATAAGACAGAGACGAGACAATTACTGACACGGTCTCACTTCAGTACCAGGATAAGACTTGTAGAATCACAGAATCTCATCATTGAGAGAAACCTCAGGTGCCATTAAGTCCAATCCATCCTCTCTACATCCTCCCCCATAAGTGATCCCCAGCCTTTGCTGGAAGTTCTTGACTAAGAGGGAGCCCACTGCCAATTAAGGCAGCCTATTCTCCTTGTGGGTAGCTCTGATTATTAGCCTACAATTTCAACCTACTGCTCAAAGTATGTGACAGATAATCCAATCCTTCAGAAACTTGAACATAGCTCCTAAGTCATTCCTTTTGCAATTATCCCCCTTGAAAGTCATGTCTTCTCCAGGCTAAACTTACCCCATTCCCTTAACTGATTCTCATATAACATAATTTGTTCTTCCTTGGTGTCCTTTCTCTGGACACTCGCCAGTTTATCAATGTTCTTGATAAAATGTGGTGCTCAGACCTGAACAGGATACTTGAGATATGATTCTCAGTGTTCTCACCTCCCTCCTTCTGGATACTGTGCTTCTCTTAGTGTAGCTTAAAGCTTTTGGACAGACATATCACACTATTGACACTGAATTTATAATCTGCTAAAAATCCCAGATTTTTTCCAGATGAATGAACTTCAGTCTAACCATATTTTTTCCATATTACACATATATAACTTATTTTTAAGTGCAAAGATGAATTTACCTTCATCGCTATTAAATTCCATCTTCTTAGATTGCATCTAATTACTCTAGACTCTTGAGAGCTTTTTGAATCATGACTATCAATGAGTGCATTAGCTACTCCAAGATTTGTGTCATTGGCAAAATCTGTACATTTATTCAAGGCATTAATAAAAATGCCTTAATTAAAAAAAAAATAAAGAGTACAGGGCCAAGGGCAGATCCTTGGGACACACCAGTAGAGATTTCCTTTCAACTTAGCATCGAACCATTAGTGACAATTCTTTGCGTCTGGCTATTCAACCAGTTTGAAATCCATCTAATTGTACAGTTCCCTAAACCCAGATTTCTTTATTTTGTCCAAAAGAACAAGAAAGAATATCAATGTCAAATGCCTTGCAAAAATTTAGGTAAATTACAGCAACAAATTGCTCTTGTCTGCCAGACTAACAACCTTGTCCAAAAAAGATATAATGATAGTCTGTTGTGACCTGTCCTGGATGAAACCATGCTGGCCCTTTGTGATCACCACTACCTCTTACAGATGCTCATTAATGATTCCTTGGATAATGCTAGGTATTAAAGTCAATGAGCGCATTGACCGGTAGTCTGCTGACTTCAATCTCTTCCTTTTTTTAAAAATATGGACATATATTCTGCTCCAGAATAATAGGATCATAGGATTTAAAACTGTAATGGAACTTGGAAATCATTTAGCCCACCCCCTCATTTAAAAATGGAGTACTTTTCCCATATTCCATGATCCAATGGCTCACACATCTGCCAATTCTTTCAGTGTCTTCAGATATAGCTCCTCTTGGCCTATTAACTTGAATTCATCAAAGGCATTACCATCGCTCTGCTTGTGTTGAGTTTCAGCTCCCCATCAGCTTTTTGTTGTTCTATTCTTTCCAGGCCAGACATTACTCTCCTGGGAAGAGAAAATAGAAGCATATGAGAATATAAGTAGCTCTGCCGTTTGTTCATTGTCCATTACTATCACCCCTTCCACCATGAGTAGCAGTCTTCTTCCTTCTTTGATCCTCCTCTTTTCTTTAATATAACCAAAAGGAAAGGAAGAAAGAAGGAAAGAAAGAAAAAGCAATTCACTCTTTTTTGTTGTCCTTAGCGTTCTTTGCCCTCCTGATACAATTCCTACAGAACCATGCCATACTTTTGTATCAGTTCTTCATTACCTGCCCCTGGTCCTATCTTCTACACATGTTATTTTTTAAATTTAAATTTATTTATGAGTTCTTTGTGCATGCATATTGTTTTTTTTAAATACAACTCTCCATTTTCTTCCATAATCAATGACTATGAAATACTATAATTGGTCAACAAACCCTGTTTTTGAACAGGGTCTTTTGCATGGTGTGCTGCAAAGTTATAGATTTGGGATTGAAAGACCTTGATTCAAATCCCAGCTCTGCCACTTACCTATGTGACCTTGGACAAGAGGTCTTAAACTCTCTGGGCCTCAGTTTACCCATTCTCCCACATACACAAGTGAGGGGGTTGGATCTTTGTGGTCTCTTTCAATTATAAAAATCTGGTGAACTTAAAACTGTTCAAAATGGACAAAAATTGAATTTTCATTAAAAAAAAATCTGTGGCATATGAGTTTGAATGTAGTTTGAAGTATACTTTATCTGAATTTTACATATCAGTCTTTCTACATCAGGATTTTATGTGGTACCAGAAACATATGTTATATATGAGATTTATATCTGGACCCAATAACCTCCTGTAAAATTTCCTAGATTCAACATTCCTTATTCAAATAATGATCAGTCCATTATTGGTTTCATTTTGATTTTAGGCTAAGTTTGAAGGGAATGTGTCATTTAATGAAGTTGTGTTCAACTACCCTACCCGGCCAAATGTCCCCGTGCTCCAAGGCCTGACCCTGGAGGTGAAGAAGGGTCAGACCCTGGCTCTTGTGGGCAGCAGTGGTTGTGGGAAGAGTACTGTGGTGCAACTTCTCGAGAGGTTCTATGATCCCCTGGCTGGACAGGTGGTAAGTGGACTCTTCTCAGGACAATCCTTTAGGACTAATACAAGTTGCCTGGATAGGTTTTTGTCAATTTTAACAAAAGTGAGTTGAACATGCCTAAATGTCCACGGGCAAAAACCACATAAATGAAGACTTCTTATTCTCCAGACAATGTCATACAATTGGATGGATAACCGATAGAGTTGGCTCTTTAGTACATTTATCTTTGACAGATGCTGAAGACAGACATAAACTGGACCCAGGATTGAATAGTAAGAAGAGAATGAAAGGGATTGCCTTTGGGAAATTAGGCAGTGCTTATATTTACTACAAGCTTCTCACTGAAACAAGACCCTTTTTCAGCATCAATATTTGTTCACTAATGTGGCTCTAAGTTATGGAGTATCATAACTGCTAAGGAATTAAAGCTGCATATCACCCAAAGAATAATGAAGAAGGCATATGATGGATATGACCAGGCTGCAACAAAGGTTGGTATAGGAGAAGTGGTATAAAGGGCATCACCAGACAGGAGATGGTCATATCACAAGGGGAATGAATAGCTGATGGACAGTCAAATGCCCTCTTGGTAGCCACACAATGTCCAAAAAAATGGCTATTGGGGAAGCTTAACCAAGATTAAGGACTTCTAACTCTCATAGGATGATAGATTTAGATCTGAAAGAGATCTTAGAGGAAATCTAGTTCAATCCCCACATTTTACAGATGACCAGAAAGGTTAAGTAACTTGACCAGCTAAAGCCAGAATTTAAACTCAGGTTCAGAGGCTGCAAGTTCAGTGCTCTTTCCATGGTGCCATCCTGTATCTACAACCATTCTGCTTCCAAGTCCAAATCTCCATCTTCTCTCTTGTGCCTTTAGTCCCTACCCTTCTCTAGTTCACCCATATCAGCCAATCCACTCTTACCAAAAATTCTGCTTTCTTTACATCACATGTTCCTGGAAGTGACACAGCTTGTCGTTGTCATGGCCAAATAATCCATCTCTTCATAGCCAACAAACTGGTGCTAAACTTGTTATCCTTCACTAGATTGGTCCTCTAACAGCATGATTAGTCTTTCACCAGAAGATTCTGGAAGCTGCTGCAGCTTGATAAAATCTACGGGAATCTTTATTCTGTTGGCATCATTTTCAAGAATAAAGGATCACCTCTACACCATGATGAGAAGTTAGAGTAGGGACTTGAGAAAGGAATTTGTTATAGCAGCCCTTTTCATCTTCTGTTAATAGAACTTGCGTCTGAATTAGAGAATTACAAGGTCACACACACACACACACACACACACACACACTTTCCCAGGGTCATACCCTTTGGCTCACTTTACCATGTGGTACCTAACCCTTGTTTATTATTGGTGGACTAAGAGAGATAAAAGGGGGGGAAAGGGGAAAAAGTAAGGACACCGACAGTCAGTAAAAAATAAAGTAGCTGTAGAACAGAAAGCACAGTACCATGTTGTTGAATTCAATTCTTCTGATGTATAGAGGAGGAGAAGAAAATCTAGCATATGTTATGGGAAGAGAGAACTGAACTGATTGCTGTAGGAAGTTACTATACCTGCAGGGCAACCTGAAGGCACTTGAGTCCCTGGGAGAGTGCAGAGTGATGGGAGCACTTTCCCTTTTTCTAGACACTTAGGCAGTAGCCAAAATCTAATGTTCTTAGGGAAAATCTTGAATAAGAAGAAACTGAGGCAAAACTCTGATATTTTCTGACGAAACTCTGAGAGGGTTATTTACCAAAGAGTATGAGTATTGAGGAGCCCCCAACATTGTAACTGTTAACAAGCCTCCTCCCACACACATTTATATTTATTACATATATATGTTCCAGGAGTCTCATGAGATTGGGAACTTTCAACCGTAGCAATAAGGTGTCTTGCTAGATGTCCCTAGCAACTGATTCACATGCAATTCTTTCCCTAAAAGAAGGGATATATATTGAGCACACAATTAAAACACATATTGATTACTTTGAGGATATTTAAGAAAAGTTTTATTAGTGCTTTGCATTTTTTTATACCACTGTCACTTGCTAATACCCTTCCCCACGAATCCCATTTTAACAAAAACAGGTAAGTAACACCAGCCACAAACACAGTGAACACGTTCTACACTTAAAATCCCCAACTTCCTTAGTGAGAAGAAGAGAGCATGTCTCATCATCCATCCTCTGGACTCAAGATTGGTCATTGCATTTGATCTGATTCTGAATAGCTTTTTTTGTTTTGTTTTCATTTACATTATTGCAATCATTGTGTAGATCATTTTCTTGGTTCTGCTTTTTGAATTCTGCACTTCTTATCATCACTTCTTATGTCTTCCCATATTTCTGTGAATTCATTATATCTGTTGTTTCTTATGGCACAATATTTCATAATATTCACATACCACAGTTTGCTCACCATTTTCCACTGGATGGGCACCCCCCACACACACTTGTTTTCAGATTTTGCTACTAAAAGTTCTTCTATGAATATTATGGTATATATAGGCTCTTTCTGTCACTAATCTTCTAGGAGTGGGATCACTGGGTTTGGGGGACATATTGGGCAAAAAAAAAAAGATTGTTGTTTATAAACAGTACAGAAATTAGCTTAATCAAACAGTTAACCAGTTTGGATAGTAGAACTTAGTGCTAATAAATCATGACAGTGGTTTACATTTTATATTTATTTGGAGAAAGAATAAACAAAGAAATTTATATTTCATTTTAGAGGTAATAAGAAGGCACTAGAGTTTATTGACTAGAGGGATGACACGATCAGGCTTGTTTATTAGGAAAATCACTTTGGCAGGTGTGTGAAAAATGGATTGGAAATGGGGAGAGACTTGAGCTAAGGAGCAAATAAGAGGCAACAGTCTAAGCAAGATGTGATAAGGACCTGAAGTAGGATAATGGCTGTGAGTGGAAAGGTGGGGACACATGAGAGATTTTATAAAGATACAAATAAGAAGATCTGGAAGCCAATTGGATATGTAGACTTAATCTAACTTAGATTAAAAAAAAGAAATATACAGAAGATGGAAGCAAGGGCAGGTAATGGATGATGGATATAAAGATGTGACATGGTCCTATAAAAATGTCAGGAATGCTGAAGTTCAAAATGAGTTGCTAGTTGGTAAGACAAGAAAAAGAGCATTTAAATTACATTGGAGGAAAAGGGGGATCAAAAGAGGGATAGGACTTTTGCTTGGAGTAGATGGGATAAAGACGATTGACAAAAGAGAGAAGGCAGGACTACTCAAATCTTATTTGGTTTTCTTGGCAAAGGAAAGTGACCAATACCCTGGAAAAGGTAGAAAGAACTAAAATGATCAACAGGGAGGTGATACCCAAGATAAGTAAAGAGGCAGTAAGAGAGCAGGATGCTCAGGATTCCAAGAACCAGTAGTGAGGAGAGAGTGTTCCAGCCATGGAGACCAGCCTGTGCTAAGGAACAGAGAAATGAGGGCATGTCTGCCAGTTTTACTAGAATGTCAAGTGAATAGTGGGGAGAGTTAATGTGAAATCATTCTCAAAAGATGGGCTGGAGCCCATTTGGGAAGATCTTTGAATTCCAAAGCTTCTTGAGTGGAGGAGTGACATCTTAGACCTATGTTTTAGTAATATCAATTTGGTAGCTAGATTAGAGAGGGAGGAAAAATAGATGCTGAGAGAACAAGTAAGAAGTTATCGTAATAATCCAGACAAGATGTTATGCAGGCCTTTTTTAAAAAATCTTATACAAAGGCTTCAAAGTCTTTTTAGACTGAAATTTTTGCCTGAGAAGTTTCAGGGGGGTCTCCATACTACAAGGGAGCAGTTTCTACCTCACCCAGTGCCTCAGCTTGTTTGCATACCCCTTGGCTAGTGACAGTAAATTGAGTGCCATGATTCATATGCCCATGTCCTGGTTTGGCTTCTTGCAACCTTAGTGTGGGTGTATCTGCTCATGTACTCACAGAGAGCTATGTACTAGATATGTGCCTTATCCAAGTAAGACTTTATGACCTTTTGGTTTGTGTCTTACAAAAAAACAAATCCTTTGCCTCACTCCCAACCTCTTGTTTTCTCATGTATCAGGAACAAAAAGATTACCTTAAAAACAAACAGAAAAATTGCTTTTATATCATGACTAATGGGAATATATGTTTAATATGAATGTATAAGTAGCATCTAAAGAAAACCCAGAAAAATAAAAAAGGAATGGTGCAGAGGCCAAATCAACAAGTAGCCTAACAAAATGGTGTGAGGGAAAACATGCTAAGAATTGTACCTGGCTCTGCCATTGGCTAATTATGTGACCGTAAGCCAATCAGTTCATTCCTCAGGGCCTCAGTTTCCTCGCCTTAAAAATGGGCTCTTATATTAAAGGAAATATATGACAATTATACATAGCCAAATTTTGCTTAGCTATGCTCGTTGAAAGACAAAGTCATATGTATAATATAAATATTAAATAGAGATAGCATGATGAGGTGGCGGAAACAGGGCTTTAGTAGCAGAGGAATAGTTCTAGTCTATTCTAGTTGCAGTCTGGCTTGGCTGCTGCAGGGGACAGAACTCTGGAGTTGGAGTCAGAAAAGCTGGGTTGCTATGCCCAAAGGGCTACAAAAATATGCATACCCTTTGACCCAGCAATAGCGCTTCTAGGGCTGTATCCCAAAGAGATCATAAAAATGCGAGAAGGACCCACATGTACAAAAATATTCATAGCAGCTCTTTCTGTGGTGGCAAAGAATTGGAAATTGAGGGAATGCCCGTCAATTGAGGAATGACTGAACAAGCTGTGGTATATGAATGTAATGGAATACTATTGTGCTATAAGAAATTATGAGCAAGCAGACTTCAGAAAAACCTGGAAAGACTTGTATGGACTGATGCTGAGTGAAGTGAGCAGAATTAGGAGAGCAATGTACACGGTAACAGCCACGTTGTGCAAGGACTAATTTTGATAGACTTAGATCTTCTCAGCAATGCGAGAATCTAAGACATCTCCAAAGGTCTCATGATGGAAAATGCTATCCACATCCAGAGAAAGAACTATGGAGTTTGAATGCAGATGGAAGCATACTATTTAATTCTTCTTTACAACATGACTAATGTGAAAATGTTTAATACAAATGTATATGTAGAGCCTGTATCAGAGGCTGTCTTGGGGATGAAAGGGGAGAAAATTTAAAACTCAAAAGCTTATGGAAGTGATTGTTGAAAACTAAAAATAAATTAATTTAGAAAAAAAAGAGAAGAGCTGGGTTCCAATCCCAGCTTTGCAGCTTACTACTTATGTCACCTTGGACATGTAACTTAATGTCTCTGGACCCCTTTCCAAATCTATAAAATGAAGGGATTGGACTATGTGCCTTCCAAGATCCCTTCTAGCTGTAAAGATCTGATAAATCTGTATGACCTTGGGCCGGTCACTTAGCACCTTGAGTCTCAGTGTCTCATCTATAAAGTGATGGTCTCTGAATTCCTTTCCAGCACTAAATCTCTGATCTCAACCTTTGTGACATTCAGCAAGTCTCTCAATTTCCACGAGTTTCTGTTTCTTCATCTGTTAAATCAGGGAATTAGACTGGATTACCTCTACGGGCCCTTACAGCTCTCAGGCCTACGAGACCATCGTCCTTTGTCCTGAACACCTTTGCTAGGGATGCAGACAAGTGGTGCAGAGGGAGGAGGATTGCTAGTAATAACTGCACAATCTATATCCAAGTAAAAAAGCTCATTTTAAATTATGCCCAATTGTTCTTTCAGTCTATGGGTTCTTGTTTACAGCTTCTGGATGGTCAAGAAACCAAGAAGCTTAATGTCCAGTGGCTCCGGGCTCAGCTTGGCATCGTGTCCCAGGAGCCCATTTTGTTCGACTACAGCATTGCAGAGAACATCGCCTATGGAAACAACAGCCGGCTGGTATCACAGGAAGAGATTGTGAACGCAGCCAAGGCTGCTAACATCCATCCTTTCATTGAAACACTGCCTGAAGTAAGTGAACTGACAGTTACTTGTGCAGAGTTAAAATTGAATTGTAAATGGTATTTCCAACCACTCTCCTGAAGTATAGATACTATCAAAATCTTACAGCTATTAGTAAACTAATAGCTATTATGTGTGATCTTACTATAACTACTGGCTCTGTGGCAGTAAAGCAAAAGAAAGAGAAAGAATCATTACAACTCAACCAACATTTATTAAGCACCTCTTATTACATAGCAGGCATTGTGCTGGGAACTTAGGATGCAAAAACAGAATTGAAAGATTTCTTGACCTTAAGGAGGTTACAGTCTACTGGGGGGGTGCAACATGTAGACATATAAGTAAATACAAAATATTCTGAGAAGGTAGAAAGCACTGTGGTCTGGTGGAAAGGTTTCAAGTAGATGGTGGCACCTGAGCTGAGCCTTGAAGGAAGCTAAGGAGTCTAAGAGACAAAGATGAGGGAGAGAATTGCAGATGTGGGCCTTATATAGAGGCACAAACCTGCCACAGCTCACATTTTCCTTACCCTTTAACATTTACAAAGCCCTTTCCACAATCATCTGGTTGTACAAGTATAACAGAAGCTGGAGAACTAACTGGCGTCCCAGAATTTATAGTTCAAAGGGACAATCATTCCTTCCCAGTCTTTTTTTTTTATTATTTCAATTTATTATATTTTTAACATTCTTTTCTTTTTAAATTTTGAGTTCCAAATTCTCTCCCCCCCCCCTTCCCCACTCACTGAGAAGGCAAACAATATGATATTGATTACACATGTGAAATCATGCAAAACATATTTCCACATTAGGCATATTTCTAAGAAAAAGGCAAGAAAAATAAAGAAAGTAGAAAATTATACATCAATTTGTACCCAGAGCTCCTCAATTCTCTCTCTGGAGGTGGACAGCATTTTCTATCATGGAATTGTCTTGGAACACGTTATTGATCAGAGTAGCCAAGTCTTTCCCAGCTTATCATCCTTATAACCCTTCGTGGTTTTGAAAACAATTTGGAACTAAAATGATCTTTGAGCCAGAAGGCAGCCTTGGATCACCTTCAGGAATTCTTAATGGGATGCATGAAGTCATAGAGAGACCAAGTGGGAGGAAGGAGGAATAAGGCCTGGCAAGAGTGGAGCAGCAGTGGCAGGGCTCTGGCATCCCTGCCCCACCCACAACCTAAGCCAAACAACAGCTCAAACGAAAAATGGAAAAGCAGGAATGAGCTGTAGCAGAAAAGGAGGACACTGAAGTGGCTGAGGCACTGGGCCCTGCCATCCTCTGGAAACAGAGGATTCACACTGAGGCCATCATTGCTACTCACTTTTTCAAGCACTAAGGGAAATTCCAAAATGGAAAGGTCTGCTCTTTTCAACTTCTCTTCCCTATGCCGGTCTAGTAATAGACACTAATATATTCAGCTTGTTTCTTTTACCTAAATCTTTCCCATATCCTGTTTCTGCCTCAAACATAGAGGCCAGGGGTTAGGTAAAGATACATGAAACTTCATAGTGGGACAGAGAGCCAAACTTCTGTCTGAACGTTAGGAATTTTCTTACCTGGAGGCTCTGTGCTATTGGGATTATGCTAGTAACTTTCCTTCTGATATAAACACCATAAAATAGCAGAAGGAGGAGCCATTTAGCTTTGAGGGTCATTCTATTGCATCTAGGCTGAAAGACAGCTAGCTTTTGTGACTGAGTGTGGTTAATTAAAGCCCCAGACTCCAGTGTGAGAGAGCAAAGAAAGGAAAAGGGGAAAGAGATGAGGTGATTTTCAGTTGTCCTTTCCAGAAGGGAGGAGGGAGCAGAAAGGCTGGAGTGCCTTCTACGGCAACCCCCACGTGGCTCCTTTCTCTAGTGCAGGGAGCAAGCAGAGTACATCAGAGTACATTGCAGTCTGAGTCTTCAGTTTTGAGACGTTTACAAGAGATCTCATGACCCACCCCTATCTAGCCTTTCCCTGATGTAGTTTATCCTCCACTGAGTTTCTCCTTTTCATTGTTCTCCCTGTGCCCCCAATTCTTTCCAGCTCAGCTGCTGAAGCCCTGAGGGGGGCCAGGGATACCATATCCTCATATCTGCTGCTGATGCTGATGCTGATGCTAAAGCTCTTGCAGTCTTCTCTCCTTCTCAGTCTTCCTCTCACAGGCTATGTGTACCCCATTAAGAACTCCCAGGCATGAAGCAAGCCCACCTTCTGGCTCAAAGATGATGAGAGTCTCATATTAGTGAGAGGGCTGAATCCCTCTGAACTACAAATCCCAGCATGCTGTTCAGTCCTCAAACCCTCCTTACATAAGTATTATTTTCCTCTTTTTAAAGAGGAGCAATCTGGGGGCAGCTAGGTGACACAGTGGATACAGCACCAGCCCTGAAGTCAGGAGGACCTGAGTTCAAATCCGACCTCAGACCAAGCACTTGACACTTACTAGCTGTGTGACCCTGGCCAAGTCACTTAACCCCAATTACCTAAAAAAAAAAAAAAAAGGAGCAATCTGAAGCTCAGAGTAGTTAAATTACTTGCCCAGATACCATAGCTAGTGCCAAAGTCAGAGACTGTTGTAAGGTTTCTTAATTTCCAGTCCAGGTTCACAAAATATTCTCAATAGATGAGACACATTGGTCTAACATAAGCTCTGAAGTGGTTGGGCAGGGGGAGGGGTGATAAGTGGTGTTTATTTTGCTTTACACTCAGAAAATAGAAACCTAAGCATGTTTCAGCCTCATGGAAAGAAGCCATTGGCAGACAAACTGAAGATGCATGAGAGGGGTTGATTCATAGAGCAAGGTCACAGAAAAAAAATTGAGAGGAAATGGGAACAAAGGTACAAATGTCAGGGTTAGCTCTAGCATGAAGGACACCTGCTGCAGACTCAGTGCAGGAGAAGAGAAGAAGGGTGCCAACCCACATTAAGAGTGAGGGAGAGGGAAAAGGGAATTTGGCATCTGAGGGTTTCTATATCTTCAGTAAAGCTGAGAGTGAGAAAGAAGGAGGTGAAGATGAGTCCTGAGGTGAAGATAAGAGGCTTGCAATAGCCATGGTGGGTGATGTGACAGAGAATCTCTAAATGATGGTTTCAAGGATTGCCCTGTAGTACCCACTGAGCAAGTTTTCTGATTTTCTTCAATGAGTCAACAGTTTAAGAGTAACAATAAACAGAAAAACTTACCCAGTGTTGAAGATCAGCAAGGCAGAATTGGTAGACGGTGAAGGGGCAAAAGATTCAAGGGTAAAGAAGCAGGCATCATTTAAGGAGCCAAGCACTGGGTCAAGGCTGGAGAACAATAGTGAGGATTAAATAGTGTTGTGAGCTAGGAGAATAGGGAGTAATCAAGTCACCAGCGAGGCAAGGAACAAGAAGAGGCAGAGTGAGAGAGGAGTGGAAGTCAGGAGATTGTTATCCCAAAGAGGAATATCGAGTTGGTGTCTTTGTGCCTTTGTTTGACTTGTTCCCACGTCTTGAGGTAGACTACCCCCACATTTCTGTTGTGTCTTCTGCTTCTTTCAAGGCCCAAATCAGGTGCTGAATCTATTACTATGATACTTAATAGGGATACATTTAAATTCTTATGCTTGGGCTCAAAAAAGTAAACTACAAGTATAAAACACAACTTGGTCTGAGAAGGCTCTGGGGATTTTAGTGAACTGAAAGCTCAAGATGAGTCAGCAACGGAATGAGGCAGCGTGGGATAGCAACCAGGACTAGGTAGGGAGATGGCATAACTATTATACTCTGCCCTGGTCAGACTCCATCAAGAGCACTGTGTTCCACTCTGGATACTATGGTTTAAGAAGGATATTGATAAGCTGTGGAGCATCCAGAAAAGGCAACCAGGATGAGGAAGGCTTTGGGTCCATGTCATATGAAAATAGTTTAAAGGAACTAGAAATTGTTTTATCCTAGAAAAGACAAAACTTAGGAGAAACCATGAGAGTGGCCTTCAGGTATCTGATATGGAAGAAGGATTAGTCCTGAGCCTGGCCTTGCTGTAGCAAGGCAGATTTAAGTTTAATGTAAGGAAGAACTTCCTATTAGAATTATCCAATAGAATGGGCTGCCTTGGGAGGTAGGAGGCTCCCTCTCACTACGGGTCCTTGAGCAAGGGCAGAATGATCACCTTGTCAGGTGTGGGCTGGGCTAGATAGCTTCTGAAGCCCTTTTCAATCCTTAGATGTTATAATTCCATGTACTTCCTCTTCCTTGAAGGTTTTCCATTCCCACTTCCCCAAGTGAAAATGATTCTCCCTCCTCAAGTTTCTCAAAGCACTTGTACATGTCTTTCCTCCATGTTAGACTGTGAGATCCATGAGACCAGGTTATATACCACAGGGCATCGTACAGTGCTTATAAAGCAAGTACTTAATAAGTGTTCCTAGTAAATAATAATAAATATAGACAGCATCAAATTTATCATTTCTATGACACTGCCAAGAATTAGAAAAGAACAATTTGTCACCCAAAATCTTGCTGGAGAAGAAAATTAAGAGTTAAAGACATTAATCTTTTAATCTAAATGAAGCATTTTGGTTTAATTTTGAAAATGAATTGCTGAAATACAAGGATCTAAGACATCTCCAAAAGTCTCATGATAGAGAATGCTATCCACATCCAGAGAAAGAACTATGGAGATCGAAGCATACTATTTGCTCTTTTTTTTTTCTTCTGTTTTGTTTTATTTCTTCTTTCTTGTGTTTCCTCCTATGGGTTCTAATTCTTCTTTATAACATGACTAATGTGAAAATACGTTTAATAGGAATGTATATGCAGAGCCTATATCAGATTGCGCACCATCTTGGAAAGGGGGGAGGGGAGGGAGAGGGAGAGGGAGAAAATTTAAAACTCAAAAGCTTATGGAAGTGAATGTTGAAAACTAAAAATGAATTAATTAAAAATTTTAAAAAAATGAATTGCTGAATTGGTAGAAAAAAAATCCACAAAACCCAAAACTACCACTGTCCCAAAAGGATATTCAACTGAATATCTGTAATATTTTTTCTTTTAGAATCTTTTTTCTTTGAAGAACTTTTTACTAGAGTTAAAGTTTACTATGATACATCAAACTGGCTTTTTCTGAGTTGGATTTCAATTCCTGCCCTCTGTAGTTACCTATTCAAAATGTTCTTTCAGAAATATGAAACCAGGGTGGGAGACAAAGGAACTCAGCTCTCCGGGGGTCAGAAACAGCGCATTGCTATCGCTCGAGCCCTCATCAGAAACCCTCAGATCCTGCTGTTGGATGAAGCCACTTCAGCCCTGGATACAGAAAGTGAAAAGGTATGGGCTAATATTCTCTTTGCATATTTAATCTGTAAAGCAAAAGTCATCTCTATGACCAAAATGGAAGAAAACAGTAACAAAGAAGACAACCAATTCTGAACTCCTAAAAATACCTTACATTTTGCTTACCAACAGATTGTTCAGGAAGCCCTGGACAAGGCCAGAGAAGGTCGAACCTGTATTGTGATTGCTCACCGCCTCTCCACCATCCAGAATGCGGACCTTATTGTTGTGTTGCAGAATGGCAAGGTCAAAGAACGAGGGACACACCAACAGCTGCTAGCTCAGAAAGGCATCTACTTTTCATTGGTCAACGTTCAGACTGGGACACAGAACTTATGAACTCTTGTTATTTTCCACTTCTTAGAAATAAACATACATACTATTTCACTATTTTTTTGTCTTGTGATGGAAATTCTGATAAGTGGTCACCAGCTACAGGCAAATCTTGCTCCAGATAAATCTAGTAGTTCTAATAAATCATTTTATTTTTTATGAAATTGATAGTAGGGATCTGATTTAAAGAAAGAAATACCTGAAACTCAAGAAAGTTGGAGGGACGGGGTTCATGTACTACTTAATCACATCTACTGATGAAATGTGATGCTGCAGTCCAGCCTTATTATCTAATCAATTATAAATACTTAGATCAGAAAATCAGAAGATCATAGGATTTCGAGTGGGAAGGACCTTAGAAATCATATAGTTCAAACCTGCCCCTTATCCCCGGCCCTGACTCTGGCCATTTCAAAGATGAAGAAACTGAGGCCTAGAAAGGTTAATTGATTTGGCCACGGTCACATAGGTAGTATTTGATCCCAGGTCCTGTGACTCCAAGTCTTCTACAAGTTCAGGTAGGTACACTTGTAAAATTAGGAGAAATTGCCAGTAATGGGGAAGATTCTTATTGTATTGGGAGAACAGTAGGACTAGTGATAGTAGTGTCCACTTTGCTATGAGGATCAGATTAGGATTTCTTGTGGGCCTTGCCTCTCTTGACTTTTCCCTGACTCAATATGACTGCCTCCACCATCACGGCCACTTATTTCTGACATGGGAGACTTGATTTGAACCCAAGTCTTCCAAATAGGTAAAGGCTTTTTACATGTCACTGACAGCTGACTAATACCTGGCATACTAGATGGCAGAGTCAGGATCCAAAAAGATTAACAGGCAAGACGTATGGGCCAAAGCCAATGAAACATAATAGGGATAAAAGCAAAGTGGGCAAACAAACACTTGGCAAAATTGACACTCCCATGGATCTGTGATCTCATTGATGTGGGAGTTTCCACCAACAACACATACTGCAATCCATCCGTGCCCGCCCATCCTGTAGGACTCATCTTCATATTCTCCCAAAAGTATGCCACAGAGGGTCAATCCAACATGGGGAGCTTTCCTTGCCCTCTCTCATCACATCAAGGTTACTCTGGCTGACCAACTTGAAAAGTGATCTCCCAGCCTCTGCCTAAAGACCTCCAGTAACAGAGACCTTATGGCCTGTGAGGCGTCACATCCCACTTTTGGACACCTTTAAAAGTTTTTTTCTTTTGTGGAGCCAAAATCTTCTTTTCTGAAATCTTCTGGCAAATGGTAAAGGAAAAATAAATTCCTAGATGCAGATGGTCACTTGCAGAATAGAAAGCATGCAACTACTGGTATACTACAATACTAAGCTTTCCATAAACCAAAGGATCATAGGTTTAGAACTGCAAGGGACCATAAAGGTCATCTAGTCTAACCCCTTCATTTTCTAAATGAAAAAGGCCCATGCAGGCAGTAAATGGTGGAGTCAGAATTTGAACCCAGGCCCACTGACTCCAAATCATCACTTTTTCCATGACATCATGCTACGGTTGACCAATATCTTAATCTTTTCCTGCCTAAAGTTCCTCAGTCTACTACAAATTGGATTTGTTCATGCATTTATTTCCATTTTAAAATCAATCAACAGGAACTGGGTACAGGCTTTGTGCCAAGCAATGTCCTAGAAGCCAAAACCAAAACAGAAATAGTCCCTGACCTCAAAAAGCTTACATTCTACCTGGGGAAACAAAATGTATATCTTTGAAGTCTATGAAAAATGAAATAGGGGCTTCATTGGAATATCATGATCAATCTATCAAGCAACAAGTATTTATTAACCACCTACTATGTGCCAGGCCCTGCACTAGGTGATGAAAGTCGGTGCTCTCAAGGAGCTTTCCTTCCACCTGGCAAGAAAACACGGGCATCTTTGAGGTCTATGGAAAAATGAAGTTGAGGCTATACCTAACATTGTTTTTGTGCTTCTTCATGGATTCACAGATCTAAAGGTGAGAGCTACTCCAGAGGCCATGAAGTCCCATCTCCTCATTTTACATATGAGAAAACTGAGGCCCAAGAAATTTAAGAAGTGATATCCTTACTGAGGTCAATGTGCAGTAAGGCTCAGAAGCAGGATCTTCTGACTCCAAAGCCTGTGTGCTCTCTATTATACTCCACAGCTAGCCCTCTACCACACTGCTTTCACCCACATTTCACCACCATAAGATGGATGCTTACAATAGTAAACACACCTTATTTATGTTGATTTCAAATTCACATAATGAATATGTATGTCATGAGTTACTTGCTCTCTCTCTTCCTTCAAAAAAGGATTCAAAATGGATGAATAGAAAACTCATGGAATGCTAAGGCTGCAACCTGGCAAATTCTTTGGACTTTCACTTCTGGAGACTTTCCAACTCAGAATTCAGTTATTGAGTTCTGCTGGAACCTTCTTTCCCCATCTGGAGGTGAACCCAGATATTTCCCAAGCCATAGATTCAGACCAAACAAGGTAGAGGTGGATCTGGGTAAGACATCAGCAAAGTGCTTTAGTGACTCAAGCTGGCCTGTGAATCAGAAAGGAGGTGAAGGATTTCAAACTGCTTCCACTGAGGGGACCTTAACAGCTGAGCTAGAAGCTAAAATCCCTTAAGGTTGCAGCAATTGATGGGGCTCCAAATTTCCCGACTGTCTAGTTTGTTTTTTCTTTTTTGTTTATAAATTACTGTGGCAACTGGGCTCAAAGGTCACCAGAAAGGGAACACCTCTATGGCTTTCTCCATTTGCTGCCACAGGTCATCCTGACCTAAGCAGGTAAGTAAAGACTGCCCTGCCTTAGATTCCAAGGGCAGGGCCAGCCTTGTATTCTACAAAAAAACAAAACCACACCGAGCTCTGTGTGTGTGTGTGGCTGAGGGCAGATATCAAAGGGAACCATCAAGGTAGGGTGCCAAGCAAAAGTAAGTCCAGATTTCCTAAGGAGATTAGAAGATTTCAAGCTTGGAGGGTACCTTCCTATTCTGGGAAGAAGGAGGAAGAGGAGGAGAAACAGGAAAGATGTCATGTAAACATTCTTTAGTCCACCATCTCTGGATAATCTCGCCTAGTGCTAGTGGCCAAGGATGATATTCTTGTTTTATTCCTTGTAACGGCTCATGTAATACTCTTGATTCCTCAAAGTGTCCAATCTTAGTTTACAGATGAGGAAAGAGAGATAATCTGGCCAGTCACATAAGCAGTAAGTAGGAGAACTGAGATTCAAAGCTAGGTCCTCTGATCCCAAATTTAATGTTCTTCCATTATACTATACTAGTAAAAAAAAAAAAAAAGAAAAAAAAAAAGAAAAAACAGAAAACAACTTTCTGGTGGGTTGTGTCTCCAACTCCTGCTAGATATTTCTAATATATATTTGAGCCTGAGGCCTCCAACCAGACAAACATAAGGATAACAGGCTTATTATATAATTGGCACATAACATAAAGCTAGGAAGAATAGCATGTTTGATGCCAGTTAAGATACAAAAAGAGTAACAAGCTAGAACAATGGGCCAAATTGAATAAGATGGAATTTAACAGGGATAAAGGTAAAGTTTTGCATCTGGATTAAAAAAAAACTCATCTTCACAAGTGTAAGACTAAAATAGACCGTAGGATTACTGGACCGCAAAATCAATAGATTAACACTATGATATGACAAGCCAAAAAATCTAATGCTTTCAATCTTAGGCTTCATTGAGGGGAAGTGACCAGAATGAAGAAAAGAATAGTTCCAAAACACTCTGCCCTAATTAGGTTGCAGCTACAATATTGTGCTTGATTCTAGATGCCATATTTTAGGAGCAGAACATTTAAAGTAGTTTTGTTTGGCCCCAGAAGGCAGAACCAGGGGCCAAGGGTGGAGTTAAAAAGAAGCAAATTTAGGCTTGATGTCAGGAAAATTTCCTAACAATTACAGCTGTGCAAGAGCAGTATTGGCCTCCTGGAGAGCTGATGAGCTTCCCCTCCTTACAGGTCTTCAAAGTCTACATGACCACTTCCAACTCAGATTCAGGACTCAAACCTACTTCAGTTCTATTAGATGAGTGAGAAGAAACAGAGAAGTGGTATTCTTAACATTATCAAAATCAAGGTGAACTGTTACCAAAGTCTGAGAATGGTACCAACATCAAGTATGCTGAAAATACTATTTCTCTAGTAAAGTCAACCATACCCTTCAAAATTCCTCAAAATGGCACTAAGTTCAAACACACAAAAGAGATGATTCAATAAGCTTTATTTTCTGAATGCAAAACTACAAAGGTGTACAGAGAAAAAAATGATTTAAAAAGCAAACAAAGTGGAAGATCCTGAGAATTTGCTGTTTAACCTTCACAAATTTTTAAAAACTAACTTTGTATCAAGTGTTTTGTACCCATATTCATTAAGCAGCAATACATGATAAGTTGTTTTGTCAGTTATGCTATCTCTTTAGTATCAACCCTCTGGCTACAGGCCGGTTTTTGTTGTTCTCCACAGTCTAGTTTTTCTAAGATAATGATCTAGTTCTAGTGGTCTCTTCCCTGAGTAAATCTGTACCTGGCCTCTCTCTGCAGTAGAAGTGTAAGGCATGAACTTTAGGTAGCTGAGCCTCAGAACATGCTGTCATGCCCTCTGGCAGCTAGAAAGAGATCAAGTGCATGGAAGATGGAACGTGTAAATCAGACAATGGCCAGGGAAGAATATGTCAGTGTTTTATACAGATACGAACACAAATCTCTTATAAAAGCTGGAGTAAGACTTGCACTATGAAAAGGGCTGGATTTGCATTGTTGAGGCATATGTTAGGCATTGCATAGTTCTATACTGTTTTAGTGCTGCAAACATTACATTCAGCTTAGAAGCAGTGCTGCATTTCTCATATATGTGGCAATAAATGCTACAGGGAGTATAATATTGACAGATTCTTCTTAATTACTAAAACATTTAACTACTTTCTATCAAATCAAGATTCTTCTGCACAGCCCCAACTCACGCCCAGCACAGCTTGTAACTACATATTTTGGTATGAACTTAATTCAGAATCATCTCTAAAGCTGGGCAGCGTTCATCAACTGCATCATATCGTGGAAACATTGGAATACTGTCCTAACCAGTTTTTCCGCATCAGTCTCTGCACATGATCTCCAAGCTGTACAGGCCACGACAAACCTGCATGGCATAAATATATAAACGTTATACAAAATCCATGTCCACAAAGGCTCTAAATTGTAATAGCTAAGGGAATCCTTTATAGCCCCTATATCCTACCTACACCACCGAGGTCAGTGCCACCATCCTATTCAGTTAGCACTCAATCCGTGCTCTTCATTCCCTTTTATCACCATGCCTCCTACCTAACCTTAACGTATTCTTCTCCTCCCCTTCCAACCAAAAAACAAGAGCCAAACCTAACGTGGCTTAAATGAACTTGCATCATAAGAAGTACCCAGTCATGGGGATACCGCCATCTTCCCAGTTACTCAGGCTCGTGAGGCAGGCATTACCCTCAATTCCTCAATCTTACTCCCCCATATCCAATCTGTTAAGTCCTGTCATTTCTACTTTCATAACATCTCTTGTACAGAGCTGCGTATCTCCTGACACTGACACCACCCTAGGGCAGACCGTCATCACCTCTCTTCTGTACTATTTTCGACAGCCCGATTGATGGTTGACCTCCCGGATGCAAGTCTGTCCCCATTCCAGTTGCCTCGCTTGACCCTAATTTAATATGTGTTCCCCACTCCTGATGGAGACTTCTGATCTATAACTGAGCCTGGGTCCTGTGATCAGATAAAGGTATAGATGACAAGTGGCATAGCATATAAAGCTTAAAAGAATGGTTGAGATACAAAAAGATCAAATAGCTAGACTATTGGGCCAAATCTAGTAAGATGAAATTTAATAGGGATAAATCTAAAGTTTTATACTTCAATCTAAAAAAATCAGCTTCACAAGTATAAGATAGGGGCAGCATGGCTAGATAAAAGCTTTCAAATTGATCTTCCTAAAACTCAGATTCAACTGTATCAACCCTCTCAATCAATAAATTTCAGGAGTTATTACCTTTAATTTTCCAATGAAAATATAAAATTCTGTTTGCCTTTCCAAGGCCTTTATAACCTGGCCCATCCCTATCTTTCCAGTCTTCTTCCACCTTATTCCCTGATAGCCAGTCTTTGATCTGACTCCAAATGTTTTCACTGGCTGTCCCCGTGCCTGGACAACCTCCTTCTTCATTTCTGCCTCTTAGATTCCCCAGCTGCCTTTAAGTCTCAGCTAGAGTCTCACCTTCTGCCAAAAGCCTTTCCCAGTCTTCCTCAATGTTAGTGCCTTCTTTCTGAGATTACCCTTGATTTAACCTGAATATGTCTTACTGGTCCACAGTTGTTTGCATGTTGTCCCCCCCAGTGAGATAGACTGTGAGCTTCCTGAGAGCAGGGACTGTCTTTCTGCTTTTCTTTTCCTTGTATCCCCAGCACATAGCACAGTGCCTGGCACGTAGATGGCAATGATAAAATGCTAGTTGACCAACTTTCTATGTAGACTAACTCTGGAGATTTTTGAACAGAATCTAGGATGGTTGTGTGGGTTTAGCAGGAACTTGGGAAGAGGAGAGACGAGAAGGGGGAAGAAGAAGAGGAGGAGGGAAGAAGAAAGAGAAAGGGAAAGATGAAGGATCTACCTTCAACACAATACTCACTGTGCTCTTGCTCAATGTGTAAAAACTAATGACTGACTAGGACCTATTCAGCACATACACAGTTTAATAGAGGGAGACAGGACAAGTATAAGTACATATTAAGTGTGCACAGACTGACCTCCTGTGACTGCAGAACTGAGGTCTTCAGAACAGTTATCAATAAAATCACAGCATAGAAAAGAAATTCAAAGAGGCAGAAATGACAATTATCCAACTCAAAGAATACCAAGGACAGAAGTAAACAGCTTCACCTGTCATCTCTGATGTTGTAGAAGAAGCCATAGCCATGGTGAATCATGGGAACTACCACTCCATGGACTCGTTTGTAACCAAGAAGGCTGGTGGACAGGACAAAATTTCCTCCCCCTCCACTGCGTAACAAAGGAAATTTCATTGGAGTTACAGTGTTTTTGAAAGGGCTTTGTAACTTATCAGATTGAGGTAAGCCTTTCTCAACTTGAAGGTAAAAACATCAAATAAATTACCTTCTGTAGAAAAGAGGGTCTGTATAGAGCTCTGGAGGGGGCAGCCCCTCCTCTCTGGCTATGAGGAAGAGGCCTAAAAGGTGCCGATCAAACCCTGCAAAGGACCCCAGGCTGTGAGTTAGGGAAGCGTTTTTAACTACAGAAGAGGCAAAGAATATCAGAGTATTAAGTACCTTTCCCAGACGAACATTCTTTCATCATTTTACCATGCTTTGCAAAAGCCTGTAACATCTTTTGCTGCCGTTTACGAAGCTGTGTTAACAAAAAACAAGACATACTTTAAGAGGAAACTACCAAAACAAACAGAAGTTTAGGCTCTCTCAGATTATCATTCATGAGAGAACAGGCAAAAATTCTGAGAAAACAGAAAGATAATTTTCTTTTTTTCCTGACTTCTTCCTTCCACTGACTTTTCTTTTCCCAAAAGTAAAAATGTGCTTCTTGCTTATTATCCCTATTTGAATACAGAAATAAAAATGTGTAAAATAGGTAAAGCAAAAATTACAAAACATATGAATCAAGTTATTATATTATTAAGTAAATTATTATATAATTAAATTAACACACACTCAGGTTGCTCTAAGTTCAGTGCTTCTTAAACTGTGGGTCACTTGTGGAAAAAGTTTAAGAAGCTCTGTTCTATTGTATGGAGACACTGGAAAGAAAGGGCTTGTCAAAATAATAATAAGCAAATGTATATGAAGAAAAAATTTTCCTCTTCAAAATGTCAGAGACACTTCATAAAAGTCTCAGCTTATTTATTCTTATGGTATTTGCAGTCTGTTATAGCAGCCACACCATCAAGTTCAACTTGCACAGAAACTGACACAAAAAAATACTCCTCAGAAAAAACAATTTAAATCAAGGAGCTACAATAAGACTACACAAGACCTAGCAACTACTACGCTGAAGGACCATAGGTCTTGGAACACTATATTCCGTAGAGCAAAGGAGCTGGAGTTACAACCCAGGATAGCTTACCCAGCAAAGTTAAATACAATCCTGAATGAAAAAAAATGGACATTTAACGAACACAAAGACTTTCAGGTTTTTATGACAAAAACCCTAGAACTTAAGAAAAAAAACTGACATATAATATCCAGGAGAAATATAAGTTAAACATTAAAGACCAATTATAAGGGACTCAATAAGGTCAAACTGTTTACTTCTTATATGTGAAAATATTCACAGCACTCTTATGACTGTCATCATTATTTGGGTAATTTGAAAGAAAGGCTTGGGATGAGCTAAGTACGATGAGGTGATTCTAAAAAAAATAAAACTGTGTAAGGAGAGATAAAAAGGAGTAATTATCTCATACAAATGAGGCATAAAAGGAAAAACTGATACTGAAGAAGCTAGTAGGGTGAGGGCTGGCAGTGTTGGAACATTACTCTCATTGGGAATGGGTTAAAGAGGGAACTATATCCATATATATATATGGATATAAAAGTTTTCTAAATTCAGAAAGAAATAAGAGGGCAAGGGGAAAACAGAAAGTAAAGGGGAGAGGGGTGGACAGGTTAAGAAATAGGAGGGCAAGGTAGCAGGCAGAAGTAAAGCAGAGGAGTGAGGAGGGATAGGAATAGAATGAGAAAGGTAATGAGGAAAAATAGAAAGGGGAAAAATACAAGTAACTGTAGCTTAGAATGTGAACGGGACAAATTTACCCATAAAATGGAAATGAATAGCAGATTAAAAACTTGAATTCAACAATATGTTGCTTTCAGGAACATTATAAAAATGAGAGATACACACAAAGATAAAATAAAGGGCAGGAGTAGAATTTATTATGTAAAAAGAAGCAGGGAGGGGCAGCTAGGTGGTACAGTGGACAGAGCTCCATCCTTGGAGTTAGGAGGACCTGAGTTCAAATTCAGCCTCAGACACATAACACTTACTAGCTGGGTGACCCTGGGCAAGTCACTTAACCCCACTGCCTACCCCCCCCCAAAAAAAAGAAGCAGGGGTAGTAATATCAGACAAAGTTAAACTTAAAATAGATTTAATCAAAAGTGAAAAATAGAGAAACTACACTGTGTCAGCAATATTATTCAATATTGTAATAGATCATTTAAAATACCTAGACTGTATAAAATATCTGAATGTATGCCTGCCAAAACAGACACAGGAACTATATGAACAAAAACATAAGACACTTTTTATACAAATAAACTCAGATCTAAATAACTGAAGTAATATTCATTGTTCATGAGTAGGTAAAGCCAGTATAATTTTTCAAATGAAAATTTTACCTAATTCATCTATTTATTCAATGTTATCCCAATTAAATTACTAAAAAATTATTTCACTGAGTTAGAAAAAATAATAACAAAGTTCATTTGGAAGAACAAAAGGTCAGGAACTTCATAGAAACCAGGAAAAAAGATATAAAGAAAGTAGATTAAGCAGTATCAGACCTTAAACTATAGTACAAGAGAGAGCACTGGTGTAAAAAGGATAATTTCAATTATTTTAAATTAAAATTTTCTTATGTGAATAAAACTTATGTAGTCAAGAATAGAAAGAATGTAGAAAATTGAGGAAAAACTTGCACAGACAATCTCTCAGATAGGATGGGACTGGGTTGGAATATTGCTGTGGTGTAGGAAATGATGAGCTGGTTGATTTAGAAAAACATGGAAAGATTTGGACCTAGGAAGGAAGATGCTATCCACCTTCAGAGAAACAGGCATTAAAAGAAATAAGCATAGTACTGTCTTACATATATGTGTATATATGTATGTTTACAGATATCTATGCATATATATCTGTGCTTAATTGTAGCCCTCTTTAGGGTGGAGGGTGGAAGGAGGGGAAAAAAATAAAGTAAAACACGCACAGCAGAGAACAAAAGAAAACCAACAAGGAAGCAAAGAAAATCTGGGCAGCTTTGTAAACAATATTTAGTATTTATTGTATAAGTTTTCTTGAAATGGAAATTTATTATTTTACATTGCATCCTCTCTTATGGTCTGCTGTTTATATAGCAATGTTTTTTTTTTCTCATTTTATATTTAAGTTTAAAATAAAAAAAAAATTTACCAAAAAAATACTCTTCAGAGGGAAGGATTCATCTTCCCATCACTGTCTTTAAATATGCTGTCCTGTTCAAGTGCAAATTTCACATGAAGAAATATTATGAATAGGAAATACCAAAATTGCTTTTCATCTTAAAATTATCCAATGAGATTTCACCCAAATTTTGCAAATGGAAAACTCAAATAAAGGGGCTACTGAAGGGTCCACTGATGAAATCATTTTCCAATACTTACACTGGCAGAAGGATCCTCCATGGCGCGGCACCATTCGACTGCTTCCAAGGTACATGATCTCACGGTCTCTGTGCGACCATGGTAATAAGCCCTTGTCGTAGCCGTTTCATAACAGCTACCTGGGCTAAAAGGAGTAAAAAAATTAAATGAAGGATTGTCTCAAAAGTTATTTTCTCGTAAGAAAAAAAAATCTATCCCAAGTTGTTTCCGTTTCCTTAAACAGAAAAATTTATTTTAAAAAAGATCTAATCTAATGAATTGCTTCATTTCTTCCAGAAATGTAAACTATGTTCACTTTCCACAACATCTGCTTTGGTCAATGACTTCTATGTCCAAAAATACAGCTTAGAAGTAAAATTATCCTTGCCCCAAAGCTAGTGGTTCTGTTTGAGGTGTATGTCAGAAAAAAAAAGAAGTTCACATTTTTGTGAGATGTTTAATTTATTTTCCTAAATCCTGGTTTAGGGGGGAAAAAAAAGAATCCCCAGTTAACACTGAAAAGCAGCAATGGCAGTAAAAGCTGAGGACACAGTGTTAAACAGAAGAGATAAAAGGGAAGGAAGGCAGCTGAGCTGAGAGGCTAGAGCCCTGACCTTCACTACTCAACACTACATACAACTTCCAAGTGTACAGATCTGGAGGCACAGAGGCTGGGCCAGCCTTCTCCTCACCATCCATGAAGTCTGTAGTAGGCCAGCTGAAGCCCGAGTTGAATAAAGGCATCAGGGTGAAGCTTCTTCTTCTTGGTGTGCATTTTGCCAAAAGACTTAAAGGCATAAGCTACAATCTGCAAGTCTGATGCCTAACAAAAAAGGGAAGATGGTCAAAAAAAAAAAAAAAAAAAAGAAGTCCAGATGCTACACCCAGGGCTTACCCAGGTTACATGCAATCAGCAATCTAGAGAAAACCAGAGCCATTTACATTATAACTACACTTATGCTTTATGTTCTGCTAAATGTAAAATGGTCATGTTTTCACAAGGTAAAAAGCAATACTAATAAAAAACCGCATAAAATCAACCTGCTTGAGATACTGCTCTTTAGCTCGGCCAATGTCATCTAATACTTTATGGTCCACAGTGAAAACAAGCTCCTCTGGCAGTAGAATGTCTCTCACTTTTTCAGAACCCTGAGAAGAGAAAAGATCTGGAAATATAATGTCTAAAAAGAAAATGCATAGACCAGAAACAAGTGGAATATTTAGTCAAACATACCTTCCATCTCCCCTCATTTTCAAAGATCTTCTGATCGACATAATGACAGATTTCGACAATGACCATAGCATCATAAGGCGCATGCTATAACAATAAACAAGGGGTATAAGTTTGAAAGTGTTAAAGCTTCATGGAATAGGTTCATTTTCACTTTCCCTCCATTCCTCAGCAAAATTTAATGCTGTTGAAAATAAGATGTTTCTTCATGTTCCCTAATGCCATGTCATCTAATTTTTAAAGGTGTGGATTTATAGATCATAGAATTAAGAACTTCAATGGCATATCACATATCATAGAACGTTAGAGCCAGAAGAAGCTCTGGAGATCATCTTGTCTAAGCCATCATTTTACAGATGAGGAAACTAAGGCCAAGGAAAGTTAAATAATTTGCCCAAGAACTCACAGCTGGTTAGTGGCAAAGCTGTTAGAAGAACCCAGGTGTCCTGATCTCATCTCTCGCTCTTATCACTGAACAGTCTCTATGGTGAAATTCATCGACTGTTGTGTGACACAGTTTACAAGAAGCTAACATTAAAATTTGGATTTTCCCAGCTGGGGATTCCAAGGTAGCATTGGGAGAGCTTCAGGGCATGTATGAGCACGCTAGGAAAATTTGGGAAAAGTAATTTCTTGTTATTCTACTGACAATTTGAAAGGCATCGAAACACAAAGAATTGAGAGTTTCAGTCAGGGTTCTGGAGAGTCATGGATTTGTTTAGGTAAAGATAAGACAATTTAACTGTGCCCATAATTGCTTTCAACATGTGGATCTCAAACAGTATTGGGAGTCTGGGAAAGGAAGAAAAGTGTGCTAGGATCTGGTGGATATAGGCTTAGCATGGCCAGTAACATAGTTCCCATTTGCTATATTTTTTCCTCATTAAATCTGGATGACAAATCTCTTGACTCTGATCTCTCACTACTCACAATCCTTTGGTAACTTGATTTCTGTTCAATTGATGTTTTTAGCCCCAGTCTCTATTTCTGTGTTACCACCTCACTACTCATCAACACAGTTGCCAAACTGTTCAGTATAAGTAGTATGTTGCAGCGGAAAGAACACTGAACTTAGAAGATCTGAGTTTGAATCCTAGCTCCACCATTCAATAGAATTACTTTAACTGCTCTAAGATTCCATTTCCCCAAATGTAAAATGAGGGCAATAAATGATTACATTTTTTAACATACAAAGCAATTGTGAAGAAACAGCTGTGAGTGAGCTGTTGTGATTATTATGGGGAACAAGACAGAAAGGAAGTTAGCAAAGGTAGTGGTGCCTCTGGGCATGGCAGCAGAGGAAATCATTGTATCCTTCCTTCTATCACCCAGGTGACAAAACCTAATAAAAGAAGGCTGTGGCAGGGAGGAACAGAGAAGTGGGGAAAAGAAATCTTAATGAAATAAGTCAAAGAAGATAGTTGGGTAGAGATCTTTAGAAAACTCATGGGTTCTAGAAGGCTATAACTACCATTCAAGTCCAACAAAAAGCAATCAACGAACATGCATTAAGTGCTTACTATGGGCCAAACTCTGTTTTTAGTCCTGAGGATATAAAGAAAAAGTAAAAACCATTTTTGCCCCCAAGAGATAATAGAAAGACAACAAAATCATTAAACTCAAACAAGATAAAACCTAAATTTGACTATTAAGACACAGAAATCTTCTAGGAAAGGTCTTTAACTCTAGAACATTCTTCACTTAGTTCAACTGATCTCCCAAGTTAAAAGACATTTCAGTGATTTCACATTTTGTATCCAACAGGGTCCATACATCATTCCTCCTCTAGCTTCCCAGTCAAGTTGAGAATTGAAAATTTTAGCTTTCTCTCCTACCTCAATTTTACTAATGAAAAAAAAATATACCACAGAAAGGGAAACTTGTCTTGCATCACACAGCTAATAAGTGGTAAAGCTGATTCTAGAACCCAGGCTTACTTTCTCCCAAAAGAGAGTTTGTGGTTTTCCTATAGCTCCCTACTAAACTACCTGTTCTTTTGAACATATGACCACACACCCCAGTAATCTGTGAATTCAAACACATTTTAAAAAAAAACAAACTTTTCTATCAATGCCATCTATAATGGTCATCTTCAAATTGCAGAATCTGTTCTCCAGAAGCTCATGTTTTAGCTTAATGGAGATAAAGAGATAAATATCTTTACCCTACTTCAGTTAAGAATTCTATTAACTATGCTTGTTCTTATAACTTACTCACAGAAGTTTCCTACATGATTGTATAAAAAGAACCAGGGTTATGAAACAGCCATATATAAGTCCATATATGTTCATGAAAACTACCACAATATAAGGGTTGGCATTTTAATGCATTTCCAATTAACTTTACTATTTACAAAAAAAAAAGTTAAGTTCAGAAGTTCACTCACATCACAATTGCAGCCAAATAGTCCATTGGAAAAGGACAGAAAGTTATAGGATTTGTCCCCCCAGCGTACTGTGGGATCACCAGTAAGCACCATTGCAGTTACCTAAAACAGAAAAAGTCTTTCAAAATGATTTAAGTTCTCACTAATTTTTTAAAAAGGGCTAACATATAAAACCTATTCATAACCTTACTTTCCCTTCTTTTTTTAAAAAAATTTGAATAGTATTTTATTTTTTCCCCAGTTACATGACAAGAAAATTTTCGGCATTCAATTTTACAAGATTTTGAGTTCAAAATTATTCTCCCTCCTCCCTCCTCTTCCCTCATATGAGGTCACATGATAGTTAGCAGGTACCAAAGGTCCACTTTTATACTCTAGATTACTCATAAAAGTCTAATAAAGTGTAAAATAATGTTGAATTTCCTATCTACTAAGTGATACTTTAAAACCATTCTCATAGCAAAGAATGAATAACAAGTCAGCATATGTGGCTGAACTAAGGGTAAGGGAAAGGCTGTGGTCACACAAGTAACAGTAGCCAAGTGAGGGTTTGACCCCAGGTCCTACAGAAACAGTAAAATTATCTGGAAACTATATTTACTATGTGATTAAATCTGGCATGTTTAACTTAAGGTATCTAGAAAATTTCATATAATACAATATATTCTTAGAACAATGTTGCAATCTTCAAGGCATATGAGCAGAGGACTTTCATTTATGACTCCCTTTGATAGTTACTTAAGTTAAAAGTCTATGTCAACATCACATAATTCTGGGCTGATACTAATCCTTTAAATACTTACATGTCTGTAAGCTTTAACTTGACTCATAGTTCTGTACCTTTGAAATAGTTTATGAGCCAAAAAACATACAAAAAAGTGAAAAGACCCCTAGCATCTCCAATACAGTCCAAGAGTCTTGTGAGGGAAAATGGAGATGTAGAAAATAGGAATAAAATTTGACACACATACCTCAGAATAATCTTCAGGTGTTACTTGTGGACTGGCATCATCTAAAGAAAATACCAACAAACTGCTCTGAATTTTTTCTAATATAGTCAAATTCTTCGGATCAAGACTAATCAGATATTCTCTTGCCTAAAAGACAAAGAAATACTAATTAAGATGGACAACCAAGACAGTCTAAATTTAGATAATCTCAAACTGGCCTTTCTTCTGAAAAATCTTCATTATAATAAAAGTATGTAATAACCTCAGCCCATCGGGTTCGCTCTTCAGTGGTTAATACTGCTACCCCGGGTCCGTCAGGTTCACTGTGGCATTTTTTTTGGATATATGTAAGTTGCCTTTAAAAAAATATTTAGATGAACACAGGATTCAGGATGTATACATACTACAAACATATTATTTGCATAAGAAACCATAATGCTAACATTTTATTTCCTAAATAAGAAATATTGGGGAAATTAACTTTAAATAATAACAAAACCAATTAAACTCATATTTAAACTACAATTTAAAAAAGACTTCCTCTAGACAGATCTGTAACAATTTATCAGTTACTTCTTCCCTAGGTGTCTGTTATTGATCAATATTTTAAATCTTTTTATGTCACTATTAACTAGGAAAGAGGATCAAGACATGTGAGTAGCAGTGAGTTTCCTTCTTGTCATATATTTTACATAAAGGGGTGATTATTTAATAACACTTGAATCTGGTTAGTTTGATTTTGAATGAATTTGTTTTTTGACCAACATATTTCAAGATGATAATGCACTCTTCCTTAGTCCATATGAGCACTTTTCAAAAATGAAAACTAAAACAAAATTACACAAAAACAGTATCATATAAATATTGTGTTGATCCAATCTGAAATTAATGTTACTACTATATGTTTCTTACCTAAAGAAGGAAAATATGGTCTAATGTTTTAAATCTTGTGTCACACTCTTCTACTTCAAATCATTCTTTAAAGCCTCAAGCTAAGTATAAAACACATTCATGTCAAAAATCCACCCCAAGTTTGCTATATGCAATTTTTTAAATGTAGCAGCTAAGCAGTATATACCCAGTGGAGAGAAAGGAGGCCCATTTCACTGGGGGCTTTAACCCTAACCCTTCTATGCTATGACTATAGGCTAGTCATAGCAACCTCTCTGGGCCTCAATTTCTTCATCTGTAAAATGGGGGTAATAACACCCAGGGTACTAATCTCTCACAGGACTATTGTAAGACTCAGATAAGAAAATACACAAAGTGCTTTGCTAACCTCAAGAGGGCTCTAAAAATGCCTGTTATTATTATCATGAGGAAGAGGAGTTGCTTTTCATTAAGAAAAAGCTCTTAAAGGAAAGTTTCAAGGCTTCCTTATGGCATCCTACGTCAAATCAATGACCAAGGCTGGAAGAACCTTAGGGTTCATTTCTAAGAGGCAGAGCTATTGCAAACAGCTTGCAATAGCTTTTTGTTCTAATAAATATTAAAAATAGTTTGGTTACATGCATGATTTCCCCTGTCCTATATCCTCCCCAAATTTTGAGAATGCAATGTGTTGTCTTCACTGACTGGCAAGAGCCCCTCTGGAGCAGGACAGAGTTCCTCACGGGGCCTACATCCACAGCAGCAGCAGTAGAAAAGCAATCTGTTCCTACTCATTGGCAAGTGCCTCCACTGTGCAATTTGCTCTCAAGTTCAATTCAAGTTGACAGAACCACATTAAGTGAACTGAAGGCCTTGTGCTCTGCCCACAGAACTCTTCTACTGTGTGAGCAGAGCCGTGTGCACAGATAAATGTTACACAAGGTGGGGGGTGAAGGAGAGAGCAGACAGTGCTCTGGGACCGTTGTTCATCCTTTGTTCTTGAAGAGGACCGATGACATCACGAGAGGGATGCCTTGACTTGCTTGTGAGTGGCAAAGACACTAGTACTGAGGGGGTTTGAAAAGGCAGCACAGAGCCAAGCCTTGACAGAGTTGCAAAGAAGAGTATTTCAGATATGGGGGTGTGCAAATGCACAAGGTAATTTGCGGAACAGTTAGAGAGCCCATTTGGGCTACAGTATAGGATAGGTGAAGGGGAGAAGTGGGAAACAAGGCTAGAAAGGTAGACTAGGGTCAAAATGGGGACGGCTTCAAATTGTCAGGCCTGCTTTAACTATGAAACCAGCTCTCCTGCTCCAAACAATGACCATTTTCTCACTCAGGTCAAAAACTTTTAACATATTTTAACTCTCAATCAGGGAGAAATATAGTTAGCCTGAAAAACATCAAATTGGATAAACATCATTTATAAGAGATATATTTATTTAGGTAGGTCAATATGGATTTGGAGATTTAAATGATCCATCATCTAAATGATCTTGTAAGACAGTTGATCATAAAATTTGTAACATTTCAGCACAAAGAAAAACTTGGATCAGAAATAAGTGATTCTCAGGGAAAATTTTTTTCAAACTTTGGGAATGGGGGGAGGGGGAAGGACAAAGAAAATAGCACCTTACCCAGTCTTGTTAAATCTATGATAGCCAACTACTTTGAAACATCTTTTCACAAATGGTACATTTTGTGCTGGGAGTGAGATTTTACTAACATAGTAAGAAATTATTTGCAAGTTAATAGTTAAACCATCAAACCTTGAGTTTTTATGCCATTTGTTTATGAAATAAAAACATATGCCTCCCTGCCTCATAGACTTGTTGAATTTTTCCATATTAAAAGATAAAAGTCTGAATTTTAAACTCAGACTATGCATTCTTATAACTTAAGTGAAAATGATTTTAAGGTTTGTTTCCTCAGAAAAAGTTTTGGCTTTTTTTCAAGCGTACACACAACAGAATTACTGAGATTAGCTTAAATTCAAAATGACTTAACAGGCTGATCTAACTTTACTCTCCAACCTGCACATAATGAATAAAGTAAGCAGGACCTAGAAACACAAAATAGAATGACAACTCATTTATCTCCTATCATCAGAGAACGAGCTGTTCCATGTATGTAAATGATCCAGATAACAAAAGCTTTCACTTTGGAACTCCTCATGCTAACATATTCATCAGGGTCACAACTTCTCTAAGAATTAGAATTAAAAGATAGTCTTGAAGGGTTACCGTGACTGCAAAACTTATCAATCTGTGGCCACTTCTTCAACGATGAACTAGCCAGGCCAGTCCTCAGACAAGACAGTCTATTACTAGGCTCATGCCTTTTAAGATACCAAAACTTCTATTTTAATCATTTTGGATGAAAATCTTTTTTTAAATGGTTTCATGCTTCCCTCCCCTCTTAAAGAGAGTAATCCAAACATAATTTAACCTTTCACTAATGACTCTTGGTCATCACTGTGAAAATCAGTCCATGGTCACTGGAAATACTGTGAAGTAAGCCCACAGGAGCTTTCAAGGACATTAAATAAACGTTATTCGTCCCTCTAGCAGCAGGTAATTGAGTAGAAAGAATGCTGCGCTTAGAGTCACAGGATCTGGGTTCAAATGTCAATGCTGCCTTTCACTGTCTAAAAGATACTGGACAGTCACTCTACCTCTCGGGGACTCAGTTAGCTCATCTATAAAAAGAGGAAGCTGAACTAGACAATCTCCAAAGTACCTTTCAACTTTAGGTCTGTGATTTTAAACGGCCTCTGACTGCTCTGCTTTTTGAGTTTTTGTATCTTTTAAAAAATAGTCTTTCTGCCTTCTCCTTCAGCATCAGGTTGTACAGACTGTTTTCCCTTACTCTGTTTGTGTGCCTGCTTTAGTAGCACCTTGCCTCCTTTAATCTGATGAGAAATTAGGAACAAACCATGCTTGTTACAACAGCAAACGAAGGAAGATTAAACAGGCCTTGGGTAAAGAGCTGAGGAGTACTTCTAGGGATACACTCCATATGCTTCAAATTATGAGCTTTGTTACAGCCCATAACTTTTTTGCTTCTTTCCAACTTTTTGAAGCAGGGCAATTTAAGTTTATAGATGAAATGTATTATTGAACACATCTCCAAAAGCAATCTTCTGTCATTAAAGTTATTTTTGATCATTTAAAAGCTATTTTTTACTAAATTTTCTTCTACTTAGTCTTTAAATGGGTCAAAATCTCACCAAAAAAGTCTCAACAAATAATATAAACTCAAAATAAAAAAAATGCAAAATCAGCAAGTAGAACTTTTTCTCTGACACTTTTTCATTTCCATGAAACCACATGTCCCTTCAAAAAGAGAGCTCAAAGAATGCGCTAGATCACTCCAGGAAGATACTATGACCTAGGAAGACTCAAAGAATGCAAAGTAATTTGAAAACCTGAGCAGCTCTGGCGGGGTCATCATACAACCTTCATGCATGACATCAAAGACAAAAATTCGACCTCGACACAACACTGCTATGTGACTTGGGGTGTGTCCTTCACTCTCTGGAACAAGAAGTAGAAAACACAGGACTAAATCCTCCAAAAGTTAAATACGTAAAATAGCTATCCATTTACATGACAATCTATCCATCACATTTGAAAATGCACTCTAAATAAAAATACATTAACAAGTTAACACAGAAATAGTCAATAAGAAAGGGGGGAAGAGTATGAGGAGGACCAGAGAGGAACCTTGCAAATTTTGCCTGTGTTCCTCAAAATCATCTCTCATGTTGCCTCTGGCACAGGTATGGTACACAGGAGATCGCCAAAGCCTAAGTTGTGATGTCAGGTGTAGAAAGGAAGACCACATGTTTCAACCTATTACGGTTTGGCCCAGTCTAAACCAGTCTTTCAATGTAATCTCTCTGGTTCTGATGTCCACACTCTCTGGGGAGATATGCTGCTAGCCACTGAGGGGGGAAAAAGTAGGTCTAACTCCTACCCTTAGGAGAAGAATCACCTCTTGCTCCAGATTTTTTTAAGATTACAAAGGGGAGGCGATTACATGGTTTATGATTACAAAGCCACACCTAGAACCTAGTTCTTGAAAGATAAAGGCCTCTCCTACCTATTCTTAACACTCCTTCCATTGGAATTTCAAATTCTTCAATCCCTTCATCAAATTTGCATCCAAAAAATAATTTGAGACATGGATCTATAGGAGGTAATGAAGAAATGGAAAGAAAAGAAAAGAAGAAAAAAGGAAGGAAAACAGAGCCAACTGTGCTGGAACTTAAGGTGGTCCCGGGAGGAGAGAGAGAAGAAAAGCATTTTCTGTTGCTTGTTCATTTGTTTGATTCTGCCTTGTTAAAGGCTAACTAGTGGAATAAGACTTCTGTCCCTTATTTTGTGTCCAGCTGATTACTTTTGTTGATAGTTATTAAATTTAAAAGAACTTTTATCTTTTGAATGAAGCTTTTCTCTATAGCTCAGAGGTGAAAGAGAATGAATATAAAATTGAGAAGGGTGGGAATGTTCTTTAAGCACTATGCTGTTAGTTATCAGTAAGTATGAAGTTCAAGTTTGGGGGTTCCAAACAAAATTTAAATTTAAATTTACCTCATTATTGGCAGGAAAGAAAAGATTGCTATTATAGAGGGTTCTATCTACATCTCGTTACCTCTACTCACATGCATGTGCACATACACACAAAATCATGATGTAGGTACTGTTCGGGAGGTATTCATTCCTATGTTACAAATGTAAATTTAATGACTCTTTATTTGAGCATTATTAATTAGAAGTTGAAGGAAGTTGTTCTTAAGATAATGTGTATAGAGCATTTTGAAAACCTTGAAGTGTTTCATGTCAATGAAAATGATTATGTTCTCCTTGAAAACTACATAAAGTCCAGTCTTTATGAAAAAAAAAAACCAAAAAAAAAACCCAACAACAAAAACCAAAGTCCCCCTTCTCTACTTACCAGTTCTAAAGTAATTGATGATTGAATCTCTAGTAATTCCTGGTACCTTGCAAGTAGAAAATAGCATTCGGAATTGATTCATGTCTAAAGGTATATTTCCAATTTTATGAACAGGTACTTTTTCCCTATGAAAAATGAAATTAATCAAAAAGCTACACAAAGAATCCAACTACCATAAACTCAATGTCTATATTTACATAAGTTAAATTTCACAGTGTACATTATCTAAATCTTCAAGTAAATCTTTAATGATATCCTTATGAGTCCCTATCTTACATTTTTAGTAGCTGCCAGTAGTTCAAATTATGCCAAAGAATTATAGATCCTCTTTCTAACTGTGTGCCTTCTTTTGGAGGCCAGTAATGTTCAATGTGAGCTGCAGGGCCTCCAAAGTTGACATTCAGTTGTGATGGTATACGGACATCCAGGTAGGCAACATTCAACCACCATTCCTCCAGCTGAAAGTGATCAAGAACAGAACTTCAGAAATAGGTGAATTACTGAAATATTTTATTTTTAATTACTTTTTAGCACTTATAGATCCTAGGATCACACTAGAGCTAAAACGTTTGTTAGAGGCCATCTAATCCAAACTCTCATTATGAGGAAATGGAGATCCACCCGGGAAATTAAGTGACTCGTTTAAGGTCACAAAGTTGTAACTTTCAGAGGTGAGATTTGAAGGCAGATCTGTTGACTGGAGCTAGTGTTCTTTCAACTGTACCACATTCCTTTAAAAGTTATAACCATCACACAGGTTTATATCACATGCTCTTGTAGCTTCTTCTCTGTTTTGAAAGAACTCCAAATTGCAAAAAGAACCAAACTGTGGACTAAAGAAGCAGCCATCCAAAGTCACTGTAGCATCTTGAACACAATGATGAAATGCAAGGAATCACTGTAAAGGCCATTTTAGAAACATCAATACACTGAAATCTTAGATGCCCTTATTTTAATCTGGAACCAGAGTATTTTCTACATTATATAATTCCTCAGAGTCTCTAGCTAGGGTTGCACACATAGCAGACATTAAAAGCTACCTTTAGAAGTTGATCTGTTAATAACAGTTAAGGTTATTCCAACCTTAGCCCTGTAAATAACAATAGGTATTCTACTCTCATTAATATTAAAATCATTTTAACCAACGGTGAATGACTCAGCAATACAATGATCCAAGACAATTCCAAAGGACTTAAGATGAAAAATGCTATCTACCTTCAGAGAAAAAACTGATGGAGTCTGAATGCAGAACGAAGCATACTCTTTTTTTTTAACTTTATTTTTCTTGTTTTGGGTTTGTGGTTTTGTTTTTTTTTTGGTCTCTGTTTTCTTTTGTAACATGGCTAATTTGGAAATAAATTTTACATAATGGTACATGTACAACATGTATAATCTGTATCAAGTTGCTTGCTTTCTTCTCAAGGAGAGAGGGGATGGAAGGAAGAAGAGAATTTGGAACTCAAAATTTTTAAAAATAAATGCTAACAACTGCTATTACATGTCATTAGAAAAAATAATACATAAAAATTTTCCCAAAAAAATTTAAATCATTTCAGTCCACTTTAAATTACTGAAAATTTCCATAGGTGTTGCTCCTTCTACATCTACCAACCTAAAATCTGGGTGGGTCGATCTTTCACCAAATGCAACTGATGAGTTTGCCGGCACAAACAAGCAGATCTAATAAAATCACCCTGAAACCTTTCTTGAGGAACCTAGTCTGACAGGGTTAGAAGGAGGTATTCAAATTAAGATAAATGAGACTAACTAAAGCTGCAAGTCACAACTGTTCCCAAACCTTTGCTCTAATTAAATCACACAAAGCTGAAAATGGAAAGCAGAGAACTCGGGGATTTTAAGGCTCTAAGACTTCTGCTCAAGTGACAATGGCTGGTGAAAAGCTTGGTATTGTATTTATTTTAAAAAGATCTTATGTGGCCAGTCATTAGCATATATTCCAATTCAAGCGGCTCTCTTTTTATCATGGAAGTCCATCCTCTAGCTCTTAAAAGATTGATGTCCACCACTCCCCCCCACCCCAGGCCCACACACACTTACTAACTACTAGCTGTGTGACCCTGGGCAAGTCACTTGACCCCAACTGCCTCACCAAAAAAAGCAAAAAGATTGATGTCCCACACAGACCACTCCTCTGACCTGAGAGGTTACTACTTACACAGGCTAGCTTCCCAAGAGTAGCAATTCTTAATCTCCCCAACTTCCTTTTTTCACCAGTACTAAAATACCATTACTCTGAATTTGTATATTATAAAGTTTTACATTGTAAATATATTGTATTTACATTGTACATACATTATAAATACGCTGTAATGCATATATTGCAGCAACACTTTCTAGTCCATTCCTTTATTAACAAAATGGTCTCGTGCGGTCTATAGTGTGCCAAGTACCCACAGAAGAGGTAAGGAAAAGTGGAAAAGCCTTGAACATAGAGTCAGAAGTCCCTGCTACTCACTACCTCTATGAGCCTGGGGCAATCACTGAGTCTCTCTGGCCTCAATGTCTTCATCTGTAAAATGAGAGAGGTGGTACTGGGTGACTTTGAAGTAGATTTGCAGTTTTAACTCCTAAATTTCAAGCACCCAGACCTTCAGGGATCAAATGTACTTTTCATTGTAGAGAATATACCCCCAAGTCTTTAATTATAATAATGAAGTTAACAGTCTAAAAAATTTTATAGCAATAGCTGGCTTTGTTACCTACTAAAAGAAGAAAAATCACTCTTAAAAAGTGAACACCAAATAAAAATTACAATATATTTAAAAGAATATATGCCATATATACTGTGTGTGTATTTGGACTATATTTTACATTATATTAACATCCTCAAATTGGTCAGCTATACTTGTAAAAACATATAAGTACCCAATTTCTTTTTCCTTTTGCTCTTTCAAGTAATTTCTGCTGCAACTTTTCTCCAATTCCATTTTTAAATTTTCGAACTATTTCTTCTGCTTGTTTATATTCTTCTTCATTTGCAAATGGCTTAACTGTGAAGGGAAAATGTAATATTTTTAAAAAACATCACAAGCCACCTCAGTCCATATTAGCTATGCATGCGTTGGTATTTATATATGTAAAACAATGTATTACGCATGTTAGCAATCTAACAACTTAAAGAGTAAGGATAATGGAGTTTACAAGTAAATAACAATGAGAATATCATACAGCAAAAAGAAATACTAATTGGCACAATGCAATCTTGTCTACCACTTCTTAAAAATGCTTGAAGATTTCACTTTTTTGAGAAAAAATCATTCAGTAATAATAATGAACTAACAAGTTAGATAATGCACTGCCTTCTGGATTTTAAACAAATAGTTAAGGGAATCCTGTTCAGTCATAACCAATACTAGAACAAAGTCTTAGTCATTTGGAGTCCTTGATGAGAGGCACTAGTCCTCGAGTATCAACTACTGGTGTCAATTAATTGAGAAAATGTTGTAAAGCCTACACCAAAATAGCTAGAGGTGCCACAAAGTAGCTCAAACATTTCTGCATGTTGTAAGAAAAGCAAAGTGACTAAAAAAGATTAAGCCATTACGTGGGCATACACTGAATAAACTCATAGAGAGTAGTTAGAAATCAAATAAGATCAATATTCAGTAACTTAGAAGAGTGGGAATAAAGTCAACTTATTAGTGTCATCATAGAGTACAGCAATGATGCAAATAATCTCCAAACTGATAAAATCTTATTAGAATGATTAAATTATAGGAAATAAGAAAAAAAATGTAGTTGCAAGTCAAAGTAGATGGAGAGAAACAGGAAAAAGAAAGGAATAAGGGATAGAAAAGTAAGAAAAAACAGGAGATAAGAGAGAGAATTTTTAAAGACTATGTTTTATATCATTAACATCTTGTTCTATTTCTAAAATGCCTTGGGACATCAGAGGACCAAGCAACTCAACTCAACTATTTTTTGGTATTTTTCCTTATTTGAAATCAAATGCCATTTAATATATGCAAAAATATCAGAGGAGCTATACCTGCATCAAGGTATTTCTTTAATGACTCATCAAGAGAAGGAACAGGCAATGAAGGAAGAGAATCCTGATACTGAAATGTTCGTTCTTCAGTTGACTTAGCCAACTGGTTTTCCATGATTCTAGAGAGAGTAAAATCTGTAAAGTTAAAGAAAACCAAATCAGTGCCTGATTATAAATTATTTTTTTAAAAATCATTAGGTCCAAACAAAGTATTTACCATTTGCCCAGGACCAACATAGATGTAAAGCATTATGAGACATAGAGTAAGTATAACAAATAGTTCCTGTTCTGAAAGAAGCTTACAACATAGTACAATTCGGCAAACAATTCTTAAGCCGAGGATACAAAGACCAAAACAAAACAAAACTCTTCCACAAATTAGCCCCACCCTCGTTGAATTTTTTTTTTTTTTCTGCTGAGGAGGAGGAATACAAGATACACACAGATTAGTAAAGAAGGGTTTCTCACTAAGTAGAGAGCACTCAAGAACAAAGGGATCACACAAGACTTCCCATAGAAGGTAGCCGCTTAGCTTAGTTTGAAAGAGGATAAAGTGGGGTGGGGAGAAGCAGAAAGGAGAAGGGATGTGAGGCAGTGTTTTCGAGACATAAGGAATGGCCTGTGTGAATGCATGTAGACTGGAAATGAAATGCCCTTTAGGGAACAGCTATTAGAGCTTTTAGATCCATTTGGCTGGAATATAAAATGAATAAAGGTGAGTGATGTGAAATAAACCAGGTAATGTAGGTTGAATCCAGATTCTGAAGAACTTTTGATGCCAGGATAAGTTCAGGAGCTGGTTGAGGACTGGGTATATAGATTTAGAACTCTTCTGATTCAAGATGTGAATCAATTACCCATGCAGTTACCAGTGGGAGCAGATGACAGCATCAAAAGAGTATAGAGAAAGAAAACAAGAGGTCCTGGGATATTGCCTTGTGGGAGACCACCAAAATCCAAGATATGGATGATGATCCACCAAGAAAAACTGAAAAGAAATAGTACAAGAGGTGGGAGGAGACCCAGAGAAAATCAAAGTCCTGTCAAGAGAAAGATGACCAAAAGTGTCTAAAATTGTAGAGAGGTCATGTAAGATGAGGATAGGGAAAAGGCTAGAGAATTTAGCAGTTAAGCAATCTCCAGTAACCTGGAAACAGCAATTTCAATTAAGTTGGTAGGGGGGAAGGGAAAGGAATAAGAATTTATATAGAGCCTACTATGTGCCAGTGTAGGGACTGATGCCAGTTTGTAAGGGGTTAGGTGAGTAAGGAGCAAGTAAATGGAAGCATGAGGAACAGAGGACTTTTTCTAGGAGTTTGGCTGGGAAAGAAAGCAGGAATAGGATGGTAGATTGAGGGAATGGTTAAGTTCAATTGAAAATTAAAGATGATGAGGCTCAGCTAGAGAGATAGGATTAATAGACATAGAAAAATTAAGAGAATAAAAGACAATATGAATCAATCAAAAGGTCATTGAAATGACCTGGGCTAGAATACCAAGTCTTTGGCTTACTATCTGTGTAACCTTGGGCAAGTCACTTAACTAAAGTTCAGTGATATTTTATCTCTAAAATAAGAGGGTTGGACTACATCAAGGGTTCAAAACCTTTTTAGAGACATAGACCCCTTTGGCAATCTGCTGAGGCCTAAGGAATCCTACTCAGAATGTTTTTAAATGTATAAAATAAAATGCTTAGAATTACAAAGGAAACCAATATGTTTAAATAGTTATTAAATAGTAAAAATAAAAGTTCATGAGGCCCAGGAAAATAATCCCTAGACTAGATGATATTATGAAATTTTCTTATACTTATTCTAAGTGTTATAAAAAATCCTAAGAAAGGAAAGACAAATATTAGAGGGATTATTTCTTGGAGGTGAGACTCACCGAATTGGGCACTCTAAAATGAGGATTTGAAAAGTGGAGCAGAGATTGGCATTCCTATTGGAGGGAAGGAATGAGTACAGTATGTGTAAGGAACAGTAAGATTAGTCTTAATTACAAAACAATATCCTTGGGAAAGGTTGTTAAAAACCATTTAGTACAATCTAAACCTTCTTTTGCAGATTAGAAAACTGAGACCTAGAGAAGTGATGTGAATTTGCCTGAGGACACAGGGTAGTGGAAGATAAGTATGGATAGGGTCATAACAACTCTACTTAGTTGTACCTGCCCTCACTGAAGCCACTCATCCCCCTTTTCATCATACTTTCCTCTCATCATTCCCTATTTTAATCAAGGTAAGAGACTACATGCACCTACCTGTACATGAGCGTCCTCTGTTCCCAGTGGAAAACAAACATAAAATTGAAGAGTCAGAAAATAGCCACATTTTATAGCCAATATCTGTTTTTAATTATAAGGAAAAAGCAGACTCCCTAAAATTATAGTGTTACATTTTGGCGCTACTTAAGCCAGGACCATTTAAAAACAAAACAAAACAAAACAAAAAAACAAAACAGTGGCCAACAGGACCTGCAAGGCTATTTCTAACATGTCTGTCAGCAGATTTTTCTCATCTCTTCTTGGAAGCTGGGTATGATTGGGCTAGAGAAAGAACTCCTCCCTCCTTGAAATACATATTCAGAACTAGAGATCACTTATATACTTCCTGTTCATGTTATGTAATCCTGGACAGCACCTCAGAAATAGAAATGGAGGTAGGTCATGAGTTGATACTGTATTTATCTAATTTTTAGAAAACCGAGTTTATATAAAATTGAACAGCTTATATTCTAAATCCTGTTTGCTTTCATTGTGATTTTGAAGTTTTTGTTATTAATTAACTCCCCACCTTCAACTACTACCTCTATGCAGAGGACTCCCAAGTCTACACTTCCATTCCTGACCTCTGTTCTGAGCTCCAGTTCCATCTTTAACTTTCTGCCCCACCAGCACCAACTCAAATTCAACATGTCTAAAATAAAGGTCATTCATTGCTCTTTCCCCTAAACCTGCTCCTCGTTCTGATTTCTCTCTGTGACACTACCATCCACCTGGGCTCCCAAATCAGCAATCTTGGGATTATCTCTCACTCCTCTCCTTCAGTGGCTCTTTACTGCCTCCCAAATCAAGTTCAAACTCCTATTCAAGGTCCTCCTCTACCTGGTGCCACTCTACCATTACAGCATTAGCCCAGAGTAGTCTCCTCCATGAACTTTACACTCCAGCCAAACTGGACTCCTGCCCCACATACAAGTCCTGACCCATATCTCCAACTTTCTGTCCTACCAGCATCTCCAAAACCAAGGTTGTTATCTTTCTCTCTAAACCTGTTTCTCTCAGTTAAGTATGAGCTATCAATCATGAAACAGGGACAGACTTTTTGCATTCTTTTGTGGAGATGACTGTATGAATCCCCTCATCACACATTATAGAGGAAATCTAATTATACAGAGGGCCTGAGAGTAGTGTTTTTTTCTTCTATGATCTTAAAAGAAGGATGAAAAGGGAACATAAGGAGTATACTGGTGGGGGGAGGTGGGTAAAGGGAAAGGAAAAATAATGAAAATTAACTCACATAATTGTAGTTCCCAACTAGATGCCTCAAAAAAATGATAAAGTGGTTCATGGGGAGGGGCATAGAAGGTGATATTTTAATTTAACTATGTTCTGATCTGGGCAGAGGACTAAATGACACACACAGACACAGATGAGTAGAAAAATCCATTTCACCCAAAAGGGAAATTGGCAGAAAAGGAAAAGAGGGGTATACAAGAGAGAGCAGATAAAGGGAAAGATTAGTTAGAAGCAAAACAAATTCTCAAAGAAGGAGCAAGAAACAAAGGGAAGGAAGAGCACAAGAGAAAAAGTGAGACAAAAATACACAATTAACCATGTCAACTGTGAACATGAATGGGATGAACTCACTTATAAAATGGAAAAGGGTAACAGTATGGATTAGAAACTAAAACCTCACAATATATTATTTACAAGAAACACATGAAACAGAAAGATGCACAAAATCAAAATAACAGACTAGAGAATAATCTATTATGCTTTAGCTGAAGTAAAAAGCAAGGATAGTAATCATAATCTCAGAAAAAGTGGCAATAATAATAAATGTAATTTAAAAAGATAAACAAGAAAACTACAATTTGCTAAGAGGTAGCACAGACAATAAATTAATATCAATTCTCAACATGGGCCTCAAATGTAATAGCATCCAAATTCTTAACAGAAAATTAAATGAGTTATAGGGAGAAATAAACAGTAAAAGTATTTGTAGAGATCTCAATTTATTCCTCTTAGACCTCTATAGATCTAAACAAAAAAAGTAAAAGGAAAGAAAAAACAAAAAGACATGAATAGAATTTTAGAAAAGTTATATGACAGACTTCTGGAGAATATTAAATGGCAATAGAAACTTTTTTCTCAGCTTTGCATGGCATCTTCACAAAAAAACTGATCATGTATTAGGGTATAAAAATGTCACAAATAAATGCAGAAAAGCAAAAATATTAAATACATATTATATGGACAATAATGCAACAAAAATAATATTCAATTAAAAAAATAAACCTGCTCCTCATCCTGAACTCTCTCTGTAATACTATCATCCACCTGGGCTCCCAAGTCAACAATCTTAGGATTATCTCTGACTCACATCTCTTCTACATATCTCTGCAATCTCTTACATCCATCACCACCACCACCACTCCTGTTGCCACCACTCTTATACAAGCCTTCATTACCATCTCCCTGGACCACAACAAGAGCTCAACAGGTCTTCCCTCCTTCACTCTCCCTCCCAAGCTGTGTATCACAGCCAGAATTATCTTTCTGCACCCAGATTCAATAGTGGTACTTCTCTGCTCAAGAATCTTTAATTCCTGAAAAAAGAACTGCTTCCCAAATAAAATTCTAATTCTTCTACCTGGGGTTCAAGGTCTGTCATCAAACTGATGCTATACTAATTCTAAAGTATTAACCCATGTTATTCTCCTCCATACACTCTACATTGCAGCCAAAATGGACCACTGTCCCACAAACATGTTCTGAACTCTCATGACTACTGTCATTTTTGTTCACTCTGCTCTACTGCATCTTCAACACACTCCCTTCCCTCTCTTCACCTACAAACTCCTTCCTACCAAACTTTTAAAGTCCAACATCCTCCAGGAAGTCATAGTACTAGTAACAATAGTAGTAGTGGTAGTGGTGGTGATGGTGGTTGTAATAGCAGTAATAGTAATAACAACAACAACTCATATTTTTAGAGTGCTTTGAAGTTTATAACGAGCTTTTCTGTCAACCTGGTAAATTAGATATTAACCTTTCTTATTTTCCATGGTTAACAACCATCCCCCACCAACCACACATAGCATTTTGTTTTGTAATTAATGAATTTACTCTATAATAATATGTACAATAGCTTACTTGGTGTCTCATCTCCCTACTAGGCTATAAGCTCCTTGAAGGCAAAGTAGGATCTTATCTCCACTTTGTTTCCTCCCCTATAATGTTCTCTACAGTCAGTGCTACATTGTACAGTATTGTATTGTAAATGAAAGAGGACAAAGATGATTACAGGATTTCTAACTTGGAAATGTAGAGGAATCATGACATCTCAGAAAGAAATAAGATCATTTTGGGTGGGGGATGGCGGTGAGGGGAGGACAGACAACTTTGGATACACTGAGTTTGAATTCATATCAGGAAAGTCAAGTGAGCTCTCTTATAGGCAGCTGCAGATATTTGATTGGAGCATGGGTACAGATTCTCATGGTGCTTACTTTCTAAGGAAGAGGCTATGACACATATACAAATAATTATAATACAACACAATACATAAGAGGTACAAAGTATTGCTGGAAATGCAAGGGTAGAAGGTCATTATCAGTTGGGGGGGGTTCAGAGAAAACTTTATGGAGAAAATGGCATTCGACTTGGTTTTTAAGGGATGGAGAGGATCACAAAGTTCACTGAGAACAAGAAAGGCATCAGCAGACTAGAGACTTACAAATGTGATTTTCAAAATGGAGGAAAGGTAACCTCTGGAAACTATAGACCAATAAGCTTGACACAGATCCCTAGTAAAATTCTATTATCAATTATTTCGATGGCTTATGAACACTTGGAAGAGGAAGTGGTGCTTTCTGTAGTAGCAAAGAACTAGAAACAAAGTAAATGCCAATCATCTGGGGAATGGCTAAACAAATTGTGTTACATGAATGTGACAGAACAGTATTAAGTCATAAGATACAATGAGACATGGGAAGATTTATATGAATTAGTACAAAGAGAAAGAAGCACAATCAGGAAAATAATATGCACAATAACTACAACAATGTAAATGGAAAGAACAAGAATAACAAAAATCAAAATTGAAGGTTGTGTAATTAGAGAAAAAGAAGGATTTCAGCAAAACTAGTTAATATCAATTAATTCTGACAATATATACACAATGAAACACAACTACAGGGTTCCACTTCTGCAGGAAAAAAAGGGGGGAGGAGATTTGTTGTTATGGTTCTACTTAGTCATTATACTAGAAACATATACTTAGTACACACTAGTATTATATGAGGAGTATTATACTGTGTATGACTAAGTTTGACTGTAAAGAAGAGCCATAAGAAACAACCCTCCTCTCTTCCTTTTTTTGTAGAGATGGAACCCCCGGGATGTGTTTCACTGTATATATTGTAAGACTTGACTAATGTGTTGACTAGTTTTGCTGAAATGCTTCTTTTTCTCTTTTTTAATCTTTGATTTCATGGATAGCTCTCTGAATGGGGGAGGGAGAAGGGACATGTTGGGAAATAAAGGTGATGTCAAAATGAAAGAAATTAATAAAGTATTTAAATTACTAGGAACCAGTAACAGTAAAGCATTTAACAAAGTCTTTCATGATACTCTTGTGGACAAGATGCGTAAATGTGAGCTGCTTCATAATATAGTTAAGTAGATTCATAAGTGGTTGAATGACTCAAGAATATAGACTTGTGGATACATGTGATTTGGATGGAGGACTGTAGTACTATGCCAGAGCTCTGTCCAGCCCTGTCCTGGTCAATCTTTTCACCTATGACTTGAACAAAGATATAGAAAAAAAAATGTGTCCAATTTACTGATATAAATCTGGAAGGGAGAACTAATATACAGAAAATCAAGAAGTTAAAATTATCTCAACAGTTTGTCATAAATGGGTCAAACAAGATTAAATTAAGCAATAAATGGAAAGTCTTGACCTCAGGCTTAAAAAAAATTAAATTCTTAAGTAAAGGATGAAGAATACCTAGCTTAGGGGCAGCTAGGTGGTGCAGTAGATAGAGCTCTGACCTTGGAGTCCGCAGGACCTGAGTTCAAATCCAGTCTCAGACACATGACACTTACTAGCTGTGTGACTCTGGGTAAGTCACTTAACCCCGACTGCCTCATCAAAAAGAAAAAAGAAAACCTAGCTTAACAGCAGTCTATGTTAAAAAAAAAAAAAAAAGACCTAAACATTTATTTGGATGCAAGCTTAATATGAATCAAAAGGGTGATATTTCTGCCAAAAAAAAAGCTACTAAAATGTTGGGGTTTCATTAATAGAATTATAGTGTACAGAACAAGGAAGATGACAGGTCCAGTAATACGATCACTGTACCAGTCAAAATCTTACCTGGATTACTGTATTCAGTTCTTGGAATTACATTAAAAAGGGACATTGACAAATAACACATCCAGAGGATGGGGGGAGGGGAGTGATGATACTCAAAACTACATCATATGGATACAAAGAACTAGTAAGATTTATCTTGGAAAAGAGTCTATAGTGAGAAACTGGAGGAAAAAAAAGTTATGTTCATATACTTGAAGGGCTAGAAATTAGTTCAACAAGCATTTATTAAGCTACGTGCCAGACATTGTGCTCCATGCTGGGGATAGAAAGAGAAAAAAGAAAAACAAAGAACTTAAACTCTATTGGAGAAGGCAGGTTAGGAACAACACACACAGAAATATTACAAAGTATTATCTTTGGCCTGTACTTGTGATTTCAACAGTGTAGGGAGCCCCCAGGTAAAGAACCAATTAACCCCATTGTGCCACAGGCAACCTTGAATACAAAATATGTATACAAAAGATATCTGTAATAAATTTTTGGGGGGAAAGGGATGGAGGAATTCAGTTGTTAATCCAACTTTACAGGAGAGGACTTGAGCTGAAACTCAAAGGCAAATAAGGGTTCCAAGCCTCAGAGATGAGAAAGGAAAATATTCCAGGCATGGGGCACAGCCTTTACAAAAGCATGGTGACAGGAAATATCTGGTGTGAGCAAATAGGTCAGTTTAGTTGGAACCCAGAATACCAGAGGAAGAATACTCTATAATCACACCAGGAAGATAAGTTGGACTTATATTGTGGAGGGGTCTAAATGCCAAGCACAAAAGTCTTTATTTTTTTTGTCAAGGTGATAGGGAATCACTGAAGCTTTCTGAATGAGGGGTTGACATGGACAGAACTGTACTTCTGAAATATCATTTTGGAGAAGCAAGAGATGGCTGCAAGGAGACCAACTAGGGGCTATTGCAACAGTCCAGGCAGGAGATGATGAGGGCCTGAATTAGGTTGGTTGTGACAAGTGGAGAAAAGGAAACAGCCATGAGAGATGCTGTGGAGAAAGCACTGATAAAACTAGGACCTGGGTAGGGGGAGGGAGATCAGCAAGAGTGAAGAGCTAACGATAATTCCCAGGCTAAGAACCTGGGTGGCTGGAAGAATGGAGGTGCCAGCCACAGAAATAGAGAAGTTATAAGGAGGTGAGATTTTAGGGGAAAAATTAATGAGAAGAGAAGTTTAAGTTAAATAAATTTAATTGCATATGGCTTCAGAGGGCAAAATAGGGGAAATGGAGAGAAAATTACAGAAAATTCACATTGATAAGGATAAAAAAATTGTTTTTAACAATTAGAGCTGTCTAAAGTTCTGACAGAAAAAACAAATTTCACTGTATCTAGCAAAGTCCTAGGCAAACAGTAAATAGTTTTAAAATAAATATTGATAATTATTTCATGTGAGGTTAAAAGTCACTGGGAACATCCACAAAGAAGCAGGCCAAAAAGCATAAAAACACAAGATATGAACTGAAGGCATACATGCCAAGGAACTTCAGAGTAAAGGAGTTGTCATAGTGGGACTGGGTTAATTAGGGTAGGATTCACAGAGGCAGTGAATTGGCAGAGATTATCATAGAAAGTAATTCTGGGTGGTAGAAATGGAAAAGAGCTAAGTACAGTAATCATGTATGTCCTGAGAATATTCCATTTTCAAGAAAGGAAAGTGGAGTCTTAACTAGATTTGGCAAAAGGAATATCATCTGTCCATCCATGCTTTCTGATTTTTCTTCTAGAAATGTTAAACATACCTACAAGGTATGCCAAGTAGAAGGGTTGTATAACCACAGAAGAGTCTGCTGCAGTGGTATCAGGTGTCAAGGGCTTGAAATGGAGAAGAAACTGTGTAAATAAAAAAGAAGAGGCAAAATCAATAAACACTGAGAAGAAAAACTAGCAGGGATTTGTAACTGACCTCCAAACCTTAAATGAAAGGGATAACTGGCAAAAAATAGTTTTTAAAATTACCAGAACATATGAAAAGAAAGGTTCACTAACTAAAATACCAAACAAAATGACATTGAGTTACCCTCCTGATTAAACTCGGAAAAGGTAGATAGTTTCTTTCCCAGGGGATTTCTGATGTGTCTGTCTCCCTTCCTCAGATTCCAAAAGAGGAAAGAGAACTAAGTCACATTTCTGTTTCTCAAAAATGGCTTCCAGGTTTCAGGAAATCTCTCTCCCTAAACCATAAAGTGGACAAACTTAAGAAAACTTAGAAACAGCAGAACACAGGTCTTTTCAGAAAGGGCCTTGGAAGGGGAGATAAAAGGACTGAAGGTAATCTATACAACTGTTCTCACTCAAAGAAAAGCATCTCATTCCACAGCAATCAGCTGCCAAGTTATGTCTTGGGTGAATATAAATCTGGTGAGACGGTCGGTTCTTCTCAAGGCTCCACGAAGGGGCTCCGGTCCAACCACCTAGCAGCAAAAGGACAGGGATCATTCATTCCACAATTGCCCATGGGAAGGATTAGAAGACACAAACTCAGACAACTAGGGACACACAATCACCCTCAACCAGAGAGGGAGAAAGAGGACAGATAAGCACTTAAGGGAGAGACTGAAAGACAGACAAGTACTTAAGAAGCAAGAGGGGCAAGCCGTTGGCTGTTTTTCAGTCATGTCCGACTCTTCGTGACCCCATTTGGGGTTTTCTTGGCAGAGATAGTGGAGTGGTTTGCCATTTCCTTCTCCAGCTCATTTTACAGATAAGGAAACTGGGGCAAACAGGATGAAGTGACTTGCCCAGGGTCACACAGCTGGTCAGTGTCTGGAGCCAGGCTGGAGCTCACAAAGGAGAGTCTCTACCCATTGCACCAGCTGGCTTAAGAGGGGCGCAGACAAACATTCAAAGGGACAGAGAGACAGACAAGCGCTTAGGGAACGAGAGAGAGGGACAAACACTGGAGGGGATGGACAGGCAGACATCTACTCAAGAGGAAAGACGGACAGCCCAGCACTTAGGGAGGAAGAAAGGGAGCAGACAAGCCCAGGGGCTAAGAGAAGGGCACTGCCCGCGGGGACGCACGGACAGGGACAGCCCGGCCGGCTCACCAGCCCGAGCCGCAGCGCGAGCCCGGAACGCGGAGCCGGAGCCGGAGCCGGAGCCGGAGCCGGAGTCGGAGTCGGAGCCCGGAGCCGGAGCCCGGAGTCGGAGTCCGGAGCCGGAGCCCAGCCCACCTCGCGCCCGCGCTCGCGCTCAGCTTCACCAGGGAAGGCTCAGGGTGGCAGGGTGGGGGGAGGGGAGGCGGCGGCGGCGGCTCTCGCGCCTCTCCGGGCTCGGGGGCTTCGCGGGTCTCTCGGGCCCGGATTCAGGCCTGAGCTGGGGCCTCCCGGCTGCCCCCTCACCTCCTCTTGGCACTCGGCGCACTCCGCTCAGAGCCAGTTGACCTTCCCATTCCCTAGCGGCCAGATTAAACCACGGTCGAGGGGGCGGACGGAAAGCCGCGAGGGTCCCGCCCCAGAGGCGGGAGGCGGGGCGGTGGGCGTGGCTTAGTACATGACGTCACTGTGTGTGTGTGTGTGTGTGTGTGTGTGTGTGTGTGTGTCTGTGTCTGTGTCTGTGTCTGTGTCTGTGTCTGTCTGTCTGTCTGTCTCTCCCCCTCCCTCTCTCTCTCTCTCTTTCCTCCCCACTCCCCGCCCCTCCCATTCTGGCCTTGGCCACGTGGAGCGTGGAAGAACGAAGCCGGAGACTGGTAGGACCCACCCAAACCTCAGCTCAACTCACCTCCTGCGAGACCTCATGTCCCTCTCTGAGCCTCAGTTTCCTGTCTGTGCCATGGACCATGGGATTAGGTCATAGGATGAGGGACCTCAGAGGCCAGTAAGTGCAACCCTCCGTGGCACAGACGAGGAAACCGAGGAAGACTAGAGAGGTCCATATCATATATTTCATATCACATATCATATATATCATATATTTCTAAATCCTATTAAACAATTGTTACATGCTAGGCCCCAAGGCATGAAGACAAAAACTGCCAACTGCACTGCCCTAAATAACGGAACAGAAATGTAATTGTGATATCATTTGAAGGTAGAGAGATAATATTAATGAATAGGGTGATCAGGAAAGGCTTCCCATTCCAAGTCTATCCTGAGCTCAGACTCAAGGAAAGTTCTGAGATGAGGACATAGGCATTCCTGGAACAGGGAGCCAACCTGTGTACTGAGACACTGAGGTGGAAGGGAGGATGTTTGGTTTTTCCCATAACAAGTAGATCAGCTTGGTTGGAACATAAACGTGTTATAGGAAGTAGTGTGAAATGCAAATGAACTGGGGCTGAATGGTATAGGACTTTAAATGTCAATTCAAAGTGAGGCTAAAAGGACCTGGGTTTAAATCCTGTCTCTGATGCTGCCTGTAGGACCTTTAGACAAGTCATGTAACTTCTCTGGGTCTCAGTTTCCTCATATGCAAAATGAGTTCAAATAGCCTCCGATATCCAGTCCAGCTCTAAATCTATGTACCTGTGCTCCTATCCTGGGGGAATAGAGAGCCGCTGAAACTTCTTGGCAAGGAAAACTTGTGCTTTAAGGAGATTATTTTGATAGCCATATGGAGGATTGATTTGAGAGGTGGAGAGACTGGAAGCAGGGGAAAAAAATTTAAAAGCTATTACAGTAGTTCCAGGTAAGAGGTAATGAAGTCCTGAAGCAGGGTAGTGGCCTGTGTGAGTGGAGAAAAGGGAAAGAATCATGTAATCATCTATTCCAGAGATTTCCAAACTTATTTGGCCTACTGCCCACTTTTCAAAAAAAAAAAATTACTCAGAGCCCCCCTGGAAATCTACCTTCTTTAACCCTTTAATTTTTTTTTAATTTGCATCCTTTCAAAAAATATAAAATATATTTTAAATAATGCATCTTAAATTTAATAATTTATTGTAAATTTGTGGGGCTTTTTCCTGCATTGAAATTTTGATGATGCAATATTGTATCACATAACTGTATAGTATTGTATTGTAAACAAATCATCACACACACATATTCCTGCTGATGCATGCTGGACTTCCCAACAACGTGCAGCAAGCTTCCCTGCCAACACTTGTTTATTAAGACCTGTAGGCGGACAACCACTGATGAGTTATAACTTGCCTTTTGTGTGTTTATTTGGAAAATAATGTAATCACTATGACTTTAACTCTATTACACAACAGATGAAACATGAACAAATGGTTTTTCAAAAATTTCTTCTCTTCTTTCCTCATGCTTCCACCACCCCTTTATTTTTATTCAACTCCCCAACAATTGTCACCCCCCCCTTGGAAAGTTCCAGTCCCCACCCAGGGAGTGGTATTGCCCACTTTGGGAACCTATGAATTATTCTATTCTAAAGCTCTCATTTTACGAATAAAGAAGTTTGGACCCAGAGCAGTGGAGTGATTTGTTCGCAGTCACACAGGCAATAAGTAACAGGGCTAAGTTGACCTCTCATCTCTCTTCTGGCTCCTCTCATTCTTTGGCTCTACAATTCTGCCCAACAACAGCAGTAGTGTAAGTGGAGAGGGCCCTGAACCAAAAATCAGAAGACCCTGAGCTACTTTGCCTCTGGATACTTCAGTTTTTCCACCTGTAAAATGAGGGAAGTGGATTGGATAATTACTTGAGTCCCTTCCAACTTATAAAGGACCAATCTTATAAAGGACTAATACCAACACTGGCTATCCCTCAATTCCTCGCCACCCTGCTATGTGTCTTTGCCTCAACATTGGCTTCCTCTTCCATTTTGCTTTTGCCAGCCCAGGACATTATCTATTCACTGGCATTTTCCTCAGGATCTCATTTACCCTGTTCTTAGCTCCCAGGGGTGAGGCATAGAGCAGTGAGTCAAGTTCCCTTCACATTGATACAATATATTGCCTATGTTTATTCTAGGCTGACGGACTCCTAGAGTGTCTCGGCCAGAAGGGGCCCTGGAAAACGTCCAATCCAACCACTTTATTTAATAAGTGAGATATCCAAGCCTGGCTTTATCACTCATTACTACTCTTCCCACACTATAGTCCTGCTGAACTGTGGCCTTCCTGCTGTTCTTCACAGATAAGGTCAAGATAGTATTAGGGTATAGGGCAGCTAGGTGGCGTAGTGGATAGAGCAACGTCTCTGGAGTCAAGAGGACCTGAGTTCAAATCCAGCCTCAGACACATAACATTTACTAGCTGTGTGACCCTGGACAAGTCACTTAACCCCAACTGCCTTGCCCCACCCCATATGGGACACAGTGTTTTCCAGAGCTAAGGCCCAGCAAGCTATGCCCTGAGCTTGACATAATAACAATCCTTTGCGCTCATCTTCTGGAACTGATAGTCCCTGAGCTTGGCTGGGACATGAAGCCCTGCTATGAATTGACTTTTTGTCACCAGAAAACCTTGCCTCACTATTGTTGTTGTGCCTCATCACTGTTGCTACACTACACTGTTTGACTCTTTGTCTAGCCACAAATATGTAAATCAAAGTTCAGCCCCACTAAAGTGGGTCCCTTCACTAGGGGTGGGGCCCTACCATATCTGTCTAGATCCCCTCCTTGCTTGCAAGCATTTTCCCTCACTTTGAAATTAAACTTCTGTTTGATTCCTGACACTACTGTCTCTAGCCTGCTCAGTTCATCTCTGGTCATCCACAGATTAGAGGCTGGTTTGATCCAGTTGACATTAATTGGTGTCAGAAGTGGATCTGGACACAGGACTGGGCCAATGTATTCTCCAGTACCAATGAGAACAGACTAGGTGTCACTAGAGATTTATTTCTCCAGAATCTGACCCTTCACCTCCCATCTGGTGAGCACTCTGGCCTTGTTCCTGCTCCAATCTTTGAACCCCCGCATTGGTCCAGCTCACAATTCTTTGTGAGGAAAATTCCAGGGCACCTCCAGTGACCCAGTTTGTGTCAGATCACTCTGGTAAGAATATCCTTTCTTAAAAAGCACACCTCTGATTAATGGTCCATCTGTGTGCCTCTGCTGATTTTGGACTGTATGCCTGTGTAAAATTTTAATTGTGTGGCTCCATTGTTTCTTTAAATTGCATGCCTCAGTAACTGTGTACGTCTGTTAAAATTAGAATTGTAATTGGGTACTTTGTTAAAACTATCTGTGTCGGTTTGTATTTGTCTTGTCATTTTGTCTGTTTGTGTCTTTGTAAAATGTAAAATGTCTGTGTCATGTGTCTGTTTTGAGCTAGATTCTGTTCCTTTTAAAGATTTAAAAAGCAGCCAGCCAGAAAAACTTTTTTAAATTTAATTTTTTTAACATTTATTTTTAAGACTTTGAGTTCCAAATTCTCTCCCTTTCTCCCTCCCCAACACCACCCCCCCATTGAGAAGGCAAGCAATTCCATATAGGCTATATATGTGTAGTCATGCAAAACATATCCATAATAGTCATGTTGTGAAAGAAAATGTAGACCAACCAAAAAAAAAAAAAACCTCAAGAAAAATGAAATAAAAAAAACAAAAAAAGATGCTTCAGTCTGTATTCAGACCCCATCAGTTGTTTCTCTGGGGATGGATAGTATTTTTTTCCTATGTCCTTCAGAGTTGTCATGGATCATTGTATTGCTGAGAATAGCTAAGTCATTCACAGCTGATTATCTCACAATACTGCTGTCACTTTTTACCCAGTACATTTCACTTTGAGTCAACCTGTTTAAGTCTTTCTTGGTTTTTCTGAAAGCATCCTGCTCATCATATCTTATAGTACAATAGTATTCCATCATAGTTATATACCGCAACTTATTCAGCCATTCCCCAATTGATGTGCATCCCCTCAATTTTTAATTCTTTACCCCCAGAAAAGATCTGCTATAAATATTTTTGTACATATAAGTCCTTTTCCTTTTTGCTTTTTATCTCTTTTGGGATATAGACCTACTAGTGGTATTGCCATGTCAAATGGTATGCATGGTTTTACAGTCCTTTGGACATAGTTCCAAATTGTTCTATAGAATGGTTTAATCAATTCACAACTCTGGCAATGGTACATTAATGTCTCCTTTTTCCCACATACCCTCCAACATTTGTCATTTACCTTTTCTGTCCTATTATCTAATCTAATAGGTATGAGATAGTACCCCAGAATTGTTTTAACTTGCATTTCTCCAATAAATAGTAAGAATATTTTTTCATATGGCTATAGATAGCTTTAATTACTTCATCTGAAAACTGATTATATCTTTTGATCATTTATCAATTGGGGAATAGCTCTTATTTTTATAAATTGGACACTATTCTCTATATGTAAGAGAAATAAGGTCTTTATCAGAGAAACTTGCTTCAAAAAACATTTATTTTTCAGTTACTATTGCTACTTGTATTTCTCTCCATCCTATTCCCCCTACCCCTGTGTATTCTATTCTCTCTCTCCTTTCACCCTGTCCTTCCTCAAAAGTGTTTTTGCTTCTGATTATCCTTTCCTCCAATCTGCCCTCCCTT